TATTTCACTGGAGGAAAAAGGTTGAACACCGCTGATCAATTGATCTGTATGGAGGTGACAGCAGAGAGTGACAGGTGACAGGGACAGGTGATGCGACAGGTGAACACGGCAGGTGAATACAAACGCAGAGAGAGCGCCCACACTACACATCAAGTTAAAGATCAGGACATTAGAGTTGCACAGTTCTGTTCTCTCCATTAAAACTGGGGCAAATAATGATTATATGGACATTTTTTTAGTCTGAAATAAAGTTATTATGTTCAAATAATGCAACTAGTGACAAGGATGTGGGAGGAGATGGGGGGTAGGTGAAAACAAGGCATTTTCTGAGCATTCAAGCATCTAATATAAGATTAGTCAAACCTGCATGAGTCAGTTACAACACAACGCTGGAGTTCATGACGAAGGAACACCGTAAGGTTAAAAACTCATTTAAAGCCACAATATGTAACATTTTAGCCAAAAACATGCTTTTATTTTAATCATTTTTTATTATACTAATGATATTCATTTTGCATCCTTACGGGGAGCGGGCTTGCATCTCCACAAACCTGACTCTTATGTGGCCTGGAGGAGGGCCTGCCCCTGCTTGTTTCCATGGTTCCTTTGGCTATAATCTTCCACAGTGTGGCATAACACTTATCCATCTCCATGGAGAATGTTCCAAAGTATGGCTTTAACTGTCTTAACAGTAGATGTGCCGCCTTCAGACACTTCCACACTGAAGCTGTTCCTTTAAAACCACTCATGATGTTTAACACTGTATCACAGCTCTGCTTTTCACGTTCATTTTAGGTAAAAAAAATAAATCTAAATCAAATGGAATGCCCAGACTATGAGACAGAGCAGCACTTAGACATCACACAGAGTCAGTTGTGAGAGTGAGCTCAATATCTGCTCTGGTGGGTAATTGGCTGAGTTTCAGTCTGTGGTGAGTGTGAGCTGCTCCTCCCTCCGCCGCAGATCACAGAGCCCCGGGTTCACGTAATGACAGATCCTCCAGTCTGAGCCGGGCACACTGCCTTTAAACTTCAACCCAGCTAAAGATGTGCTTTAACTAAGTCTGGATCATCAGAGCACACCTGCAGCAGGCCAGCGCAGGTCAGCTAGCATCCAATGTGTGTCAGATGCCCTCCCACTGCTCTATGTCCATCCTCCTCCACAAGGTTATCTTGTGTCAGATGCCCTCCCATTCTCCAGCATCCCTGTGCATCAGATGCCCTCCCACCTTCTTAACTAAAACGCTGGACTTGGGGCAATAAATCTAAATCGTGACAGAGGGAAAAAAAACACAGGACGGGAAATTTGAATCAGTACCGAGCCTCGGTGAGTGAATGATCCGGGAGCCCCAGACCCGCGGTCCTGATGGACCCAGACAGTGTCCCCTGTGCGGGGGTCACGCACAGCAGCCCCGCATCACCGGGCCCCGCGAGCCACTCAGTCTCGTGCACAAACCGTCGCGTGGAAACAACAGAGCAGACCTACCGCGTGCACCTGGATCCGCGAGGCGGGCTTCACGAGCGGCGGCGGCGGGGTCCGCGTGTCCCCTTTTCGCTGCAGTCTCCTCCGCGCGAGCTCCTCTCCTCGCGCTTCTCTCCTCTCGCGGCTCGCGCTCGAGTCCAGGCCGCTGAAGTTCCACAGCGCGAGCGTCTGCACGAGCAGCAGCACCGCCACTGCCGCGAGCAGCGCCGCGGAGCGCGAGCGGCGACACGGTCTCCGCGCGCACGGGCTACCGGCCATCATCATCCTCACGAGCCCCGTGCACCGCGCGCCACCTCTCAGCAGGATGTGTCCTCGCGCCGGAGTCAGCAGTGCGAGAGCAGCGGGAGGAGGGGGCGCGAGGAGGAGGGGGCGTGAGGGGAGGGCACTGGGGCCCTCGTGCGGCCGCCTCTGTCTCTGCATCAGCAGCAGCGGCGCGAGACTGGCCCACGCGCCCGGGCACAGAAGTGCGCCCGGGCACAGAAGTGCACGCGCCCGGGCACAGAAGTGCACGCGCCCGGGCACAGGGGTTTATTACGCGACAGAAGAGCGGGACTCACTGTGGAATTCTGCAAACAACTTTATTTAATGATTGAACTGACGCATACATTTGTGTTCCAGCACAGAGTGAGGTTTATATTGATCCCAAGATTGTAACAATGAAAAAACAAACAGTACAAAACAAGCTCTATATTTTAACTGCCTGCCCTCCTCTGATACTTTCTTTGAACTAAACCAAATATAACAGTATCTGAGTGAGGTCTGTTTGTGATCTGATCCTCTCCCTGGAGATCGTGGCTGTGGTCAGTAATACGCCCTGCCATAGCTGGCCTGAGGTTTTATCATATCTATGATCGTGATTCTCCTAGGGTCCCAGACACAATCTTCTTCCAGGCCACTTGGCACCATGCCACAGTTAGGGGGCACCCAGGCTGTGTCGTACCCGTTCTCATGCCAGGTCTTCTGCAGAGGGTGGCGCTGGTGATTTATGGCGATGACTCTGCCCACTTGCACCAGGACTCTGAAGACCACTCTCTGGTCTTCAGGGAGGTCCAGGGGGTATCGGCTGGCCTTCTGCAGGTCCCGGCTCAGGTACACCCCAGGCCCCAGCATCCCGTCTTTGGACGGTTTAAACCCAGAGCTCAGGATGGACTGGACATTCAAGATGCTGGTGCCATGATACATGATGTAGGTCTTACCTAAAACACATCACAATGAAATCTAATGAAATATGAGCTTCTGATGATCTCTGTGCTCCAAAACATTTAGAGAATCAGATCAAACTTAATCCTGTGTAAAAGGGCAAAGGGTCTCTGCATTGACCCGTCCTTCAGAGCCACTGGGGCAAACTGTAAGGAGCAGCGGGCACCACAGAGCAGAGCCCTGAGATAGGCTTGTGTCATTGCCAGATTTGGCGCCTTTTCAAATTAAACCGTTTGTTCTGTTCTGTGGCTCAGGTCAAATATATTCAGGTTAAAGTTTGATCATTTTACAGAGTCTTTTCTAAGAAATACAAACAGAAACACTTCAGTCAGTACTGCAGTATTACAGTCTTTACTCTTTACAGTTTTCACAGACTTTGTATGAGTATTTATCAGTGAAACTGTTTATATTTCCAAGAGAAAATGGTGCCAAATTGATCCTTTTGGTCAGGACTGGACCTGGATGATCTGACCTCTGTTATTCACCATGTTCTGGGTTGATGGTTCATGTGGTGTGTATAAATGTGATCCATGTGTTCTCATTACCAGAGACAGGAGCGTCTGAGCCCAGACGAACCGCTCCACGAGGCAGCACAAAGTCATTCTCTGCCCACTGGAAAGACATGGTCTGTGTTCACCTGCAAATACACCAGCACATGGAAACATCAGGACTTGTGTTTTGTTTTGTGTGTGTGCCTCCTCCTCTTCCTTCTTCAAAATTCAAACCCCTCTGTTCAGCTCTGTGATGTCACTGCGTGGTATCTAATCTAAACGATCGTCTTTATGACACGTCAGCTTCATATTTTTAGTTTAATTTAAACTGCTTCAACCCTCGGTGCATTCCGACCGAGGACCAGGGCCATGTTTACCTGTGGTTTGCATGAGGTTTTACATACGTCTCACCAGGCAGGTTTTTCTAGTTTTTCAAACACTATGTATATTCTGCTATTCTACGTGAACATTAAAATGATAGTTATGATGTAGTTTGTACACCTAGACTTTCAAACATTTGTGAGGGTTTTTTTTTTTCAAATGAAGAGTTCCTTTATCCCCCCTCTCTCTCTCTTTTCATAATTTTTCCATTTTGTTGAGGTATTTTCATTTTTCAGTAAACGTAAAGTTAAATACATTTGTTCCAGAAGTGGTAGAATTGTTCCTTTTACACGGAGGCCAACTAAATAATCCTTTGAAAACTCTGCTAAACAAAGAGTCATTTGAAAACATCACATTTGTTTTATAGTTTAACATTAACCTACATTTAAATAAAAAATAATCTGGACTCAATGTACAGAATCTAATCTACGTTTGAAAGAAGAAATAAAATGAACACTGTAACAGCCACCGCCTGAAAGATGGAGTTAAAAACGCGAGGCTTCCTAAATGTAGAACTACATTCACAAAAAGTTTTGTTAGTGTGCGTTCAGAATTATAATGATGACTTTCTTTAGATAAATCTAATCATTTAAATAAAAAACAAACAAACAAAAACTCACCGTTCTGATGTGGATGGAAGCTCGAGTGTAAATGAAGGCTTACACTCTAATGCCTGAGGTTTATTGAAGCAAAACAGGTGATCTTTAGTTTCACTTTAGTTTTCTGTAAAATCCATCGGAAGTTATCTGGCGCTTTGTGTGACTCAGGTTCTGGATGTGAGGGAATTTCCTTAAAAATATTCCATATTCCAGAGCAACATTTGTAGAACTGTGTTAAACTTCACTGTCATTTATTGTTTTGTCTAATTTCATGCGCAGATGAATTTTAAACGTGCAATCAAATCTGGATTAGGCCTGGTCCAGTGCTGCTATAGGTTTAGTCCTGGTTTAATCCCAATTCTTTCTCATTCTTACAGACATAACTCTCCTCCAAGCACAGGTCAGCAGTACAATAACAAGTTGGAACTGGTCAGAACCGAGGCCTGATTTCATACAGTATTAGTCCTGGTTTAGTTTAGACCTGGGTTGGTCCTGGTTTGGTTCATCTTTAGTCCTGGTTTAGACCTGGTTTAGGTCTGCTTTCAATCAACCAATCAATCAAACTTTAGTTATAGAGTGCTTTTCATTCCAAAATGCAACACAAAGTGCTGCTTTAATCCTGGTCCTTGTTTAAACCTTGTTTAGTCTGGGTTTGGTTCGTTTTTAGCATTGGCTTAGTTATGGTTTAAACCTGATGTAGACCTGGTTTGGTTCTTTTTTAGTCCTAGTTAAGTCTTGTTTAATCAGGCCATACTTTTTATGTTTCACCATAAGTGTCGAAATAACACACAGCTCTTTCAAAATTAAATCGAGCTAAAACACACACATTGACACACAGTGGTTTGAACATTCAATACTTTTATTGTGAAAAACTCCTCTTCTTCCCTTCTTTCTGTCACTGTACAATCAATAACTTAAACAAAATTCGGGCTCACTCTCTCAGATCCGAGCTCAGTTCAACAGTAGTGTCCTGTCTAAAACTACCACAACACAACGCCTCAAAACATACAAAACATTACAATATTAAATACAAGCTCCGGTTCAGCAAAGAAACAACAATATGTGAAACGTTGGCAACAAGATAAAGTGGAATTACAAATAATAACAATACAAAAACATCTGTCCATGATTGATACTTTGCAGTGATATCACGCTGGGGGAGCAGTGTATTTGTCTGTGGTGTTAACTGTGTGACTGTGTTAAAATAAAGCTCAGATTAAAGTTTACCACCCCTCATGAATGTTGACGATATCAGCGGCAAAGTATCATCAGCTTTAAATTCCCAAATATTTTAAAATATCCATGACATCCAGGAAATAGTTTTTTCACTCAAATTTACATGTACAACCTCATAAAACATTTTCAAAACTTGTCCTGTTAAAAAAGTTGTGCATCATAAAAATACGTAGCAAAAAAGATGATCAAAATGGTTAAAATGACAGAATAAAAACATCAGAATTTCACTTTTAAAGGTGCAGTATGTAACTTCTCTGATGGAGGGTTAGCCACCTGCTTTTCTCACAGACATGTTACTGCCTGGCCTGGAATGTTCCACAGTATAGCATTAAATGTATCTATATTACATTTATTCAATTACAGGTGTTTCTATTGCTTAAAAATACGATATAAAACATGCACTTGCAGATACTTGGCCTGATAGAGTCATCCACGTGTTTATTAATGCCCTATTGTGAAACATTCTGCACAGCAATAACACAATATTTCCATGGTGACAAGCAGGTGATGAACCCTCTACCAGAAAAGTGACATAGTGTATCTTTAACACATTTTTTGCACGACTCAAATGAAGATAAACATTGTGAATCCATGTCATTTTACCTAAATGTAGAAATGATTTTTTGCAGTGGAACACCAGACCCTCTAGTGGTCACTCAAAAGTATTGCAGCACAAATTTCTCGAGTCAAAACGTACAAAACAGATTGAAAAATGTACACTGTATTGCTTAATTTGACATCTTGTACATTTTGGAAATCCATATTTATAATTAAAGAGCCTATATTACTTTTCTGAAATATGTTATAATGTTGTTTCCTCATCAGAAATACTGGAACAGAGCATTTTGAGCTTTGGAGATGTACAAAGACTAATAATAAAAAGTTATTCAAACATGTGTGAATGAAACAAACACAAGTCCAGGTGTGTTTTTGAAGAGGGAACAGCACTGAACATGACTTAAAGCTCACAAGAGTCAATTTTGTGTAATATAGGACCTTTAAAACACGAGTATTATTGCATTGCTAGCGTTAGACATTCCTATATTTACGAGTTTCAAGCTGTAGCAACAGTCTCCCATAGTCATAGCAATTAAACAATTCAAATAAAATATTATATCTTTCAAATGTGGAAAGGTTCTCACTCGGTTCTTCAAATCAGAAAGGAATTGTTTGTCTTTTTGTCTTGGCAGTGTCACCACTAATTTTAAAGTTTTTGAAGGTTTGATGGGTGACGATTTCCTAATTCTAGTTTTTAGCACCATTTTTTTTTTTTTTTATAATTCACTCCAGTAATTTGAGAGAATGTTAGGAAGTGTTAGGAAGTTAAAAAAGCCATTTTTAAAGAGGGGGTATTACACTTCTATGGGGTATTTTAATTGCTAACACATATTTAGATCACCGTGTTACTTTTTATTGTTTTGAAAATACAGCATAATATGTATAATGAGTTTCACTTCCGTTTTTGATGCTCTGAGTCTCTTCTCCCTTTGCTCTCCAAGCTAAATCGCTCCCTCTTCATAGCGCTGTCACAACACAATCAGTGCACAATTCCACTAATGAAACTACTGCACATCATTTCAGGTTTGTGAAGTTGTAGTGTACAGTTTTGTATCCGGCTTTTCTATATTTATGGAGAATTGGGTGACGTAGGCTTGTGGGTGGAGCCTCGTACATCATCTTACAGCGAACATAAGGAGGGTTCAAATAGGGCGCGGGAGAGATTGTTAGATTACCGTATTTTCCGCACTATTAGGTGCTCTGGATTATGTGGCACACTGTCATTGAATGGTCTATTTTCGAACTTTTTTCACAAATAAACTGCGTGGGACTTTAAAGGAAACACAACAGTGTGATGGGTGAGTGGTTTTGTTTGTTTGTGGCGTTCACGGTGACTCTGGGCTTTGTTCAGTTGTGGTGTGTAGGGAGGGTGCTGTCTGGGACCACTGGATTGTCGGCGTGTTCGCAGTGACTCAGTTGTTCAGTTGTGTCTAGAAGTGGCACATTGCACTCGCTTTTTCGGTTCATTCCTCGTCAGTGTGGAGTGATGAGTGTGTCTGTGGGTGTGTTTTGCTGTGCGGTCGCTGTCTGCTCCATGTGTGTTTGTGTGTTCTCTGGGTGGTGCGGCTTTGTAGGATTCGTTTATAGGGCGCTCTGGATTGTGGGTCATTTTTTTGATGGGGTTGGAGGCTTAAGAGCGCGTCTAATAGCTCGGAAAATACAGTACTCAAACGTTCGTGGATGACATCTAAAACCTCTTCAGGCATGTTTTTGATAAGGAAACAAGGTTATAACGTGGAAGAAAGCGCCAATTTTTCGCACAATACCCCCTCTTTAAGTAGAAAAAACATTTGGTCCTTACAAAACTACACCTGTACAAGACAAGCAAGAAAAAACAGTTACAGGTGTAGTAGAAGTTCTGTAAGTGACAAGGCAGCGCTCAGAAAGTGTCTCAGAATTAAATCAAACATCTACTTTATCATCACAACTATTAAAAAGCAAAGACTGCAACTGATTAGGCATTATAAAATGTGTGTAAAAGCTGTGAACCCTGTAGTTTAGACCTCTACACGCACACAAAAAATGCATCTTGTGTTAGTTTAGCAGTTCAGATGTTCAAGCTCCTGTGCTTAAAAATGTCAAAAAGGTTGCGTTCACTGACATGACAACATTGTAGAATCACTGTAGTTTAAAGTGAACTGGAGATAAGACAGAATTCTCAGGTGGTGTTTGTTGTGGAACTGTCAGAGTGCAGATTTGTTGACCTGGTTTATGGTTCATATCTCTGTAATGCTTGGGCCTATCCACATAAAAAAAAAAAAAAACTGGCACAAAGTTCAGCGTCTTTTCTGTTAGTATAAATAAACAAAAGTTAAATTCTTTTTTTCGCAACAGCTTCAGAAAGTGGTGCCATTTTTCAACCCCAAAAATGTGACTGTTGTTGTGAAATAATCTGAGACACAAGTTAACAATGACAAGTTTGTGGAGCCAATCCCAAACAAATAATGAAAAGATTCAACATTTGTGGATTTCAAAAACGGCGAGTCTCCCCATAGAGTTACACAGGCCCCGCCCTCATCTGAAATTATGACATCATCAGATTCTTCAAATCCTATTGCAATATTCGTCTGAGAAAATTACAATTGCACATTTCTTAAAACTTGTCTAATCACATTTTCTAGATTCACAAAAAATCCCACACCAAAATAAAAATAAAATACATATTCTGACTTCCTCGTCCCAGCCACCATTTTTATCTTGTTGCCAAACTTTCAGGCTTTTCCTCGCTGCTTTCAAAACGTGCACATGTTTTAAAATAGGGATATGAAGAGGTGTGTAGTGTTCAGTGGTAGCTTATTGGTCATTTAAATAGCAAAAAACACATGAAAATATTGTATAAGAGCAAAAAAGACAAAGTAGTGGAATAAATCGTGTGCTGTGGTGCGTTCAATGTCACAATTCAAAGTCTGTACAAGTGAAATTCAGTCAATGTAGTGTTTTAAAAAGTGTCTGGTTGTGTTTACATGAGGCACCGTTTAAAAGCTCCGCCCACGTGGAAAGATCCTCCATTTTACCCATAAGTCTTTGCTCTGCAGAGTCCAGACAAAACCGGATCTGGTCCATTGTGACTTGTCCAAATTTACCTTTAAAACGACAAAGAAAACATTGTGTTACATTTGAGCCAAACAGAACATTGTATTGTTGCTTAAATATATTTGTGGATGGCAAATTAAATGTTGGGGAGATGAGGCAGCTGGAGGGGAAGTAGGAAAGTAGGAATCCACTTTACAGATAACGACATAATGAGGGTCTGTCAAACTTTTCTCCATGGAGATGTTATTGCTTTGTCTGGAATGTTCCACAGTATGACATTAAACCTTTCTATCTTCATGGAGACCAAAACCAGACCAAGTTACAGGGCAGATCTGTGGAGAAGATCCCGCTCACAGTCAGAAAGTCTGTGTTTCAAGGGATTTTTGAGCCATAAAACCGCCTGTAACTGAATGCCGTATTTTCCGCACTATAGGGCGCACTTAAAAGCCTTTCATTTAATCAAAAAACGACTGTGCGTCTTATACATGAATTTATTCGGGTGTCTTAGTACGACTTTAGTAAAGTTTAAACTCAAGACTGTTCTAAAGTGAAAGTGCGAGCTGTGTGGGAGCAGTGGATGAGAGACGGAGAACACACATTTACCAAGACAGAGAGACAGCACCGAGCCACTTACGCCACGATCTGCCAACGGATTGTGGACGATTGGACTAAGGATCAGTATCAACTGTGGTCCGCGCTTTCACCAAGACCAGAATCATCACTGAACTGCCAGGGAACAGTAACCACACTGACTCGGATAATGACGAGAGGGATGTGGACATGTGGACGCCGGAATCACCCAACTGTCTGAATAATTATGACTTATTGTGAATACACGAACAATTTAGCTTCTCAGATAGAATTTTTTTTACGTGTTACAATTGAACAAAGTTGAGAGTTATTGTGAACGCATTAATGCTTTGTTATTAAATACATTGTTATTAAATAAACCTTATAGTCTGGTGTGGTTTATATGTGAAAAAAGTTAAAAAATAGACCATTCAATGACGCCTTATAATCCAGAGTCCCTATAGTGCACAAAATACAGAACATGTAAGGTAGAACTGTTTAATGTCATACTGTGGAACATTTCAGGCAGAGAAATTACATATCCATAGAAACAAGCAGGTGACAGACCCCTAATCAAAAGTGACATAGTGCACTTAAAAGCACAAGTTTGAGGAGTAACCAAGAAGCCAAGAAATTATATGAAGCAGCTGTCTTTAGCCTCATTCATACAATTTGCCTGCATTTTGCCAGAAAAGCATCGTGTGTGAACGAAGCCAGAACTGATTCCTCTGCATTTTTGATCTGGAGATTTCTCAGTTAAATTACTGGTAATGTACAATTTATGTGTGAATGAAGCCAGAAAATTGCCAGGACCACTGCTTGGTTTCCTCGGTTATGAGTGTGACCTCACCCAGCGTTTGGCTCCAGTCAAATGAAGCTCACCGAGGCTGGCAGTTATATTCATTTTTAATTAAATTCTAAGGACAAATTGGGAGCTGAGTTCTATATTAGTAAAAGGGCTTGATTAATGGACCATATAGTAGAATAAAAACACCAGGATCATGTAGAGTGAATTGGAGTCAGTGGAGCCAGATGCTCATTTCCTTTCAGTCTCCCAGTAATACTCTCCTTTTGCTCGCTTCAACCTAACACTAGTACACACACTACTGCATGCATACTGTATTTTTTTTTATTCTGTACTGACTATGAATTTAGGATTTTTGTGAACTGCTTTTATGAACCTGACTGCACTGCATTAATTTCTGTTTTTATTCTGTTGTCATTACTGTATCTTTATCTTTGAAGTCTATGCACTTTGTACTTCATCCCTAAGACAAATTACCCCTGGTGGGACAATAAAGTTGATCTTTTAATGCATCGTAAAGCACTTTATAATTCCAAAGGACTCATATTATTATATGTGGTAATAAATGTTGTATATGATGTTTTAATAGAACTGTCCACTATTCCTACAGCATATTATAACCTACTGAAATTTTAAGTACTTGGTAACATCACACAAACACCTGTTTGCAGGGGTGGAGTTTGACGCGTGGATACCTGTTTGACCAATCACACTGCTCCTTATACCTCCTCCCTCACTCTCCCCTTTAGTCCTCCAGAGTGGGCAGAGTTTAAGTCTTTAGTCCCACTTGAATTTTAACACATATATATATTTTTTATTAAACTACTCAATACAAGATGAATATAGTACAGTGAGAGTGTGTGAACGTACCCCGGGCTGTGTGCTGTTATGAGATCTTGCAGTTGTTTCTGGTGCAGTTCTGGGGGGGGCTCTGTGGCGGTCGGATGGACTTGGAGCGTTTGAGCGAGTTTCCCTTGGACGCGGCGTTGGGGTTGGCGAGAGAGTATGAGCGCCCGTGCATCATCACCGCGTTCATGCCGTTCGCCATCGAGAAGGACTTCAGGTGAGACTTTATGGCCACGGGCAGAGGCAGCTTGTCAATGAGGTGAACAGGAGTGCAGGAGACTATGGCCCGACAGCACAGGTCCTGCAGACTGAACACTGACAGGGGGACAAGAAAGAAGAGGGAGAGAGAGATGAGGGGAAAGGAGACGGATGGACGGAGACGGAGAATGTTTTTGCAATGCATTCTGAAGTCAGCCACGACCAAAAGCTTTACCCATACTTTTATAGAATCTACCCTGTATTTTGTGATTTTATTATCTTTTTGAGTCACTACCGTATTTTTCGGACTATAAGTCGCATTTAAAATCCTTTAATTTTCTCAAAAATCGACAGTGTGTCTTATAATCCGGTGTGCCTTATGTATTAATTCTGGTTGTGCTTACTGACCTTGAACTGATTTTATTTGGTAAACTGCGCTCAGAAATCTGTCAAAATGTTTTTGTTCGACTTTGGTTAACTACGAAGCTGCACCACTTGATGGATTGTTGGAGCATTACGGCTGCTGTAGTCAGGAGCCTCGCGGAGTAATACACATTCAACAAGACAGGGAGGCAACGCCGGGTGAGTTACTCCACGATCTGCCAATGGATTGTGGATGCCTGGGCTAGAGCATGGAAATCTGACTGAAGTCTGATGGGACGGACAAATATTTAGAAGTTTTGCTCGGGCTCGGGTCGGACTCAAACACACACATCAGTGAATCATCTGTTTCCTGTCTACAGTAAAAACCAGTCAGACTGAGGTCCACTGCTGCTCTCTCGTCTGTATTGGTTCATCCTCTTGTGAAGAAGTTATTTAGTCTCTCCAATGTAGCGTTCACTGCAGTCTTCACTACACTGTATGGAGTAGACAACATTGCTTTGTCCAGTCTTCAAACTGAATTTTCTCCTCGCCATGGATTCTACCTGGACGACTGAGGGATTCTTCACACAGTTTTTCATTTAGTTTTTGTTGAAAATCAAACACCTAAACAGGACCATTAATCACAGGCTCCTGAAAATGTGCTGGTTAAATCCAGTTTGTATTTTTAAACTTTTTGTCATAAATGTTGCAAATCACATTCTATTGAGTATTGAGTCTATTTCTTAGTATCAATATTGAGTTTGAAAAGTTAGTATGGTGCCAGCACAGCCCCACAGTGGAGTGCAGTACCTCTGTTGGGCCTCCAGAACTTCTCCATGCCGTGCCTCATGAGGACGATTCGTGACAGTTCCGTGAAGGACTCGATCACGTTGAAGTTACACAGAGGACTGACCTCGAAGAACGTCATGCCGTTTTTCTCTGCGTACGCCCGTGCCTGCTCCGTGGGCACCTGCCGTTTAAACGCCAGGTGCAGCCTGTTACCCACCAGGATCCGGGGCACTCCAGGGGCATGCTGGGAAATGGAGGAAACACAGGGATCAGGGAGAGGACTACTTGAAAAGAGCTGTATAAATCCAAAATTTAATGAATACATGAATACAGTTTTGATAATCTGTCCATTCAATTTGCGATTATGATTCAGTTGTGATTAGCAAAGCTTTAACATCACCATGGAGACAAACGGGTAATGGATCACCACCAGAAAAGTTACATACTGAATCTTTAAAGGTGCATTGTGTAACTTTTCTGGTGGAGGGTTCATCAAATGTTTTTCTCCATGGAGATGTTATTGTTTTGTCTGGAATGTTCCACAGTATGGCATTAAACCTTTCTATCTTCATGGAAACCAAACCAGACCAAGTTACAGGTCAGATCTGTGGAGAGGCGACCCCGCTCACAGTCAGAACGTCTGTTTCTCTATGTATTTTTGAGCCATAAAATCACCTGTAATTGAATAAATGTAAGGAAGAGCTGTTTTATGTCACACTGTGGAACATTCCAGACTATCTAATTGCTACAACATCAAATAGAATATACATTACAAAATGCTTGAGCTCTTAAATCAGAGACAGAGGAGATATGAACAGACTGGAGCAGCTCTGTGGAGGTGGGGCAGGAAAAGGACCAACTGAAAACACAACATTCCACTGGACAGAAATAACTCCCCAAAAAACTCACAAATTTAACCAAGCACACAATCACGAGGGGGTCACTACATTTACACAACAACTCCTTCTGTTTAACTGTGAATAAAACAAAATAAGTCTGGAAAGTAGGGATTTCACCCTATCAGATGTTAGGGTTAAGATGACTGCGAGATGAAACATGACAATATAACCATTATTATTATTCATTTTCTATCATTCTAAGACATTACCACACCTCTGCTTTAGACCAGATTTATGAAATCAAACTTTTGTAATACAAATGTAAAGTTACTATGATACAAAACGCCACTATAGACTATACCAGTATTTCTCAAACTGTGGTACGCGAGTTTCTTCAGGTGGTCCATGGAGCTCTTCAGTTTGTGGCTTTAATTCATTTAGATTTATTGTATCCACGTTTTTGTCCTCTCTGGGTAATCCTTGTTTAGAACTACAGTGGATATGATGTAGTCCACTGGTTTAGACCTGGTTTAGTCCAGTCAAGTCACATATGTAGTATTTGTATAGCACATTTAAAAACCACCACAGTAAACCACAATACACAATATACAAGAAAAACAAAGATAAAGATCATTTAGGTCAAATAATAATAGTCTGACTATAAAGAAATTGAAAGGTGCATCTTTAGCAGTTCAATGATGATTAAAAGATTAAATGATTAATGATGATTTAATGATTAAAGGAAGGGAGTTTGGGAGCTGCTACAGTGAAGCCCCGTCTCCTCAGAGAGGAGCAGCCGACTGGGCTGTGGAGCTGTAGGAGTACAGTGGGGCTGGGCCAGACTGGCTTGTATGTGTTATATACATGTATGTATATAACAGAGATATATTATATATATTATAATATTATATTATAAAACTACTAGGTATCTGATGGATATGTTTCCACTTTTTGGTCCCTGTCAGGAGGTGAGCTGCCACATTTTGCCCCCTGGAGGCGGCGGAGGTTTAGCCCTAGATTAGACCTGGAATAGTCCTGACATAGACTTGCAACCACTGCACTGTGTACACAACATAGGTACACTTTAAAAACTGTACTTTCTGCATCTCTTAAGGCAAAAAGTTTCATAAATAAAATATAAAAATAAGAGCACAGCTATATTTCACCTCATCAATTTCTCTGATCCATCGGTCGATCCCGTCAAACGACCAGCGGTTTGTGATGTCATAAACCAGCAGGATGCCCTGGACACAAACATGACAGAATTAGAGAATAAAGAAGACAAGACAGAAAGAAAACAGAAGCATCTGAGACTGAAACAGTTTCATGTAGACAAAGAGCAGAGGTCAAAGGTCAGAGCCTCACCTGAGCTCCGCGAGAGTACGACCTGAAGATGGTGCAGAATCGGCCCTGTCCAGAAGTGTCCCTGAAACACAAAAACCACAGGGCTAAAGAACAGTCTTAACACTGTCTTAGTCTTACTAATATTAAACCACATGATATTAAACGTGATGATAATGGATCATATTTCTTTTAACAACAAAGACGTGCACCACAAAAATGTACTCAGAGCATTTAAACGTGCACTAGAGTCACGTTCCACTGGGTCACTGTGGAGCAGATCAGTGTGGTCTGAAATCTCCACTGTGTGAGGTGAACTGTCCCGGCCGGTTTGAGGGGGTACTAGCTCGGACAGGGGTCTGGGTCTCTTCAGCTTCTGCTTTATCTTAAGGAGGAGCTAAATACCAGAGGGAAATGATGGATAAGAGGGAATTCACTCAGGTGAAATTTTACTTTGAAAAACACGAAAAGCTGCACTATGTAACTATTCTGGTGGAGAGTCCACAAGCTAATGGTCTGTGGAGAGGTTATTGCCTTGCCTGTAATGTTCCACAGTATGGCCAGGCAAGAAAATGGGTCAGGAGTGAAAAAGGTGAGAAGGGTGTGTGAGGGGCGACGTGGCCTCTGGTGTATATGTGTATATGCACTCTGTGATGACTGAAGGCCATGAAAACCATATGGCTGAAAACTGTAAAAGCCACTTTTCTCACAAGTTATTTTAACAGTACTTGACAAACGGCACAAGAAGAACATCAGAGCATGAAGCTGTGACATGATTGGAACACCGCTCGTACAGTTCAGTATATGATTGAGTCTTGGCAGTGGAACAGGCTGGATATTTGCTGACACTCGCCATATTTCTCTTAAAGTGTCCCTATACATTTTGGACGATTTCTCAAGTGCTCTGTCTCCTCATATTAGAAAGTCTCACACACCCACACAGAATGCAAGTGATTACCAATCCAAAAATATGTAGAAACTGGGTAAGTGATTGTTCTGTAAATACTATTGCCCGCTTGCTTGAATTAAATAAAACAAAACAAAGGCAAGGGTGGCTTTAACTTTAAATTATATTAGGCCACATAATGAAGTATAAAAACCCCCCAAAGTTCACAACACCTCCCCTTTAATGTGCGCCCCCACCGTAGTCTTTTAGAGTCTGGATTATATCCACACATTATGTTGCCCATGCTTGTGATTCACATAGGTGACATGTTTTGGCTTCAAAATGGGAAATTTCGCTAAAAAGTTGAGAGGTTTTCATGCCTGATGGCATTAAATGCCTCCATCTTCAAAGAAAAAAGCAGATGGTCTGATCTGGCCAAATTACATGTTAAATCTGTGGAGGGGCGACCCCACCCACAGTAAAGAAAAGTTTTCTCTTGGGAGAATTTAAGTTACAAACATATATGCAAATATGTATTTATTCCAGGCAAGGTAATAACAGGGAGAAGAGCAGCTGGGGCGCTCGACCAGCAAAGGTTCAGAGTGCAGCTTTAAGACACAGTTCAGTTGTTCATGTTTTAATTCTAATGAGACAGTTTGACACATGCTGTGTACATGCTGCTGCTTGTGTCTCCTCATAACAATGCCACTGTAAATAAGTTTTACTATGAGGTTTGAGAATTCATTTGTTGTTAGGGGCTCTCTGGCAGCAGTGACAGTATACCTGAGTTAACAGAAGGGGGCAGCACACTCACCACAGTTCCAGCTTCACTCGGCGCCCATCCAGGAGGATCGTGGTGGTTTTGTAGTCGATGCCTGCAGCAAAAATGGAAGAAAAAAGAAAAGTCTTTCAATTCTGAATAAATATAATGAAACCAATGATGAGAAAGTCAATACAAAGTAGACTGACAGCACTCACATTATTTCAGTATTAATTGACTGGATATGTCAAATATGTTTTTGTTAGTATCTTTTCACAATCTTATCCTCCACTAACTGATATTAAAACTAGTATTGAAACTAGGTACTTATTTGTGCAGGTATCAATACTAAAAAAAAAAAAGAGAGATCCTTTCTTTAGAATGATGTTGAGCTGTATCAGAAGTGTCAGAGCACATAGACTAGTACACACACATGGACCAACATGAACCTACTGCATCTCTGACCATTACACACATATAAGACACGTGGGAAGAGAAAAGCAAGTACAGCCTTTTAATGTGGAAAATCACATTCTATTATCTAAAGAAAGGGTGGTTTTATCATCATAGTGGTATCAGTGGTCTATTCCTTAGAATCAAAAAAAGAGTTTGAAATTTTAGTATCACGACAACACTAATTCACTTATTTTGAAAATGCAGATTACGCTTTTTGGTTGTAGTTTAAAGGTGCACTGTGTAACTTTTTGGTTGGGGGTCTGTCACCTCCTTGTTTCTATGGAGATGTCATTGCTCTGTCTGGAATGTTACACAGTATGATATTAAACAGATCTACCTTGCATTTATTCAATTGCATTTTATAGCTCAAAAATACCTAGAATCTGACTTGTAACTTGGACTGGTATTCCTCTCCATGCGGCTAGAAAGATTTAATGCCATACTGTGAAACATTTCAGACAAAGCAATAACATCTTCATGGAGAAAAGCAAAAGTGTTTGACGGACCCTCCACTGAGAAAAACGACACACTGCAGCTTTAATGTTGACATATAAATAGAGAAGAGGCAGACATGCATTCAGGGGCTGGTTTTCAGTTCAAAGCAGGTTAGCGGCTGTGTTGGACCGGTCTCTCTGGTTCAGACTCTGTTTAAACTCGTCCCATTCTGATCTCATGTAACTCATATAAAACATGTTTACACCAAAGACAGAATGCAGAGGGGCCGCTGACGCCTATAGGAGGAGAGGCACAGGCAGCAGCTGGAAATCTACAACTAGAGGAGAGTATAGAAGCAAATCATCTAAGAATCAAGAACGCAAAAAACGTGCTTACCTGCAGTGCTAGTGTTATCACAATACTAACATTTCAAACTTGATTTTAATACTTAGGAACAGGGCTGAATAGGGCAAAATTCCAAAGTAAGAGCACATGCACACGTTTCTGATGCTAGCAGTAACAAGGATATACATTTAGGTTTAATATACGGTATTTTCCACACTATTGGGCGCTCTGGATTATAAGGCGTCATTGAATAGTCTATTTTCAAGCTTTTTTCACATATAAACTGCACCGGACTATAAGGCGGATTAAACGAAACACAACAGTTCAATGGGTTACGGCAGGGGTGCTTACACTTTTTTAGCATGCGAGCTACTTACAAAATAACCAAGTCATAATGATCTACCTAATACAAAGCCAAGCAAACTGCACTGAAACACTCTGTGCTCCTTTTTTGGACCCTCATCCACAGTTTGAGAACCCCTTCATTAAGAGAACTTCCTCTAGCACACAAAACTGTGAAAAAAGTGAAGGAAGATTTTTAAACCTGTTTTTTAAAGTTCCAAACTGGAGTTACATTCTTTTCTGGTTTTGCAGTGATATTTACCAGCCTCTGCACGTTTACCAAACCAAACACACATCGTGACAAACACAGATGCATTTGTGCACTTTTGTTAGGCAAACTTCAGCCAAATGTGGCAGTAGGTCTGTTCTGTAGATCCGCTCTATGCTGTAGACCTGCTTTGTGCCAACACTGGAACACAAATTTAGACTCGTTTTTGCTTCACGTTTGGTCTTGCTCTTCTAATCAGCGCACTGTGGGAGGGGCTTGTGTTCGCTGTACGCAGGAAGGAGCGAGAGCGTGAAAAGGCGAGGGGCGGCGTGCTGACGTGAGGCAGATGGACAGGTAGGATGTTTAGGAAGTTGAACCTGCCCTGTGATGCACGCTGGTACACGAGGGCACACGCTGTTGCAGACGAGCCGTGCATAGGGAGTGTGTGTGTTTGTGATGTGCCGTAGAGTCTCCGCGGGTTTCAAATGAGCGCACAGGCTGCACTGAGACGCCCCACACGCTCCTGCACCCCGCTACAAGTTTATTACCAATAGCAGCGGCCGTAATGAAATATGATGGCACTTGTTGAGTGTCAGACCTTGAGGGAGAGACAAGGCCGAGTCCAAACGCGATCGAGTCCGAGACGAGACACGGCAATCTACCCACACGACCTTGGCGATCGACTGGTAGATCGCAATCGACGTATTGAGCACCCCTGGGTTACAGTGACTCTGGGGTTTGTTCAGTTGTGGCGTGTAGGGAGGGTGCTGTCTGGGACCGCTGGATTGTCGGCGTGTTCGCAGTGACTCAGTTGTTCAGTTGTGTCTAGAAGTGGCACATTGCACTCGCTTTTTCGGTTCGTTCCTCCGTTCCGTTCCTCGTCGGCGTGGAGTGATGAGTGTGGCTGTGGGTGTTTTTCGCTGTGCGGTCGCTGTCTGCTCCGTGTGTGTTTGGTGCGGCTTTGTAGTTTACTGAAGTCGTGCTGGGACACCTGAGTGGATTCGTGTATAGGGCGCTCTGGATTCTGGGGCACGCAGTCATTTTTTGATTGGGCTTATGAGTGCGCCCTATGGTGTGGAAAATACGGTACTGTACAAACTCATTCCTAACTTTAAATGTGGATTTCTCCGGAATGATTGGTTCTATCAACACCAAATAAAAATTGTAGTGATCGTACCCCTTCCCCTATATGTCTGAAGTCCACATGTCTACGCTTTTAATAAGATGGATGGATCTAATCGAAAATCGAAATAGAACAATAGGGGTGAAAAAATCTTGATTCTTTTTTCCCTTATCGCCCAGCTCTACTAAGGATTATACTTTATACTCAATACCAGTTTCGATACCACTATAATAAAAAAAAAAAAAAAGATAATAGCAATAGATAATAGATTCTGACACATATCGTCATATTTGAGAATCATGAATGACGTATCAAGTATCATATCGAACTGTGAGAGATCCTGTGATTCCCAGCCCTATTCTACAGTGGTCCATGTGTGTATATACTAGTCTATGTGCTCTTGTAAACTCATTCATTGTAAACACATTCAGGAAAGGATCATTTCTGTCAATGGGACTTTTTTTAGTATCAATACCTGTGAAAAAAAAAAAAAAAAAGAGTATCTAGTTTTGATTCTAGTTTTAGTATTGATTAGTGTCTTAGTTGATCAGTGTCTTATTAGTGATTTCCGGTACTTTTGACAGCCCTGTTGATAATTCCACGGTGTTGGCTTGCGCTTGTACATTCTGTCAGTATCTGTAGCCTGTCCCTCCTCACAGCTCCAGGCCTGTGCTCAGTTCTGCCTCGCCCTGATTTTTGAGCTGAAATATTCATGTTTTTCTGTTGAAGGCTCATTTTTCATGAAGCTTCAGAACATTATCTCCCTCCCTTCATCTAAAGACGTGCACAGTCTCAGCTCTCAGATCTAAAAGGCAGCGCAGCTTTTAAATGGTCTATATTACACTCATGTTTGATGTATGATATAATATTTAATGATATAATGCTGCCTCATCAAAACATACCTGGATTTGTGTTTTACTTCACTCACATTTTGCTGTGTTCTTCTCTCAAACTAAGAACAAACAGTTCTACCTTGTGACGTCATCAAGTGGTAATATGGGAAGAAATCTACTGCGATATAAATTTGCTCTTTATAGTGCATCGGCCACTGGCTTAAAATCTCCAGCAAAAGGCAGTATTTTGCTGGGGCCTAAAGAATACGTGTGAAGAGGACATTGCACAAAAGTGACTACACAGCACTCATATCCAGTTTGTATTAAAACAGGTTTGTGGAAAAGTTTGTAGTAAATCCAAATGATTTTAATTTGTGCAAAATATTCAATTGGCTCAAAATATGAGCCGAAAAAATATTGGCAGAGCTAATCGGCCATTGGTACCTCTGGATTCTATACCATCTGTATTTGCATCAGACATGAAAAAAAAAACACCATCCTTACTCCTTCAAAGAATGGGTTTTTAATTGAGATTTACTGATGTTTTTTCATGACCAATGTCGATTTTTTTAGAATCTAGAGAAACCAAAGGCCATTGAGCTCTACCGATATTCTTGACTGATTTTTTACCATTTTCTACAAATTCTGTCATTTAAATTTACGATAAACTCACCCACAGACTTTTTCTTTTTACCACAAATCTTTCTGACAGCTGTGAATGTTTTGTGCAGTTTTATAATCTAAGTGTTCAAATTAAGCTTTATGTGATTCTTTAGGCAGTAGGTCGACCAAACTAAATATGGGCCTGTGCTGGAGATTCAAGGGCAATAGTCAATGCACTTAAAAGTGCAAATATCAGTCACACATATCGGTCTATATCAAGTTTCTAATACTGTGGAAAAAGACAGAAAGAGAATAACAAATGTCCAAAAATAAACTGTAGTGACTTTGATGATGTTGTTGACGATGACACAGAAGATGGCACCATGAGTCAGAACCACGTGAGCGAACATCGCACGGAGAGAGACAGCTCTTTGTTTTAAAGAGAGAAAGATGGAGAGGGGGGAGGTGGAGAAAGACATGAACAGAGACAGAGAGAGGGAGAAAGAAAGAGAGAGAGAAGAGAGATGACACAACTCCAGGAGGCCGTCATCACAACATGAAATCTGGGCCGACGCTGCTCCTCTGGCTCTGCTCCTCTGACGCTGCTTCACTCCAGATTTAAAAAGTACACACACTAGACTCATCATCAAAATACCACAAAGGCTGCAGTTTAAAAACACAATGGAGTATGTCCTGTATTACTTACTACATGACATCACAAGGTGGAACAGAGAACTAAAATATTTAAGCCCTATAATACACAGGGTTTGTGTGTTGAACATGTGTGAATGAAGCAAAATACAACTCCAGGTCTGTTTGTGATGAGGAAACATTGGAACAAAAGTCTGAAAACAGTGCAGTATGGGCCCTTTAAGACAGACATGTCAAACTCAGGCCCCGGGGCCAAATTTGGCCTGCAATATAATTATATTTGGCCCGTGAGATCATATCAAATATGTATTAGAGCTGGCCCGCCAGCTACAGATCGATAGAGACATGATTTATTCATAATTTTGTTATTATTTTATATTCTGCTTGTTCTGGATTCAATGTTTAAGCAAAACTATTATTAAACATTTATCTTAATAAGAAAGGTTTAACATTACATACAGTATCTCAAAAGAAGAGAAAACATGCAGATGTTGTTGAAATTTTTCAATAAATATTTACTTTAGCCCACAACTTAGTCCCAGTTTTTTATTTTGGCCTCTGTGGATTTGAGTTTAACACCCCTGCTGTAAGATCTCTTTTGGTTTAACTTTAGGTTAAATGAAAATTCTAAGATTACTTTACTTTTTAGAACTTCAAAATCTCAGATGGATGACATAAGTCCAAAATGACAAAACTGGTATTTACAAAAAACTAAAACATTAAATTACCAAACACATAATGAGTGCTACAGCTGTAGAATGTACTGATGGATCTTGTAACAGATAAAAACAATTAAAAACAGGACTAGCGAGCAGCAGCAGCCAACTGCGTCAGCGCACTTAGAGGTGCACTATGTAACTTTTAGGATGGGGGTCCATCACCTGCTTGTTTCTATGGAGATGTCATTGCTCTGACACATCCACAGAATGTTCCACACATTCATGACATTAAACAACACATTTATTCAATTACAGGTGGTTTTACAGCTCAAAAATATCTAGAAAAACAGACATTCTGACTGTGAGCGGGGTTGCCTCTCCACAGATCTGACCTGTAACTTGTCTGGTTTGATCTCAATGAAGATAGAAAGGTTTAATACCATACTGTGAAACATTCCAGACAAAACTATAACATCTTCATGGAGAAAAGCATTTGACAAACCACCCACCAAAAAAATTACACAATGCAGCTTTAAGTACAACCATGCCATTGTTTTGTTCTTATTGCAATGTTATAATCAGACTTTCTCTTATAGAGAAAAGGGGAAACTTGGACATAAATCATGACCTTTCAAACACAAAAACCACAAAACCATTACAATAACAGCAGTGCTGCACTGACCGCTGCTGTAGGCGTAGGGAGACTCCGCGGACCCGTCCTGAAGACTGTCCAAGATCTCTCCTTTGCCCACATCGCTGTCTCCCACCAGCAGGAACTTGAGCAGGTAGTCGTAGCTCTTCACCGGGCTGCCCTGGCTCCCCATCGCGGCTCACATCTGCAGGAGGTCCGCTGAAAAGTCCCAAAGACACCCGAGGATCCAAGCACAACAACCAACCCCCACAAACTCCGATCAAAACAACGTGCGTGTTATGGCTCAAACTTGCAAAAATACGGGTCCAGTTTAGAAATTAGCGTCCTTGATCACCTTTTGCAAAAGCTTCCAGCTTCAAAAATAGATTTAAATCCCAAAAAATGTCTTGAACTTTTAGAGGAATGCGTAAAAAGGTAGTGTTGTGTAATGTGGCGATGTCTTCAATATTATTAGTTCACAGCTTCACAATCCCGCAGGTAAAAATTCAACAAAAATGACGATTTATAAACAAAAATACTAATTACATGCATTCACGTGGATTATAAAAATATGCAGCGGCAATTTTATCTGAAAATCCCATTGTTAGCACCAGATTAACCTGGATTTCATAGATATTAAAATGGCAGATATGAAATTATTAATAATACACCCGATGCGTTGGTTACAGTTGCTTTTACAGTAAAAAATACTATGCAAAAATCTTCTGCAAAAAGCCAAACGCGTTAATATATTGTTTAAATCATTATAAATTATTGCTATCACTAAAATATGCAGAAATCTCAGTTATAATATCTAAATCTGACAGTATAACAAGCTAGCATTGTCAAATTAGCAGCGTAGCTTTGCAGTCACATCTACATGGGCTGATGGTTGAGTTGACATTACAAATGTAAAGGATATAAAAGAGGAAAACATGAAAGATTTTCAGGATAAATAAAGCAGCTCAGATTATGTGTTGTTTTTGTGTTTAAGCTAAATGCTAAAGCTAACGCAGCCCGTAGCGTTCCACTTCAGGCCGCCTCCTCGTCTTTTCTCTGCAAATCCAGCCACTTAAAAGACAAAATTTGGGATATTTAACAAACCTATCCCGGGGTATAACGTCCGATTAAAGTCTGTGCGCGTGTATCCACTGATCTCAGGTCGTTTTTGTCCCATTTTCGTCCATTTATCCCAAAAGCGCAGATGTCCCTCGCCGATTCGCAGCTCAGCTCTGAAGGGAAGCTGCTGACAGATGGAAGACGCTCACTACACTCTAGGCATTTCGTCCGGGGGAGGGTCAGTTTATGGAAAATTATTAAAATTATACAAATATTAAAGATAGAATAATAAGACTAATCTAAATAAACTGAGAAAATAGAAATAAACGAATGAATTAATGAATAAAAATGTTTAGTAAAATATTAAAATGTCATAATTTAATAATTCGAGTTAGATATTTTAAACTCAAAATCAGACCGATCTAAAGATTTAGACACTATAAATGAATTAGAAACTAATAAAAACACCATATCATTTGATTATGTTGCTAAAAATTAGCAAATAAAAACAAGTTTACAGAATAAAAAAATAAACAAACTAATAAAAATAATACGAATAAATAATAACACGAATAATAACACGCCGAAATATTTTTGAAAAGCTAAAATAAAATAAAACAACCAAGTATGACAAATTAAATTATATTTATTGAAAAAACATTACCTTTTAAATTTTAAACCACTCCTACTCGGACGAAATGCCTAGATTGTATTGATGTCCCACAGCTGACTGACCGTTCCCTCGCGCCCCGCCCTTTGCGCAACGGGATTGGACAAAAGATCTAAACATTGGCGCTCATTGGCTGTCGAGGACGTCAATCACAAGGCACTGTCAACAAACGCAGCGGACAAAGATAAACAGAACAATGGGAAAATCAGATGAATCAATAAATGTGCGTTTAAAATGTCACCGCTTCAAAACAGAATCAGTCAAAATGGCGTTTTAGCCTCTGTAGGCGGGTGAGCTTTGTATCACAGTGTTTATAATATTAATAATTCAGGTGTCACGTGTTTTAGACAAGTTCTATGATGTTCTTTGTGCAAAATGTGCTTTGTCTGAAATGAGTTCATGAAATTGTGTTTTATAGAAAGACCCATCCAAATAAAATTGCATGTATAAACCACAGACTAGATGCTTGCTGGATTTTCTTATTTGGTAATATCTTACTAAAAAAACAACAACGCCATAGATAAAAAACAGATAGAGTGACATTCTCGCATCACAATCTACGACCTCACTATCAAAGGACAAGAATAAACATGAGCTCAGAGAAGTGCAGCACGTTCTGACTATGACCCAAAAAGCAGTGTAACATGAGTCTTACTGTGATAATTTCTATGTTTCAACATCTTTTATGGAAAAAAACTTGAGGAACACTTATTTTGATCAGTGGAGGAATGTAACAAAGTAAAAGCAGTAAAGAACTGTACTTAAATAAATCATTACAATGTACTTTAGTACAGTACAGTAAAGCACAGATACCTTAAAGTGGAAACATTTTACTTCACTACATTTGAAAGCAGGTATCTATACTTTCTATTCTCAGTGTTGAGGAGTAACAGATTACATGTACTGGTGTTACGTAATCACAGTACAAATTTTGAGTAAGTGTATTCAGTTACAGTTACTGTTTCAATGAATGGAAATTGGATTACAGTTACTTTGTTGAAATAAATGGATTACATGGCAGTATTTTCCTGTTTTCACATTTTGGGCTAAACCAGGATTTAAACCAGGTCTAAACAATATGACACTAACAATAGTGTGGACATAGTTTAAGGCAGCAGTGATCTCATATAAAAATCATCTCTATCAATAATATTTTTTATTTGGTTAAGGAAAGACTGGACTTTTTATTGTCTTTATGCAGACAAAACATCTTATGTTCAGATCCTCGTCTTTGCTACTTTACAGTAAAACAAAAGTCTGTTCATGGAGACTTGGGCTCAACAGACACTTTCAAGAAAACAAAAAAGTATTTTCAGGATGTGGTTGTTACATTCATGTAGTTTTAAAAAGCATGACAATATCAAGTAATCCAAAGTATTCAGATTACATTACTCACTTTAAGTAATTTAATGGATTATGTTACAAACTACATTTTGGGGTATGTAATCTGTAATCTGTAGGGGAATACATTTTAAAACCTAACCTTCTCAACACTGTCTATTCTACATCTTTGAAGTGGACTGAAAAGTAAAAGTATTTTTCATTGCTGAAAAGCCTGAGGGTTTATTTTTAACGTGTTCATAGTCTGAGCAAACAAAAATATACAAATAAAAACAGCTAGGAAAAACTATTGATTCAGTTGTTTCTGTTGAACAAAATTCAGCAAAAATCTTTAACAAAATCAATACATTTAAAGATTTATTAGATCTCAAAACTTGTAGGACATACTTTTACTTTTTACTCGCAGTGCCACCTACCCACCTCACTCCAGCTGCCCACCGTACCAGATCTAATCATCCTTACAACTCATGGAGACCAAACCAGACCAAGTTACAGGTCAGGTCCGTGGACAGGCGTCCCTGCTCACAGTCAGAATGTCTGTTTTTCTGGGTATTTTTGAACTACAAAACCCCCTGTTATTGAATAAATGTAAAATAGAGCTGTTTAATGTCACACTGTGGAACATTCACAGAGCAGTGACCAGGGACATGTCCATACAAACAAGGGGACGGACCACCAACCAACATACATAGTGCACCTTTAAAACCAATATGACCCAGTATAAGAACCACACTCTGTCCCAGATATAAGATATAAGAATGGAATCAACTTCCAACTGATGTGGTTTTAAGCCTGACTTTGGACACTTTTAAAAGTCGTCTGGTGATTGGAGGACTTTTGGCTGACCGCCTTGAAAGACGTGTTTTTGAATCACTCCGTGGGATTGTTAAATTGAATACTGCTGCCAGGGTCCATTGCACACATTTAGGTTTAAATTAGCCTTGGATAGCATTCAGTACCTGGGTATTAAGTTTACAATCAAATATGAGGACATTTTAATATACAACTTATCTTCCCTAGTGGCATAGATGCGCCACATTCTTGAAGTAAATAAAAAAATCACTTGTTTCTATTGAACAAATGTCAGCACATTTTATTTTTTTTAATCAAAATCATGTCATTTGAAGCTTTATCAGATGTCAAAAAAGGTCAAATACTTTTACTTTTTACTCTTCACACTTCAACAGGTACTTTAATATTTTTACTTAATAGACGTAATAGATTATTTCATGTGATATTTTCACTTACATTCTGCTCCAGTAGCTGTACTTTTACTTAAGTACTAAGTAATTCCAAAACTGCACATTCCGGAACATTGCCCAGTCTCACCTGCATTCGGCTCTCACATATGGGGCTATCCATGATTTTCAGAATAATATAAAACTAGAAAAGCACTCAGAGAGCGCAGACCTCCGCTAAGGACTACCCCCATTTTTTATATAAATTGCGATAAAATCAGTCTTCTGGATCAGATCCGGATCAGCCTTTGGAATATGAAAGAGGATCCCATTGTCCATCCCTGAGTCAAATTTCATGGGGTTTGGTCAATAATTAACCGAGATATTGAGAAACAAAATTTTTGGCCCCATTTACCACAATGTTAACTAAAATTTCAAAGTGATCCAGAATCCAGGATTTCTTCCAGATCACCCCAAAATGAAATCAGTTCTTCCTTTTCACATTTCCAACAAATCCTGAAAATTTCATCAAAATCGGTCCATAACTTTTTGAGTTATGTTGCTAACAGACAAACAAACAAACAAACAAACAAACAAACAAACAAACAGACAAACGCCGGCAAAAACATAACCTCCTTGGCGGAGGTAATAACGGCCGTTGCTCTAGAAATGAACAATTTTAAATAAAATATTATGTGTTTTGAATAGAGAAAAAAATCATATAACAGGAAGCTGAAATCCATGAACAGAGGGAGTCTCATCTAAAGACTGAATCTACTGTGGAACATTCTAAGTGAAATGATGAAAAGATATAAACAAGTGTCCATCCCTCCATCAGAAAAAAGTTACATAGTGCACCTTTAAAGTTTCTATGTGTCATATTTATGATGTAATTATTACATCATATTATACTTTTTAAAAATTATATTATAATAATAATAAAAAATCTTATTTCAAATAGAATATTAACATCACACTCTCTCTCTCCGTTCATCGAGTTTGCAGATTAATCAACCAGAACCAGAACTAAAAAGGAAACTGTACAATATTAAAAAAGCAGATACATGTACAGTCCAATGTGGCACAAGATTTAAAATATAAAACAAAAACTCCCATATTAAATTGTATTATTAACTCTTTATTAAATTACATTATAGTTCACATAGACTGATTATAAAATAATAATAAAACATAAAAAAACAAAAAAAAATCCACAAGAAATCAAACACAATTTTGAATTGATTCATGAAAAGGGTAAAGAAAAATCACAGTTATTTTAAGACAAAGCACAAGCATTCACATTCAGGAAACAGCCTGGGAGATCTATCTGCACCAGTCACATTTTTATCCCTTTTTTGTCCATTTCCACTGTTTTGATGATGGCATGATGAGAATGCTGTAGCGGTTGCCATAGCGATTAAACATTTAAAACAAATGACTTTATCTTCTGAATGGGAAAGGGCCTTCGTGTAAGATTATATAACTTTATTCCCAACTTTCTGGTTTCTATTGCCCCCAGAGTAAAGAATAAAAAGTGATACAAGATTTTATCATTTTGTAGCTTTTTTAAAAACTACCTCTAACTGTTGAGACATTTTCCTGTCAAAGAGCAGAGGTGCAGACAGACCCTCCCAGACTTTTTCATATTCAAATATTAGGAATGAGAGCTACTAGTTAAAGCTCCTATAGGCACAATCTGACAAATGTGGGTTTATAAAACATTAGGGAAGAGTTTAACACGAGGTGAACAGAGCTTTAAGTAGTACACTGCATAAGGAAGTTAAGTCCGTTTTATTTCAAGTATAAAGTCTGTAATAACAATATATCTACATGTTTAAGTGCAGCCTTTTTCAAGTCATTTCAAGTTAATACGAAGAACACAAACTGACCTACTTATTTAAGTTAAGTCAATTTAAATTACTATTATAATTTCAATTTAATTTCCTTTTTGTTTCTAAGAATAGTTTAAGTATTTCCCCTCCCACACGTTATTATTATTATTATTATTATTATTTGATTTCCCCTTTATTACTTAATAACACTTTAAGAGCAATTTTATTCACAACTTTTGAACATGTTTGCGGCTGGTGAATATTATATTTCACTTTAAAGAGCCCATATGACGCTATTTTCTGCTCTAATGTTGTTTCCTCATTGTTCCTCATGAGTTTTATTTCAATCACACAAACCCTGCAGATTTACGCTTTAGAGTTCTTCTCTCAAACAGAAAACACTCTGTTCCACCTTGTGATGTCATGTGGTAATACAGTTAGTGCTCCGCTGTTCTTTTAAACACCACACATCTTCACCAGGATCATTTGGATGATTTCAGTCCTGGAATTGCCAAACAACAAAAGGTAAAAAGAGCTGTTAACTTGAAAAGTGCCACTTCATGACATCACAAGGTGGAACAGAGCATTTGGATCTTTGGAGATGTAGACAGACTAAAAATAAAGAGTTACTCAAACATGTGAATGAAACAAAACACAACTCCAGTTTGTTTTTGAGGAGGTAACAACATTAGAACATGGCTTAACGCTCACAAGAGTCCATTTTATGTAATATAAGACATTTAAAACATTTGATAAACTCTTTAAAATAATTGTATACTTGGTTCAGGGCTAAGACATAAAACTAAAACATATCATTAAATGTGAGATGTCAGATTGGTTTCAGAAAGTCAGTATTAAAAACTCTTAATGAAAACTGTAAACTAGAGCTTTGAATTGATACTTTGCAGTGACATCACACTGGGGGTGTTCTACGTGTATGTCTGTGCCAAAATGTTCAGCAGTTACCAAGGTGACACAATGTACACATTCGCAAACACAGCCAAAAATGCTTTAAGGTCTGAAAACTACAAAAGTGATTTAAAGAGCATTTCATTTCATTTTCCTGTGATCAGTGCGATTGCTCATGGTCCGGTTTCGGAGTTTGATCTTACACTAAAAGGTGAGAGGGATTAACTTATGTGTGAGAAACATGTTAAAGCGCAAAAATCATCTCACCTGTTGTAGTTTCAGCCAGGTCAGCACCTTCTGATCAGACTGTGATAAAAAGCTCAGATTAAAGTTTAAAGTGAGTAGAAGAGCTTCAGACAGAGCAGTGCCTCCAGTTTAACGTGAGCTGCAAAGTATCAATAGTTGTGATGGCAGTGTAGTCGTTTGGAGTGTTCTATGGCAGCATAAAGTGATTGGCACGAACAGGTTCCACAAAAAAAAAAAATCTAAGGCTGCGTTCAGACTGCAGCCTGAAGTGACCCAAATCCAATTTTTTTGGCCTCTATGCGACCTGTATCTGATCTTTTAATGACAGTCTGAACGACACAGATCCGATTTTTTCAAATGTGACCCAGGACACTTGGATATGTGCTCCTGAAACTGATACATATCTGACCTTTTGACATGTGACTTCAGTCTGAACGGCTAAAGCGCATTCATCCACCTACACGTTATCAACAAGACACAAACATCACTATTCTGCACTGAAGTAGGCGAAAATTGTTAATGAACTCCGTGTCACTGAAGCGAAGCACATCACCACTCACCTGTCTTGGCTCCGTCTCCACATCCACACGTTCCTTTCAACGGACGTCGCTGCTGCTGCCCCACAAAACACCACGACCAAAAACCTCGTCCTTCTCCTTCTCAGTCTCCTCCTTAAAACAAGTTGTTCATGTTCTGGCTCCGGTACGAGAGGAACTTTAAAATCTCCAGGTGCTCGATGCTGCGTCCATGTTTGGACAACTTCCGTAAACACAGAGACGCTCGCTGCGGTTGACGTCGTCGTGTCTCCAGTGCACATGTGGGACACTTTTGGGCTGTTTAACATTCACACTGGAGTCACATACAAGTCACATTTAATTGGAAATGTGAACGACCTCGCAAAAACATCGGATTTCACAAAAAAATCGTAATTGAGCGTTAAGCCCTGCAGTCTGAACGTAGCCTAATTTGTTAAGATTATCTTGAACTCAATTTGTTTAAAAAAGGTGCACTGTGTAACTTTTCTGCTTATTACTGCTTTGCCTGAAATATTTCACATGATGGTATATTGTGGAACATTTCAGGCAATTTCAAGCAATAACAGCTCCATGGAGATGAGCAGGCAGAGGACTTTTTAGCAGAGAAGTTACATAAAGCACCTTTAACTTCATTTGAAAAAAGAACTACAGAAATACATGAATAAAACGCTAGAGTGATTATAAAAAAAATACTTTCATTGTTGTTTGTATCTAGTATAAGTCAGGTCCCGTCTTCTGCTATAAGACTTAGGAAGGCAAGTGGGATTCATTCGTTTTAAGCTACCTAAAATCATTCTCTCCTCCTCTCTCCTTGTGGTGCGTTTAGGTGTTAGTTTGTTTTCTTGGCCTTGTCTTCTTCTCCTTCTCCTCCTTCTCCTCCTCCATCTCCTCCATCATTTCCTCCTCCTCCTCTTCCATCTCCTCCTCCTCCTCCTCCATCTCTTCCATCTCCTCCTCCTCTTCTCCTGTTCCTCTCTTTCTCCTCTCGGTGCATTCAGGGGCAGGTTTCAGTTGGACTTTTCACCCTGTACTCTCTCTCTCTCTCTCTCCTCCGCTCTCCTCTTTTTCAGCCTCGTGTCTCCATGGATACAGCAGCTTTCCACCTCTCCACCTTCTCTCTCCTCCCTCTTTCCTCGTGGTGCATTCAGGGGCAGGTTTCAGTCCGTTTTTGCAGTCTTGTGTCTCCATGGATACACCAGCTGTCTCCCACTCTCCTCCTCCTCCTCTCTCCCCTTCTTTCCTCCTCCTCCTCCTCCTCTCGATGCGTTCAGGAGCAGGTCCCTCAGTCGGTCTTTTCGGCCTTGTGCCTCCACGGATACACGAGTTGTCCCACAAACAGTTTCTTGACGAGGGCGCCCCACGAGTCTTTGGGGTAACAGCTGTAGGTCGGCGTGCGGTACGTCTGAACCACCGAGCTGAACTTTAAAGGGTTAATCTGAGAAAGGAGAATCAAAGAACAAAGGATGAGAGATATTTTCAGCCAGAGATGAAATTATTTAGATAAAAAAATGTCCTTCACAAAGAACAAAATATCCAGGTTTAATAGAAACATCTTGTCTCCATGGGGTCTTACTCTGCTGAACCTGTAGTTTAGACCTCCACAAACATGTGCTGAAATGTCCCTGTGTGTCAGATGCCCTCCCTGTGTCTCTGTGGGGTCTTCTTCTGTGTAAAAGCGGCTAACCCTGTACTTTAGACCTCTACAAACGTGTTCTGAAATGCATGGGATACTGTATGAGCCTGAGCATGTTTAAAATGTACTCTAAACTGAATCTTCATTAAAAATAAACAGAAAATCTCAAAACAATATTCAGTGATTCAATTTTGGATTCTAAACTCTGATCTGACCTCCATGAGCAGGTGAAGACACGTCCCAGGCTCGTCGCAGAGAACCCTGAACTTCACTCCGTCTGTCAAACAAAACACAAAAGCATAAATTTTTTTTTATATCATTTGTATCACTGCAAGATAAACTCAGACAGAAGTTGTGCATTTGACCCATCTATCAGTGTCTCTGGGTTAAACCTGTCGAGAGCAGTCGGACTCGTCTCCAAATCTTGAGGTAGTCTTGGTCAGAGCTACCTAAAGGCCGCCACACACTGCAGGAGAATTTGTCTGAGTTGGGTTGCGATTTGCTTCTCTCCAAGTTTGGGGAGATGCAACCCAACACCGTCTCTTCATGTGTGATTTTGAAGTCATTGTGCTCGTGTGTGTGGTGTATCTGTGACACTGAGCTGCTCTGTCAGACCCTAACCACCAAACATCAGCAAGGCTACGGCAACAGTCAATAAAACAGAGCAACAGGGGCAGAGGAGTGACGATATAGCAAAAATAATGAGAAGACTTTATTCCTCAACTCTCATAAAGTGGTCAATTTAAAGTGCAGCGTCTCATCCACATTATCCATAGAAATTATCCTCCATAAATAATGAATCCAGTCCACAAAACTGTGCTATTAATCCAGTTTGAGGCATTATTTAAAAGTAAAAAGGCGAGTAGTTCCTCGTGTGTCTGTTTACATCCACACAGCACACGGATCGAGCTGAAGCTGCAGATTCTCCACAGTGACTCTACTTCCTGTGGACTTTATCACCAGCCTTCTGTGCATTAAAATCCTGTATCTGAAGTTTTGCACCACATTTCACAAATAATACTAACACTGTTTTGACTTGTATCTAAACTAGAAGTGCAGAGCTCTGATCTTTTGAACACTTAAGAGTCTCAGAGCGACTGGTTTTACTGTAAACAGGGAACAGCTGACGCGATCGTGCTCACAGTTTTATATCCTGTGGTTCACAGTCATATCCCACTGCAGTCTTTGTGATCAGAGATTTTAAGTCTCATAAGATTCTCCTGTAGTGTGTGGCGGCCTTTAGCCCCACATAGAAATTCTTGTGTGAGTTGGCAATCAAATAAATTATATTATATTATAATATATTTTCCCTGATGCTGAAAAAACCTGGGTACATGTTTAGTTTGTACCTGCGAGTCTGTATGGACGGCACACACGGAGCCCCACAGCAAACAGAGGGAAAGAGTTTATGAAGTCCACGGTGAGATGGAGGACGCCCTGCACCACCACGACCACCAGGCGGAGCTGCACACACACACAACAGGAAATACACACTTTTAAAGATGGACAAAACTCCGCCCACAATCACATTTCAAATAGAGCTGCTAAACTGAGCAGTATCTGAAAGACTAAAGGGGAGAGGGAGGGGGGTTAGTAATCAGAAGCACCTGACTGTAATGAGGACAGTCCTCTGTGATGTCACATAGTACTTGAAGATGCAGTGCCCGCTGGAGGCACCACTCAGCTTTTGACCAAAAAAGCTGTACTTACTTTGCACTAAAATTGTCAAAAAATTACAGCAGAACATAATACTTTTAAAAACACCATATACACAGTTTAGCAAAAATCTAAAATTACTTAATAAAAGAAACAAGTCAGCTGGCGTAACAAAACTGCAGTGTCCAGTGGGAGCAGACGTCACCGTAAACGTCATCAGAACACAGTTGTCGGCACCTCTGATGAAAACGGGGGTTGAATATAAGGGATGCACCAGTCACTCCAAACACAATTTTGGGTGAATAAATGGTGAGGAGAGACAAGTACAAAATGATTAAAAAGGTCTGAATGGCCGATTTTGCAGAATACTCAGATTTAATGGAGAGGTGCTTTATGTTTTTGCTCTATGGGCCCGTCCTTGTTTACAGTTTAAAAATGTGTCGCCTTTAAACGGTTATGTCTTATGCAGAGATCTGACACGGCTGGGTCCTGTGGTGAGAGTATAGAGCGGTGTGCAGAGGCAGAGCCGTGTGCAGAGGCACAGACACAGAGGAGAGAGTCCAGACATATAATTACACGAGTCATCACCTCCCACAGGACGCACTGCTCTGTGTGGGCTCAACTCACTAAACTACTGCATTTCCACTGTTATCAAAGCCACCAACTGCTACTAAAACATAAAGGTCTGGTATGTCGCCTTTTCATCTCTAACGACATAATTATGATGCTAATCTGTGTCATTATAGATACAAGACTCATGTTTAAATCAAATATACTTTTTACTGATAACAACTGCAATGCTGATTTATTCTTAATTACAAAAAAATTGGACATGATGAAGTTGTTTATGTTATGATTTGGTATTTTGACTCTCAAGACAATCATCCAATCAGAAAGAAGAATGAGCCTCACATGACTCTCTGAGTCTCTCTATTTCAACGCTGAAATTTAGTGTGTTTAAACCTAAACTGCCTGTCTCTGATCTCAGTGGTCACTCCCTAAACCCCAGCACCTGCACCAGTCATGAGTCAGTGCTAGTGCAGCCTCTGCAGCTCAGGGAGGGAATTCTGGAGACAAACTTGTATGTGTCGTCTGTGTGCAGGTTCAGTCACTGTTTGGTTTGTACCAGAGTGAAGACGAGGTAGTAGAGGGCGGTGGTGGGCAGCAGGAACAGAAGAATAGTGAACAGCAGGGTCCCAATGAACAACTGCAACACAACAGAACAAACTATAAATACAATGCATTTAAAAAAAAACACATTCATTCATTAAAGTGTACTTCTCTCTTCACTTCTCACACACTTTTTCCTTGTTTCTCTGCTCTGTGGTTTTATTACCCATAGACAGCTCCAATTCACTTCCTGTTGGAGGTGCGGTTACCTGGTCTTTGCGGTTACCTGGTGTCTGAGGTTACCTGGTGTCTGAGGTTACCTGGTGTCTGAGGTTACCTGGTGTCTGAGGTTACCTGGTGTCTGAGGTTACCTGGTGTCTGAGGTTACCTGGTGTCTGAGGTTACCTGGTGTCTGAGGTTACCTGGTGTCTGAGGTTACCTGGTCTTTGCGGTTACCTGGTCTTTGCGGTTACCTGGTGTCTGAGGTTACCTGGTGTCTGAGGTTACCTGGTGTCTGAGGTTACCTGGTCTTTGCGGTTACCTGGTGTCTGCGGTTACCTGGTCGAGGTCGTAGGAGCAGGAGTCCACTCTCTGCCGCAGCACGTTCCACTTCTTTCCTCTGAACAGTCTCCATAGCGACGAGAGTCCGTACACCTTTAGACAGTAGAGCCTGGAACAACAGGAAGGAGATGAGAGGAAACTATAACCAGGGTGACTTGGATGGCCTTTTATAGAAACACACTCCCTCTTTTCACTTTTGTCGCTTTTCTGTGATCATTCTTATTATGGCAGTGTCTTTACCTGTCCAGCCAGAACCACACACAAAACTTTACAAACATGAGCAGTGTTGGGAGTAACGTGTTATAAAAGTTATGAAGTACTGTAATGCATTGCTTTTTGCTGTAACGCAGTAATGTGGCGTTACAGGGGAAAAAATTTTTTATATCTTACTCGGTACAAATGTGAGTAATGCGCGTTACAATGCTTTTTTAACCTGAATTGAAGTGGTGGGTTTTTAATTTTTCTTCATAGAAATTCACTAAAATCACCGCGATATCAGCAGCAGTGAAACGCCGGAGACGCGCCCGCATAGACCGTCGGGTGACCGCAAGCGAAAGGACCGACGCAGAACTCCACGCTCCACAGGGCTAGACACAACTGACACAGACACCCTGTTCCACGGGCTCGGGGTTCTCTCAGGGGCGGTCCTAGATTCCAAGTTCTAGTCCAAGATTAGTTCTGGTGTGGTCCTGGTTTAGACCTGGTATAGTCCTGGTTCAGTACTGGTTCAGCTCTGGGTTAGTCCTGGTTTAGTCCTGGTTCAGTACTGGTTTAGTCCCAGTTTAGTCCTGATTCAGTTCTGGTTTAGTTCTGGTTTAGTCCTGATTCAGTTCTGGTTTAGTTCTGGTTTAGTCCTGATTCAGTTCTGGTTTAGTCCTGGTTCAGTTTTGGTTTAGTCCTTGTTCAGTCCATATACGGCGCAAAAGTTCAGCATCTCTGCACAGTTATTTTGGTGAGAGTAATTGCAATAGTATTTTAATGCCTTATATTTTAAATGCAGTAATATTGTAATGTAATGAATGACTTTGAAATGACGGTAATAAGTCATAAATAAAGCATTACAGTTTCAAAGTAACTTGCCCAACAGTGAAAATGAGTAGATCTGGAGCTGTGTCCCGTCTCCCTGATTTTAGAGGGTGTGATTGACAGGTGGATTAACCAATCAGAGAGACTCAATTTGCATCAAAATCAAACATCAGTGTTACACATTAAAAGGGGAAAAAAACAACAAAGAGTACTGAGAAACAGCGCAGATTTTTGCAGAATCAACTATTGAAGCAGTTTATTTATCTCAGGTAAAAGATGTTCGATATTTTGAGAGGAGGATGTCTTCCGCATTTAAAAGACACACGCTACAAATTAGCAGCTGTGGTTGGACGGTCCCAAGTTTGGATGGAGGATTTTCACTCTCTATGGTCCGGTCCTCGTTCGTTCTGGATTTAAACAGAATGTAGAAGGGACTGGCTGCTCAGGCAGGCAGTGTGTAATGTAGCTGTGTTTTCTCTGTGATGTCTTGAGTGTGTGCATGTGCTCTGTGTGCCTTTTAAATGTCACTTTTGGAGATAAATCGTGATAATGAATGGGATAACATGGCTGAAGGATCATTAAAGTCTATTTTACATCAGATGACCCTGTGCAGTTACCTGGCTCCATAGACATAGAAGCAGTAAATGTGGAAGGTGAGCAGAGCGATCATGTCCGATAGCAGAGACAGAGCCAGACTCAGGCCCAGAGCTGCAGACAGACCTCCGTACCACAGCAGACTCTCAACGAACGGAGACGTCAGCTGAATGTAGCCTACCAGACAAAACGCAGGGAAGAAATATGAACTACCAGACAAAAAAACAAGGAAGAAATATGAACTACCAGTTAAGAAACAAGGCAAGAATTAGTCACATATAGCTGCTTTTACAATTAATTTAATACTTTGCAGTGGCATCATGCTGGGGGTTTTCTACGTGTATCTCTATGGTGGAATGTTCAGCAGTTACCATGGTGACACAATGCACACATTAGCAAAAGCCGTCAAAAAAGATTTAAGATTGTCCGAAAACTCAATTAAAAAACAAACAAACACACCAAGTGGATTAAAACAACACATTTTCAGGAGTCTATGATCAATACAGTTCAGGGTCCTGTTGAGAAGTTTGAAAAAGAGTGAGTAACTAACTGAAAAACTGTTAATTATTGTAATATGAGAGGGACTTGTTTAACAGCAGAATTCAGCTCACCTGTTGAAGTTCCAAGTCAGCTCTTTACGGTCAGATTGTGTTAAATTAAAGCTCAGATTAAACTCTATCATGACTTCAGACAGAGCAGAGCCTACAATTAGCATCACACCCCCAAGGAAAGTTGATGACGTCAGCCGCAAAGTATCAATACAGACTGTGTGGAGTATAAGGTGTCTTGATGCTGTGGAGTGACTCACTGATCCAGAGGTGGATGTGGTACAGGAAGAACCGTCCCAGGACCTGGTCTAAGGCTCGGTTCATCTTGAGTCCAGCCGGAGCTCCCATCAGCCACTGCAGCAGCTCCTTCAGCTCTTTGGCCACGTGCTGCAGGACAACAACAAAGTACAAAGCATGTTTATGATGGCTAAAAAAAACTCAGTACATTAAATTGTGTGAAAGATTTTGATTTTAAATTTCATAAACATGGCCCAACTCTTGTAAACATTAGGCTGGTCCATCAAAGCAGGGTAAAAAAATTAAGTTTCAGCTAACCTTGATTAGAACCCTGCAGGAAGTTTTAGCACCAAAAGATGATTTAGGAAGAACTTTGGAAGAAAAAGCAGATATTTTAGAGGGTGCTCAAGATGCAGGAAGTTTCCTGGAAATTGACAAACTTTGCATTTTCAATTAACTTTTTATGGACTTTATGGACTTTCTAAGCAACTTTTATGGACTTTCAGTTTGTGTTTGCAGAATAAAATGACACATTACACCTTATTTATTTGGTTCTATGTTATAGTACTGTCTTGAGCAACCTCTAAATATTAATTAATTTGCAGAAAATTTTGACCCAAATATTTTGGTCAGATATGGAACCAAATGCAGGATTCTAATCTAGAGAATCTAAAAAAAAAAAAAAGATTGAACCACACTAGTAAACGTGCAAGGCAAGCTGTTTTTTATCATTTAGTTAGATAGATAAGTATAGTTAAACCTAAAATGCCTCTCTCTGATCTGAATGAACTACCTAAACCCCAAAATCAGCAGTCGATCATGAATCAGACCCTCTGCTGCTCTATATGTTGTCCATATATTAAGAACTAAAAATGAGAAAAACTTGTATGTGTCCTCTATCTGCAGGTTTAGACACAATTCTACACAATTCTACACATGATCAACCAATCTTAAACCTTTTTCAGCAATGTTTACTAAGGTGTGCATTGTCTCTCCATGATAACTGCCGAACATTCCACCATAGACAAAAATCTATGCTCCCCAATAGAATGTTACAGTATGAAACATGCTCACGTCGGCGGCGGGCACCAGGGCGTTGGCGATGGAGGAGATGTGGTCGTCTCTGTACAACCACGACATGAGCAGCAGCCCCAGAGCCACGTCCAACAGCAGAGACACAAAGATATTTGCTTTTCTACAAAACAAAAGCGAGAGAAAAGAAAGAGAGGATTAAAAAAGAATGGAGGGAGAGAACATCAACATTGAAGAATAAAGCTGTCATGAGGGATGTTATTTAAAGATGTTATTTAAAATTTTACTTCTAGCATTAACTACAAACAGGAAACATATTTAGATCACCATGTTTACAGTTTAGTATGCATTTGTATATTTATGGAAACTGTCGTGTGCCTTGTACAGAATCTTACAGCTGATGATAAGGAGGGTTAGAATAGGACATGGGAGGAGAGATCACTGGATTGAACATGAACACCTCTTCCTCTCTTCAGGTGTGTTTTTGACAAGGGAACAACATTATAACATGATAGAAAGCTCAAAACGATTTAGCACAATACCCCCCTCTTAAAAATTTGTGTTCATGTTTAAAGCTGCAAAACTCCTTGCCTCTTCAAAGTGGCACCACAGCACAGCTAATTTACACTAATTTTAGTTTTCTCCATCTCTGTGTGTTGTGATTGTTGATTGGTGGGTTAGTGCTGACCCGAGTCCTGTTCTGTAACACAGCGTCATTCAGAAAATCCAGGGTTGACAAAGTGAGTTATGAAGCCGCTCTGTAGTATCGCTCATACAGAGACGCTCATATCTGGGTTAATCTGTCCGGTTATGAGAGACTTATCCAGGATGAGTTCAGCTTAACAGGGCAACTGTCGGGCATCTGAACTGTCCCAGTGCTCCTCACCTCATAAAGGTCCTGTGGTCGGGGGCCATTGTGGTGGAGAACAAAGTCTTCATTCTCTGCGCTCTGTAGTTGAGCTGGACGCACGTCGACAGTTTGGACGAAACGAACGGCAGCGGAAAAACACTGAAGATCCTGAAATGAGGGAAAGAAGGAGAAGTCATTTTAACATCATGCAACAAAAACAAATTAATAAGTTATTTAAAGATTTTAAATGATCACAGTAACATGTAAGTAAATTTTTATTTAAACAGGTATAACAATACACAAAACATTATCAGACCAACTGGGTTTTGTTCTTTCTTTTTTTCTCAAAATGTTTGAGTCATATTACGATTAATATTTCAGTTTAGTAGCAGTCAGTTTACTAAGAAAAATCACTTGTATTATTAATAATATCAAAATCTTGTCTCTTTTGTGTAAATCTTCTGTAAATTCTGCCCCATCCCACACCCTATAACATAAACATACATCTTCCAAAGGTTGAAGGATCAATTCTCAAAATTTCTTTTAAAGTAGAAAAAAATATTGGCCCAATGTTACTGAAATTTTGTAAATAGATAGATAGATATATGGAAGTAAAAAATCCCCTGATATGATTAGATAACATTTACACTGATATAACAAGTGCAATCAGAGATATCAACCTGGTCCCCCATGAGGCATTGGTGGGGACAGTTCATCAACACGGAAGCAGCTTATGAGGAGCCCAGCCCATACTCCGGTTATGTGTGTGCCAACTTGTGTGATGATTGGGTGAATATTTTAGACCACAGATGGTTCAGAAGTTGCTGAACTTGCCTGTCTGTTATAATGGCTTGACCTTTCAATTGACCAATGTGACTTCAAATGACCTTGGATCATCACCAAACTTTTTTTGTGGCATCGGGCACGAGGGCCTGACCCACGTACCAAATTGCTTGACAATCGGGGGCCAGGTAATGAATATCCATCCATCCCTAATTCAATCTCTTTACACAGTGAGGTGTTTCTGACCTGAGGCTCCAGAAGCTGTTCTGCAGATGGAGCAGAGCACTGAGCAGAGCACACACTGGGACAGACGCCTGTTTACACAGCTCCACCACGATACTGGCCTCTCTCCCCTCACTCTGCCAATGAGTGGACTTCACTGGACCCTCGTCGTATTTGTCCAGAAAGAACAGAGGCTCACTCCTGGACACGCTCTCAAACATCTGCAGAACAACAGCAGGGAGGGAAAGGGACAAATCAGAGTAAGACTAGGATTATTTTATTTCAGTTATTTCTATAGTACACAGAGATTTTCAATATAGATTTTAACCAGACAAGATAAAAACGTGGAAAAAATTTAAATTTCTAGATTGAGAATATTTACAAATAAAGTATATCAAAATACAAATTGTTCACTCTTTTCTTTAAAGTATGTAATGAGGATATGGTTGTGTTTAATCAAGATTTCATCGTGTCTAAAGGTCAATTATCAGGAAAGGACTACAGTTCTCAGTCAATAAAAGCATGTGTACAGAAAAAAACAAAAATGTGGCTGTTGTCTAAAGTAAAAGCATGTGGTTTGGAGCTCAGACTCAGACTCAAACTGACAATTTTTTTCAGAATTCAGTTCAGTTTATGTTCAGAAAATGTATACTGAAAAACATTTAACTATGTTTTTAAAAAGACAAATTAAAATTGAGGCCACAATGGTTACTTATGAAATTATGACATTAAAATATCTGTAAGAACAATAATTACTGTCCAACATTCAGAAATAGTTCAGACTGTCCTGCCTGATTAGCTCATGTTCTGTGCTTTGTACGTGCATTTCTTTCATTATTCTTCACATTTGTACCTGAGTGAGTTCAGACGTGGGCTCGGGGTTGGGGTCGGTGTGTCCGCTTTCTTCTCGATGAAGCTGAGAGAGCATCACTTTTCGCTGCTCGTAGTGAACAAAAATCACCTTCTGATCTTCTCCCTCCTCTTCCTCCTCGTTTCCCTCTCCCTTCTTTTCTGCACTCTGAAAAACACTGTTCTCTAAGCAGGACAAAGAACAGTGTAAATATAAATTAGCTACCTTAAAAGTAATATAAGTAAACATCAAAGAACAAAATCTATGTGAAATAAATGGCGGTAATATGTTAGTTTGTCATAATTGGTTCCCAGATTCTAAATTGTAAAATCACCTCTAAAAATGGTCACAAAACAAAAATGTCAAACTTTATTTTGATACTTGAAGGAATACACTTGATACTCAATAATGATCATGATAGCACAGTGACAATAAAAGCACTCTTTAAACTATAGAAAGTGACAACATTTAATCCTAGTACTTTCTTTTCTGTTCCCATGTGGCCTTATATCTGTGTAATTTGTGTCTATGTGCCCAAGATCATTCTAAAGACATTCAGGAAGGGTTCATTTCTGTCCTGTGAATGAGCCGTTTTTGGTATGGATTAGGATCTGATTTTCGATACTTTGGACAACCACTTAAAGTCACTCTACATTACAGTGACTCAAGAGCATTACTCACTCTGCTCGGTGTTGAGGACGCTACAGCAGAAGCCCATCTTGCCCATCTCTCGGCTGATCTGGAGCCAGCGTTTCTGGGGGAAGATGGAGCTCAAGTCTCTGAGAAAACTCTCCATGTCGCCCTGACCCTCTTTAGGCAAACTCCAGGAACCAAGAATGGACAGCTCCACTCCACTCTGGGCCTGCATCTGTGAGAGAGAGAAGGTTAGACTCTTTTTGGAACTACCACTTTCAGAAGGTGTAAATCATCAAATGTAAAAACACAGGAAAAACATCTCGCAAGAAAATTTTTCTCAGGGGTGCACTTCTTAAACCGATTTTGTAGCTTCATTTTAAAATCAGCCCTGACCTGGTGGATGTACTGCTTGACGGTGCTCGGGATGAAGGGATAGTGTATCACAGCCAGGACCACCGCAGAGTCGTATCCCGGCAACCATCGCCCTACCAACAGACCGCTGTCAGCACGGTTACAGCACTGAGGGAAGAACACCTTTATCACCATGATGACCAGGAGCAGAGTCCAGGACCTGAGAGGGACACAGCAACAGGGAGGAGAGTGAGACATTGCACATTTCGAGGTATAATATATGTATAACTTTTAGATAGAAATTCAAAGAGTCCTCTTTGTTACACATTTACAAAAATATTAAATATTGTATTGTATTTTTTCTGTATAAAATCTCACCTAGAAACTTTGAGGTTTCATTAATTTTGGTCCACAGGTCAGGTCTTATTCTGGTGGTTAAATCTTACCCAAAGACCTGAATCAACTTACCCCTCATCTGGGGTGACCAAAATAGTATCTTATTTTTATTTTAAATGCCAACTTCTGTAAAAAAAATGTATGTTGCTATTGTTTTGACAAAAAAAATCAGAATAATACACATAATTATGCCAACAACAAAATGTAACGGTGGTTACAAATGTTTCCTGTCTATCCCAATCACCAGATGATTCATTACAAAACTATTCATAGAGCTTATTTATACCCTAGAAGTTTACACCAAATGAAAAAAAAAGACAATCCATACATACTGATTTTGCATAGAACAAACTGTGGGCACTTATGTACATATGATATGGGAGGTGGCACAATTTTGGGAAAATGTCACAAAGACAATGTCTAAATTAATAGGAACAACCATACCTTGCACTCAGAGGTTTCTTTTGCTAAACGACATGTCCAAACTAAATCTGACAATTAACAATCGTCGCATATTACTAGCAGGTCTTACAGCTGCCAAAAATTTTTTAATATGCCGGTGGAAATCAGTTCAACCTCTGACTGTGAGAGAATGGCTACTATCTTTCATAGAAATCGTTCAACTGGATCTTTCTGCTGCTCGAATGCACGGAGCAAAAACCAAAAACATTTCTTGCTGGTCCAATCTGTTGATCAAACTGAGATCTGAATCTACTGTACAGTTGTTACCTGGAGATTTTTCATTATAATATATGTTCTTAGAATGTACACAATATGTATACTTTCAGTTAACTTTCTATGTATGGTACATAACAAGTATGTATAACGCAATTTCTGCTGATGTCTTATGACGGAGGAAATTTGCCGTGTTTTGTATAGAGGGAATATAAACCTGGATATGTGTGTTGTTTTTTTTTCCCTTTGTGTGTGTGGGTGAATGTGTATATACATGTGTATGTATATATAACATATATACTATAATGGGTATGTGTGTTTATTTAGATGCTGTATATATGTATATGTATATGTATATGTATATGTATATGTATGTTGATGCCCATCAATAGGGAGTTTAAGGGTGGAGAGGTGGGGGTTTAAAAGGGAGAAAAATGCAATGCTACCTGGAATATGTATAACTGCAAATAATAACACTTGAATAAAAATTTGATCACAAAAAAAAAACTAAGTCAGGCAAAGTCACTGCCTAATATTTACACTAACAACAGAAAGTCAACTGAAAGTAAAGCATTACAGACATGTGCACCCTTAAGAACAAACTTGACCTGTGCAGCTAGAACTTCAGTCTCAATGCATTAACCAGAACACGTTTTAAAATAACTATAAAAGTATAGGATGAGTGTGTTTGTCTTTGGTTTATACAGTGATCCGCCGTCCTGTTTGTGCCCTTCAAATATTGAGTTTGTTGAGAGTGACCAGCCAGAGGGGACACGACATTGATTTAACATACAGTTACTGGACCAACACAAATTCGGACAAATGTAACGAAATACGAACAATTTCTGTATACAATAGAAATTACATGACATAAATAATAACACTAAACGATATATTTAAATTTTTGGTCATTCAAATCAAGTTTTTACTCTGTATAACCCATAAGCGTTAAAAATGATCCTCCAAATCTCCATTAAAAGGTCTAACCGCAATCGAAAATGTCAGACAATGCAATTTATGACCATTTATGACGCAAAGTACACAACTTACCAAAGAAAATGCGATAAAAGCGGTGACTTTTTCAGACGTTGCTTCGTTTACAAGCTCGCGGCCGCCATGTTTATTGTTGACAGTCCGTCCCTGAAAACGGACCGAGGGAAACAAACTCGTTATAATGTACAGATCCGTATAAAATCCAAACAATTCATATTACATTTTTTCAGTTTCACATAATTCATATAAAACATCACTAATAGACATAATTAAGATAGACGCAACTAGAATATAATACAACCATTTATAGTAAAATTCTGAAAAAATTAACACAATTTAAATATTTGCCCTACTGTATCATATGGTCCCGTGGTTCTGAAAACATTCTACTAAAAACGTACAAGGTAAAAAAAGTTGAACAGAATTACACAACAATTGTACTAGTTCAAGGATTACTACAACAAGTACTAACCCAAAAATGTGGTTTAAATGGACTCAGATATACTACTAGTAGTTAAACAAAAATGTGATTATTTTTTTCTTACTTACTGAAGTGCTGCTGTGGCTGAGTTGGGGGTGAATGAGGAGTGTCCAAACTGTCAAAATCTTATCTCTCAAACACAAAAACCCGCCATCCACAACAACAGAGTTATCTTCTTAATCTCAATATTCAGTACGACACAAAAAAAACAAAGAAATTCAATCGTTATATATAGTACACTATATAAGAGTGCAATTGGCTGTTTTGGGCTTAGAATGTGTAATTAAAATTTTCTAATAGACTACATTTTTCAATTTGTTAAAGTTTAGATTTTTTGTAAATGTAACCTGAATTTTAACCATGTTTTAGTGAAATGGGTACTTTAACTTGCCATATGCACTTTAAACATTTCTACATTTAATTTCTATTTCTATTTTATTTTCATCTTGAGTCATTTATAAACCTATAACTAATTAGAATTTGGATTTTGTCATTTGTTAGGACCTTTATTTCAACCCCATTAAATAAACACATTCAAGATCACCTCAGCTGGTTTGTGTTTAATAAAAACTGTACAGATTTGGCCAAAAATAGGGCAAAGAAGCAAATATCTTTTTACAGTATTTACAAATGTAAACCAGATTTCATTCAATAATACAATACATTCTCAGTAGTGAATTCACTTAAATAATTCAGCATTTAAAGGACAAGTATAATGCTCATTTTGGTCTTCATTCAGCTCTCTAATTCCTCTGCTGAACTTTAAAACTTTCAAGGCTAAGAAATGCACCCTTCTGGATTTACTAGTCGCAAAACATATTTCAAAATAACTGTTGGGATAAATTTTTAGTAAAAGTTAACTGTGTAAATACAAAATAATAAGAGAAAGTGTGTTCAAAATCCCCCAAAGACCCCCAACAGTTCACAAAAAAGTTAAAGCAGAACTGAACTGACTTTAAACAACAAATTCTGATTGAGACGCTGAGTTATTTGAATTGAATGAACTTCTCTCTGCTTAGATTTATAGATAATGTTGCTCCATAGCCACTCTCTATTGCCATTTTAACTTGTAAAGCTGCATTTTCATTATATCTGACTTTGTACTTGAGTAAAATGAGTTTTAGCCTCGATAGATAGAGTATAGGGTATTGTGTAAAAAGTAGTTCTAAAGCTGCGTACATGTCTGAGAATTCTTCCATGCGAGTTTGTTAAAGGCTTTGTGAGAACTAAGAACGAGTTAAGACAAAATTAAATACCTGCTTTCTCGTTTAAAAGTCTGAAACATGTTAAGAGACAAATCCAGATTGATATATTAGGCCAATAATTTGATTTTTAGTGCACTGGATATCGACCTTAAATCTCCAGCATAGGCCGATATTTTGTTTTGGATGAAATGCCGCCTAAAAAAATACATAAAATCACTTGTTTTAATAGTTATAGTGCGAAGATGGGAGCTTAAAAGATTTGTTCTTAAAAAAAAGGGATGTGGGTGAGTGTGTAGTAAATTTAAAGGTGCATTATGTAACGTTTTTTTGGGGGTCTGTCAACTGCTTGAGTTTATGGATATGTCATTGCTCCGCTTGGAATGTTTCATGGTATGACATTAAACAGCTCGACCTTATATTTATTCAATTACAGGTGGATTTATAGCTCAAAAACACCTACAAAAACAGGCATTCTGACTGTGAGTGGGGTCGCCTCTCCACAGATCCGGCCTGTAACTTGGTCTGGGTTGGTCTCCATAAAGATAGAAAGTCTTATTATCATACTGTGGAACATTCCAGTCAAAGCGATAACATCTTCAAGGAGAAAAGCATTTGATGGACCCTCCACCAGAAAAGTTACACAACGCAGCTTTAAATGACAAAATAAATGACACAATTTGAAGACAATAATTCAAATCGGCTCTAGGTATCAGGTCAAAAATATCAGCAGAGTTTATCGGCCATGGGTTTTTCTGAATTTAAAAAAATAGGCATCAGCAACGGCTATGAAAAACCCCATATCGCTCGATCTCAAGTGCTTAGATCATAGACTGTCCAAGGGTCGGTCTGTGGCTTAAACTGTAGATTTCTCAGTTCTTTCCTCCTCCGCACTTGTCACAGAGGATCCAGAGCTCACTGCCCTCCATCAGCTCGCTCATGAGTTCATTCTGTCTCCTGGTTTCTCCCATCAGGACTCTGAACTCGGCGTCCTTTCGTCTCATCCGGTCTCTGTAGTTCCGGAGCTGTTTCTGGAGCTCCTCGATCCTCACGTAGGCCTCGTCCAGCTTCTGCTTCACGCTGTCGGGGTCGATGGCGTAGTGATGGTCCTGGAGCATCAACACATCACGCACAGTTTTATTTAAATCATATTTGCACTTTCTTATAACACATATGGTCACATTTTGTACAGCACTTTTCCACCTTCAAGGCTCAAAGCATCAAGGAACCACTCACACATTCACAGAAACTCTTACATCACTGTACACAAACATTGGAGGCAAGATGAGTTAAGTGTTTTGCCCAAGTACACAACAACAACATTCATCTGTGGGAGGTGGAATCTCACTGCCGACCTGTAAGTCAGTGGATCTGACCGCTCAATCAATGTTTATTATGTCGAGAGTGGGATTTGAACCGTCAACCTCCGGATTAGTGGACAAACACTGAGCTACTATCGCCTGGTGTGTGTGTCTGCTCTATATAGTTATAATCTATGACCCCCGTGGATTATTCTGTTATAATTTGGACATTTTACATCAGAATATTGATCTAAAACGACTTAATAAAAGAAACAAGTGCACTGACTTCTGCTTTAGAAAACTATGGCTCCTCATGGGATCTGATATGGTTGTAAACGTCGTGACAACAAAGCGCCGCATGCTGTGGGACACTCCTTTGGATAGTTCCACATCACACTAGCAAGTAGCAGACGTTTGTAGAAATCGTTCTTTTCCCATAAAAAGTAAGAACAAATTATGATTAGATTCTATTACCTAAGTAACTGCAGACTTTGCACCAATTCAAATTACAATTTTCCTCTATAATGCATGTTCTTATGATTAAAAAAAGGTATATATTTCACATGTACACTCACCTCTGCAGAGAAGATGGGAGGAGCATCAGGAGGAGCAGGAGACTCTGGAGCTGCAGGTTGTGAAGCCGTTAGAGCCGTTTCTATGGCCTCCAGCTTCACTCCACCTCTCGACCCACGGATTGACTTCCGCGCTTTTTGCTTCAATAAAAAAAACAAAAAACAAAAGTGGAACACATGTAAATATCGAAGAGACTGCAATGCACAAAAGAGCAGGACTAAATCTAGAATGGCTGTGTGCACAAAATTATGGAATACATTACCAGAGCTAGTGTTCTCAAGATACTACAATTTCAAGAAATAAACTCAATACTCAAAATTTTCACTCGTAGTACTTTCTTTTATGTTGCCATGTGGTATTATATCTGTGTAATCCCTGAGTTGATCATTCTAAAGCTAATCAGGAAAGGTTCATTTCTGTCCTGTGACTCTTTTAGACTGGATGCCAGCTCAGTCTATCTGATTTTCGATACTTTTGACAACCCTAAATGGCAGTAAAACGTTCTGATTCTGAACTGTGAACACTCGTACTATTACACAATAGTAATATATGTGTGATGTGCTTTTTTGTTGAGTTTAGAAATAGTGCGACTCACGGCTTTTGTTGGTTCTTCTGGCAAATAGATTTTCGGTGTAAACTTTTTATTTGGGGTCCCCTTCTAAATAAAAGATAAAATATGTTAAACAGATCATCCAAACAAGAATATTGTACACATCTGCTCCTCCTCTGCTCCTCTGCCCCTCTCCTCAGCACCTCTGCTCTGCTCCTCTGACCTTCTCCTCTGCTCCTCTGGTCCTCTGACCCTCTCTGTACCTCTGACTCTTCCATATACTAAACCAAATACTTACAACATTTTAACATTTTTTTACTTACCCCTACTTTGTTTTTTCTGCCTCTTTTAGTTTTCGTTTTTTTCCTCTTCGATCTCCGGGGCTGAAGGCAGAAACAACAACAAATGTTTATATTATAATCAATTAGCTGGTTTCATAACATTCTAAAGAGCCAATACTGTCCTTCAGCTTACTTTAAACTACTGATACTTTGCAGTGACATCACGCTGGAGGTGTTCTACATGGATTTCTATGGTGGAATGTTCAGCAGTTTCCATGGTGACGCAATGCACATATTAGCAAACACTGTCAAAAAAGGTCTGCTCAAAGTCAGCTCACCTGCTCATGGTCAAATTGTGTTAAAATAAAAGTTAGATTAAAGTCTAACTTAAGTAACAGATCTTTTAACAGAGCAGTGCTTTCAGTTAGTATCATGCCCCCAGCTGCAAAGTATCAATAGTGATTCTAGATGATCATGATATCTAAAATATGTGATGTGGTTTAAAGAGTACTATTTGACCTGGTTTTCTTCTTTATCTGGGAAGTTGAAGATGGATGGCACGACCCCCTCCCTGAGCCGGGTGGTCTGCCCGGTGCGGTCCATGTCTTTCTCCTCAAAATGAGCGCTGCAGATCACCGTGTATTTGGTGATCACAAAGTCTCTTCTCAGAGCTTTCTTCCATATTGCCCTCCTCTCTGGGTTTGAAGGGACCCTAAAACAAAAATACATACAGGTTTCATAACTGACGATAGGCCTCTCTTACGGCTGAATGATTGACAAATAGATTCTGCGATTGCGATTAGTTTTGTGACTTATGGTTTAATAATAGTTCACATTTTAAGTACATTAGGTGGTACTTTGTGTGAAAGGTTTGAGAAACACTTTCCTAATGCTTTATTACAAAACCAGCACCAAAAACAGCTGACACAGACACATACATGCAGACTAGTGCTGTCACAGTACTAACATTTCAATTTCAATACTAATGAAAAGACTTGATACCACGGTAATAAACACTCGTAATATCTGTATAATCCCTCAGTGCTACTCTATTTGTGCCATATTTTGTACATTTAAGTTATTTTATCCCAATTCTCATGGTGTTTTCACATCCCTTCACTTTCATTGTTGGTGTGGATGTTACTAGTAGTTGTTTTTTACTATCCCTGTGTACTTCTGATGAGTAAACTTACATCACTTTACAAATATACTAGTGTATGTGCTCTTATAATTGTTCTGATACAGCTCAACATCATTCTAAAGACATCCATGAAAGCTTAATTTCTGTGCTGTCAGTGGAACTTTTTTAGTATCAATACCAGCTCAAATGAGTATCTAGTTTCAGTACTATTTTTAGTATCGATTGGTATCAGATTTTCAATACTTTTGACAACCTTAACCTAAAATACAGGCACGCAAGGTCAAGGTGGGTGAAGTGTCTTGCACAAGAGCACAGAAAGAGGAAGTACAGTTTGGAGCTACGATTAAATCACCAACTTTGAGTTTTCTGAAACCATGGATCTGTGGTCTGAACACACACACACAGAAGTGTCAATAAGTAATTTCCAAAACTCATGGGATAATTTTGCAAAACATTAACACATAAGCTTCAAAATACTGACTTTAATATTCTGAAGTCAAAGTGATTATTTATTTTCTGTATTAGTTAGGAGGACCTATTGTTATTGTTACTTATTGTTAAAATATTGATTTTCACTCAGTTTGTTGGTTTTGAAATAACGTGTTTTCTCATTCAATTTTAAAGCTTATTTTAATAAGATAAAAAAAATATCCAACTACTTTGATATTGTGTTACCATACTATAGGAACTAAATACACATAAAACAGAAATTATATGTAATTTCAGAACATATAGACATCTATGGACCTTGTAGAGTCAGATTTTGCTGTCGACCTAGGCAATATGGCGCCCACAGAGACCAAAAAGGCAAACACGTATAGGAAAAGCGCTTTTAAAAACTTACTTGTGAAACGTTATGCCACGCTGCTTTGCATCGGCATCAACTTTATTTGAACAGCCAATTGCGCCGCATTGGGAAGGCATTTTGTCTTTTAAAATACGGCCCTTTGATGAAACTAAAAATACTCCTTAGTTTCTTTGACAACGGCTCTTCTCGACCCGTTCCAAGATGGCGTCGACGCATGCGCAGTTGTCAGAGATATCACAAAACGTGTTCAATGTTGTCAGCTGAGTGCTCGAGGAGATCCACGCGAGGAAAATGACAGCAGAAGCTTCAGATCCCAACAAAGAGGATATTTTAATGAATTTTCAGAGCTGCTTCTTCTCCATGGGTCGTTTGGCGTCTTACCCTTGGGCTGTAAGTGCTATTATAACGGTTTAAATTCTGTCAAAACGAAATCTTGGACACATACTGATTTGCTCTGCTTGCATAGGATTTACTAGTACTATGGTCTGTATAAACCTCTTGTAATGTATTCAGAAATATTTGAGAATTCATTTGGAGTAGTTCGGTTTTACTAGATTTTTACATGTTAACCAAAATGCCAATAGCAGCTGAGAAACAATCACAACCTTTAGTCTTTATCTGTATTGTACTTTAGTATTCAGAAATGTGTTTGTACTTTACTTCTGTAAATTTTACAGTGGATACTTTTTACTTTTCCTTCACTACATTTGAGAGGAGGTGTCTGTACTGTGTACTCTATTCATAATTGGTAAATCTTATGATCTTGTCTAGTTCTGTATAATACTGAATTCACTCTATAAACAAGCTCTAAAAACTCTTGACAAAAAACCCTACAGATACCACCATTGTCAAATTTTTCAGAAATACAAAATTATGACCTGGGACAATCTTATTAAATTTAAAAATATCTGTTTAATGTACAAGATTAAACATGGCTGGGCTCCCCCTTCTCTGAATGACTTTGTTAATTTCAGATCTAGTAGAGTGACCAGAGGAGCAAGTGAGGGAAGACTGCCTTATTCCTCATAGAAAAAGTGGATTTGGTCAGTTTGTTTTCTCCGTCAGAGCGTCCCATCAGTGGAACTCTGCGCCTGAAGCCATCAGAACATCTCCCTCATTCTCTGCTTTTAAAACGAATGCCAAAAAGTGGATTTTAGAAATGTGATCACTAAAACTTTTATTGTATTTTTGTAATCATTTACATTGTTTTGATGTTGATTAATGTGCATTGTCCCTTTTCAAATAAATAAATGAAATCAGAAACATGCTAACAGGTTATTGCTTAGACTTAGACTTAAACTTGATACTGATTCACAAGGGAAATGATTTGGACACAAGAGCTAACACATTACAATATATTATAATAACAAGGAGCAAAAATATTGTAATAATAAATTCTAAATAAATAAATAAGTAGACCATAAATTATAGAAATGTATATGTACAAGTATAACTAGAATATAACATTTAATAGTATATTATATAATTGATTTCTGTTTAATGTCTGTTTAACAGTTTGTAGAAAAAGAACTCGTTGGCAGTAACTCCACAGAAGTGATTTCGCAAATATTGAATCAGGTAAAAGCGTTATATCTGTTTTTAATGATAGATGAAAAGTGAAAATGTTTGTTTATCTGTATATTTGTGATTTTTTATTTTTTATTTGTCTCAGACTTGTTGCCATCCTCTGTGCACAGCCTTCCCTCCCTCCGTCCGATACAGACGTCTCTTCCTCTCTGAGCTCATCAAACGGGTCAGAGGTTTATTTACTATAGTTCCAATGAATTTTGGGAAACTTTTGTAATTTAGTTTTGTTTTATTCATTTAAAATAAGTGTAACAAACATGTTGTTACTGCAGATTTTTACAGATATTTAAAAAGATGATTTGATTAACAGACACATTATGAATTACACAACATCATGAAATTACACAAAATGGATTCTTGTAAGTGTTTAGTTTAGCCATGTTATAATGTTGTTCCCTCCTCATAAACAGACCGGGAGTTATGTTTTGTTTCATTCACACATGTTTGAGTAATCCTTTATTATTAGTCTGTTTACATCTCCAAAGCTCAAAATGCTCTGTTCCCCCTTGTGATGTCACAAAGTGGTTGTTTTCAAATGAACAGCTCCTTTTAACTTTTGTTTAGCAGAGATCGGCAATTCTAGGCTGAAATTATGTAAATGATTCTAGTGAAGGTATATGAAGTTTTAAAACACAGTGGAGCACTGCCTGTTTTTCCAGATAAAATCACACTAGTTGGTCCTGATTTAGTCCTGATTTAGTCCTGGTTTAGTCCTGATTTAGTCCTGGTTTAGTCCTGATTTAGTCCTGGTTTAGTCCTTGTTTATTACTGGTTTAGTCCTGGTGTAGCCCCCTGATTTAGTGCTGATTTAGTCCTGGTTTAGTCCTGGTTTAGTCCTGATTTAGTCCTGATTTAGTTCTGATTTAGTCTTGGTTTAGTCCTAATTTAGTCCTGGTTTAATCCTGATTTAGTCCTGGTTTAGTCCTGATTTTTAGTCCCGATTTAGCCCAGTTTTAGCCCCAGTTTAGTCCTGATTTAATCCTGATTTAGTCCTGGTTTAATCTTGGTTTAGTCTTGGTTTAGTCTTGGTTTAGTCTTGGTTTAGTCCTGATTTAGTCCTGATTTAGTTCTAATTTAGTCTTGGTTTAGTCCTAATTTAGTCCTGGTTTAATCCTGATTTAGTCCTGGTTTAGTCCTGATTTTTAGTCCCGATTTAGCCCAGTTTTAGCCCCAGTTTAGTCCTGATTTAATCCTGATTTAGTCCTGGTTTAGTCTTGGTTTAGTCTTGGTTTAGTCTTGGTTTAGTCTTGGTTTAGTCCTGATTTAGTCCTGATTTAGTTCTGATTTAGTCTTGGTTTAGTCCTAATTTAGTCCTGGTTTAATCCTGATTTAGTCCTGGTTTAGTCCTGATTTTTAGTCCCGATTTAGCCCAGTTTTAGCCCCAGTTTAGTCCTGATTTAATCCTGATTTAGTCCTGGTTTAGTCTTGGTTTAGTCTTGGTTTAGTCCTGATTTAGTCCTGGTTTAGTCCTGGTTTATTACTGATTTAGTTCTGGTTTAGTCCTTATTTAGTTCAGATTTTTAGTCCCGATTTAGCCCAGTTTTAGCCCCAGTTTAGTCCTGATTTAGTCCTGGTTTAGCCCTTGTTTATTACTGGGTTAGTACTGGTGTAGCCCCCGGATTTAGTCCTGATTTTTAGTCCAGGTTTAGCCCTGTTTTAGCCCTAGTTTAGTCCTGCTTTAGTTCTGGTTTAACCCTGTATATTGACAGTATTGCCTCTACAGCAGGAGACCTCAGGCTGTGACCCCTCAGACCAGCTGTACGACGCTCTAGCTCAGGTCATCGGAGCCGAGGAGACCACGCAGTGCTACAAGTCCTACTTCCTGGTACCTACAACCACACACATTGCACATTTAAATTATTTTCTCCCAATTTTCATGGTGTTTTCGCATCCCTAGATCCATTTGTAAGTGATTTATATTGCTAAATTAAGGCCTTAAAAAGTCTTAACTCTTTCCCCCATGAAGACGACATTTGACGACCCCCTTGTTTCCTTAATGACGTGTTTTGACACCTCCGCTGTTTCACTAAAGACATAATTTGACGACCATTAGAAACGGTCCTGGTTTTTCACATGTAAACAGAGACGGGAGCCACTACAACCCACACTAGGCTGTCGAGTAAGATTCAAGGACAGTGTTGGGAAGGTGACTTTTAAAATGTATTCCCCTACAGATTACAGATTACATACCCCAAAATGTAGTTTGTAACATAATCCATTAAATTACTTAAAGTGAGTAATGTAATCTGAATACTTTGGATTACTTGGTTTGCTGTAGAGAAGCAAAGACAAGGATATTGTAACATGAGATTTTTTTTTTTGCTAAAAGACAATAAAAAGTCCAGTGTTTACTTAACTGTATTAAAAATATTATTGATAGAAGAGGAGGAGACACAGTCCACGTAGCATGGTTTAGTCCTGTTAAATCCTGTTTGAGACATAGTTTAGACCTGGTTTTAGACCTGGTTTAGACCTGGTTTGGACCTGGTTTTGATCTGGTTTAGTCCTAGTTTAGACCTAGTTTAGACCTGGTTTTAGACCTGTTTTAGACCTGGTTTAGACCTGGTTTAGGCCTGGTTTTAGACCTGGTTTTAGACCTGGTTTAGACCTGGTTTAGACCTGGTTTAGACCTGGTTTTAGACCTGTTTTAGACCTGGTTTAGATCTAGTTTAGATCTAGTTTAGACCTGGTTTTAGTCCTAGTTTAGTCCTGGTTTAGACCTGTTTTAGTCCTGTTTTAGTCCTGGTTTAGACCTGGTTTAGACCTGGTTTAGACCTGGTTTAGACCTGGTTTAGTTTCCGGCAATGAGTGGAATTACCGAGAAAAAAAAAAGGAAAAAAAGGGGGGGATATAGCCCAAAATGTTAAAACAGTAAAATAGCGCCCTGTAACCCATTTATTCTGACAAAGTAACTGTAATCCAATTACCACTCACTGAAACAGTAACTGTAACCAAATACAGTTACTCATAATTTGTACTCTGATTATGTAACTCTGGTACATGTAATCTGTTACTCCCCAACACTGCCTGTTATTTAATGTGAACCTGAACAAATCTTAGTGAATCTTGTTGCATACATTTTGAATCTCTGTCTAAGAACTGTAAACAAACATACTGTCTGTGTTTCCTTCATGTGGTCCTTCAGCCAGGTGGAGGCGCTGTGACACTGCAGGAGAACGTGGCTTTGATTTCAGACGGCACCACGGGGCTGGTTACGTGGGAGGCGGCGCTGAACCTCGCAGAATGGGCTCTGGAAAACCAACAGTATTTCAACAACAGGTACAAGATCCAAGAAACGTGCATATGACAAACTCGTGTTTTCCTAATTATGATGTAGTTTAGTGGGATCGTACCTGTGGATTTATATATCACAGTTTTACATCAGTTAAGTGTCAGTTTGTGAATAAAGGTTGGGGAGAAAAGAAAATATTTTAAGGGAATGTTACAACTGTGAATTTAGTCAAAATGCAGTTTATGCGCTTTGTGGACTTTTCCATATATTATTATTTATCGTATTTTCCGGGCTATAGGTCGCGCTCTTAAAGGGATAGTTCGGGATTTTTTACATAAATCTGTATGTCATCCCTGTGAGCAGTGTCGTGCATCAACACTGACTTACCCCCGACAGCGTCCGGTGAACCGAGATACTGGCCGTTTTTGGTGCTGACGAAAGTAGTCCGACAAGTTGACTGGGGACTGTAAAATAAAGCATTTTTCTTCCCAAAACAGTCTGTGTTCAAAAGAGTGATACATTTGCATCACAAAACCATTGCGCCAAAAAGTCAGACCTCATAATCTCTTGGCACTATTTTCTTTCCATTCGTATCACTGCACGCTGCTGCCAGGTGACAGCCGCGCACGAATCCATCACTTTGTTCAGTTGTTCAGCAGTGTTTACATGCGCAGACCGCCGCCACGCGAGAGAGCTAATATGAGAGCTAGAGTCATAAGTATATAAGCTTGTATATGATACATATGAATATATCTAAAAAATGGAGCGAACTCTTGATTCTCGAGGCTGTAACAACAAAAATCTGGCTGAATCTCCACAAATGTCACCGTTTTCCTGTCACGGACTTTGCTCTGAGGAAACTTTGGCTTCTTGTCTTTGGCTTCAACGTGGAAACCAAACCAGGTAAGAACGAAGAAGTGCCGCTGTGTTTACAAGAGAACAGACTCAAGAATCAGCTGTAACTCTGTGTGCAGTAAATCACTCAGTGTCATATCACCAGTGAAGCTTCTACAAAACATAACTTTATAAGTCGACTGTTATTACTATTGTAAATGTCTCGTACACTATTGGCAGCAGCTACGTGGACGTGTGAATGATTCTATGTTTCTATTAGTCGTCCATGCTTCAGTCACAGTGTAGGCTCTATGTTCGCTGTATACGAGTTTGTAAATGACACTTCTCTGTCTCTCTTCTCTCTCGGCCCGTTCTAACTCCATCTGGTGAAATTCGGCATCAGTATATTCGGGTTCACAAAGATCTCCCCTTGGCTTTGTGGTAAAGGCAAAGTCTTTATTGTCGGTGTCGTAATCAGACATGTTGTCGCTAACTTTCCGAGCAGTAAACACAGTGAACCAGGCGCGGCTGTCACCTGGCAGCAGCGTGCAGTGATACGAACGGAGAGAAAATAGTGCCAAGCGATAATGAGGTCTGACTTTTTAGGCGACAAAGGTTTTGTGATGCAAATGTATCACTCTTTTGAACACAGATTGTTTTGAGAAGAAAAACACTTTATTATACAGTCCCCAGCCAACTTGCAGGACTACTTTCGTCAGCACCGAAAACGGCTAGTATCTCGGTTCACCGGACGCTGTCGGGGTTAAGTCAGTGTGGATGCACGACACTGCTCACGGGGATGACATACAGATTTATGTCAAAAATCCTGAACTATCCCTTTAAGCTTCCAACCACATCAAAAAATGACTGCTCTCCACAATCCAGAGCGCCCTATACACGAATCCACTCGGGTGTCCCAGCACGACTTCAGTAAACTACAAAGCCGCAGAACACACAAACACACACGGAGCAGACAATGACCGCACAGCGAAACACACCCACAGACACACTCATCACTCCACGCCGACGAGGAACGGAACGGAGGAATGAACCGGAGGAACGAACCGAAAAAGCAAGTGCAATGTGCCACTTCTAGACACGACTGAACAACTGAGTCACTGCGAACACGCCGACAATCCAGCGGTCCCAGACAGCACCCTCCCTACACGCCACAAACAAACAAAACCACTCACCCATCACGCTGTTGTGTTTCCTGTAAAATCCCACACGGTTTATCTGTGAAAAAAGTTAAAACATAGACCATTCAGTGACAGTGCGCCTTATAATCCAGAGCGCCTAATAGCCCGGAAAATACGGTATTTATTTGCTTGGGAGTGAGAAACACAATTTAGATTCTTCATATGTTTACTATGAAGAATTGACAATAAACTTTTTTGAATTTGAATTATGACAACAATACATTTTTTAAAATTTGTCAAATCACCGTATTTTTCGGACTATAAGACGCAATATCAATAATGTTGAATTCTCTCGTCTATTTTCATACATAAATTGCACTGGATTATAAGGCGGATTAAGCAAAAGAACCGGACGACACATGAGACTGATCCTTAGTCCAGGCGTCTACGATCCATTGGCAGATCGTGGTGTAACTCGCCCGGCGTTGCCTCCCTGTCTCGGTGAATTATGAATGTGAATGTGGCTGGATCATTTAAGTTTGTTTTTATTTCCTACGAGGACGACTCAAATATACACTGAGTAATGATGTGTTTAATTCAGCTCTGATCACATTTGTTTACGCTTTACAGAAACAAAACTTAAAACCACATGACTCATTTGCATAAACTTTAAGTGCTGAAAAAACAGCTCGCCCCTTGTGCGCTGATGTGGTTCAGCTTCTGTCGGACTAAAGGACACGACTCACTTACTCGGCGAGACTCCTGACTACAGTCGTACTAAAACATTTTGACCGATTTTTGAGCACCGTGTATCTCATAAAATCGGTTCGAGATCAGTAAGTACAACCAGAATTAATACATAAGCCGCACCGGATTATGAGGTACACTATCAATTTTTACAAAAATTAAAGGATTTTAAGTGCGCCTTGAAATCTGAATAATACAGTAATCATTAGGGGTGTGCAAAAATATCGAAATATTGATATATCGCATCGTTTAATGTCATGATACAGTATCAATATCGAGGGCTGCTGTATCGATATATATCACCAGGAATATTTTTTGGTATGTTTTACTAAATTATTTTGTTACAGCGCTACAGTTTTGTTGTTTGTTTAGTGGAAGGAAACTCGTTTATGCGACAGATTTGACATTTTCACTGTTTTGATGATTAAAATGTTTGTGTTTCATATTAATTTTGCACAAGGCATGGTTTAAGAAAGACTTTTAGTATCACAGCCAGCCTTTAGCCATTATTATTTATTGAACCATATCGAATTGATTTGAAATATATCGTATCGAATCAAAAGTGCACTGTATCGAGATATGTATTGTATAGTGGCCTATGTATCGAGGTATGTATTGTATCGGCAACTTCTTAACGATACCCAGCTCTAGTAATCGTTTACAGTATGGTTGCTAGGTAACAGTGAGGGAGGTTAGTGCCAGGTAGTCTGTTCAAGAAGAGAGGAAGTGCTTTGGTTTGGTGCTTTGACCTGACGTTGTAGCATTAACAGTTCTGAAATGACCTTTATGAATGTCATATCTGCTGCTCACGTCCAACCACGAAGTAAAATTTTTAACTTCACCAAAATGGTCAAACTATAGAAATCGTTTTTGCTGTGTTCAGGTCGGTTCTGGAGCTGGGCAGTGGAGCAGGCCTCACCGGGATCACCGTCTGTTCCTCTTTGACTCCCTCCAGGTTCATGTTCAGTGACTGTCACCCAAAGGTGCTCCATAAACTCAGGCAGAACGTCGCTCTAAACAGACTTGACCAGCAGGTAGGACCCCTATAGTTTAGGTACATTTTGTAACTTTTCTGGTGAAAGGTCCATCAAATGCTTGTCTCCATGGAGATGTTATTGCTTTGTCTGGAATGTTTCACAATATAGTATTAAACCTTTCTATCTTCATGGAGACCAAACCAGACCAAGTTACAGGTCAGATCTGTGGAGAGGCGGGGGTCATCTCACACTCAGAATGTCTGTTTATCTGGGTATGGGTGAGCTATAAAACCACCTGTAATTGAATAAATGTAAGGTCGAGCTGTTTAATGTCATACTGTGGAACATTACGGTCAGAGCAATGACATCTGCATGAAGCAGGTGATGGACCCCCAACCAAAAAGTTATAATGCACCTTTAACTCTTTTCCCCATGAAGACGATATTTGACGACCCCCTTGTTTCCTTAATGACGTGTTTTGACACCTCCGCTGTTTCACTAAAGACGTGATTTGACGACCATTAGAAACAGTCCTGGTTTTTTACATGTAAACAGAGGCTTTGATAGTTGGGGGCCACTACAACCCACACTAGACTGACCAATATGATTCCAGGATATGTTTTTGCAGATTTTTTCCAAAGTTAATCGAAGTAGTGACGATTGTAGCTTCTGTTAAAAACACAACACGAAACATGAGCAATGAAATGACTGCGGCACACAGTTTTAGAAATAATTACAAGCAGGTGTATTTTATGGATAACTTTAGAGAAAGTGACTTTTATAGATTTCAAAGTGATGATGAAGTTGTTTATAAAGTGGAAAACAGCGGAATTTCGGAGAGTGAAACTTATGAAGGTGAGAATGCTGCTGATGCATCTGTCTGGAGTCCTGCGATATCCAAACAAACTGTCGGGAACATTATACTCGATTATGAACCAAAATTGTCCTGAAATCTGGATGTTGCTCAGGCGAGTCCTTTGAAATATTTCAGTCTTTTTTTTTCCAAGATGTATGACAGAATTGCTACAGCAACAAACACTTATGCAGAGCTCTGCACATGAGAAAGTATCCAAGATGACAAATACTGGACACCCACTGACGGGGAAGAGTTTTATTATTATATTATAATATTATAATAAGCTAAATGAGTTGAATAAGTTAAATGAGTTGAATAAGTTAAATGGAAAAAATGAATCAGGTCCACACAGGTGAACAACAGGTAAAAACAGGTGAACACTTGGCTTTACTGTATCTGGTGATGTGAAATCTGTTTAAATACTTTGACAAATATATTTTTATTTATTTATTTTTTTTATGAATACAGTACTCAGAAAATGTATATATCAGATGCTGAATGTAGTTTTTTGTTTTTTCGATTTTGCACCTGACCAGGTAAACTGATTTTCTGTGAACTGTTATACACCTGTAAATGAGTTGAATCACATTTAAACATTCATAAATGAAGAGTTCAGAGTCTAAGGTTTCCAGAGACACCAAATATGTCTGTGTTTCAGTGAAGGTCAGTGTAAAAAATCATTTATAATCACTCATGGAAGTCTGTTTTCTTTTATGCACTTATGCTCTATGGGTGACCCTAGTAATATATGTATGGGTTGTTCCTAGTCGGTGGCCAGGGGGGAAACAGTTATGATTGTGAATGCTTGAATACATGTAAAACATTTTTTTTGGAATAATGTTCTAAAAACTACCACCTGTAAGTTAGATTTTTTTGTTACCAGATATGAAACCTGTCCCCTCCTCTCACCTGGCTTTTGTTTAGACTCACCTGTACTCTTCTGTCTTTCACACTATCAGACAGCAGTAACACAGATGACCTCTAGTGGTGAACTGTGACAATGCAACAGGGGCGGGTCAGCTGCTCTAATTCCAGACGGTAGCTTTAACGTGAACTCTCTCTCTGATCAGGCGGTGCAGGTGGAGGAGCTGGACTGGGCGTTTGTGACAGAGGAGGAGCTCAGAGCCATTGGAGCAGAGACCGTCATCGCTGCAGGTGGGTTGGCTTTTTATAGACTAAGAAATAGGTCAGGGTAGAGGTTTTTTAAAAGCAAGGCAAGTTTATTTGTATAGCACAATTCATACACAAGTTAATTCAAAGTGCTTTACAGAACAAGAAATACATTAAAATCACAATACAAACAAATCAAAACAAATAATCATCATTAAATTAAAAAGAGAGAGAGACTTTAAATGAGAGAGAAGAGTGCAGAATGAAAACCTTTCAGTCAGACACAGCTAAACAGAGTCTGGATTTAAACAGAGTCAGTAGAGTCTCACATGCTTTAGGGTTTTAGGTGTATGAATCTAAAAGAATGAGAACTTCGCACATCAGTTACTTGAGATGGGTGCTTTGGAGGAGAGGGGGCAGCCCAAGAACATGGAGAAAAATCCCGCACACCGTCTTACTTGCACATTGTGAGATTTATTAGGACAAACCGTGCAACGTTTCGGCACTAGGCCTTCGTCAGGCAAACAGAATGAGATCTCAGGTGGTCATCTTAAATAGGGTGTGGCAAGCACCCAAGGGTGACAGGTCATAAAGAAACAGTTTACCAAAACACCATAATTGACAGAACAAAGACAATCAACATATAGTGTAATAATAATGATACTTATAATAATAATGAAATATTAATCATAGTACAAAAATCATATGATTTTTCTACTATGATTGTACAACTGTGACGTTGCACGGTTTGTCTTAATAAATCTCACAATTTGCAAGTAAGACGGTGTGCGGGATTTTTCTCCAGGTGCATGAATCTAAAACTCTTGAGGAGGCCGGGACTAAACCAGGACTAAACCAGGACTAAACCAGGACTAAACCAGGACTAAACCAGGACTTAACCAGGTTTAAACCAGGACTAAACCAGGACTACAGCAGGAGGTCGGTCCCTGAGCTCCTCACAGTGCACATGGTTCATGTGGCTCTAATATGTCACAGATGGACTTTGGTGCGAGGCCTTGGAGAGACTTGTACAAGCAGAGCTGCTTTAAAGTCTCTGAGCCACAGACAGGGGGCAGTGCAGAGACCTGAGACCAAGACGTATGTGCTTGTGCTTCCTGGTTGAAGTCAGGACCCAAGCTGCAGTCTTCTGGATGTTCTGCAGCGTCTCACAGCTCGTTTGGAGAGGACAGTGAGAGACTGTTACAGTCTAACCTGCTTTAGACAGTAAACCTTTGATTTTTGCTCTGTATTTTAGATGGTCAAAGGCTGCAGATGTTATTGATTTGATGTGTGAGCCCATTATTACACCTAGATTTCTAGCCTGGTTTGAAGGTTTTAGAGCAGAGGCCTCCAACCTTTTTTCTCCGGTGAGCTACTTTCACAAAACGAAAATGCCAGAGAGCTACTAGTTTTAGCGGTTACACGTAAGTGAGTAAATATAGGGGCCATGGCGAGCCTTAGAGTGGGTACAGTTAGATGTCTATAAAAGATAAACCATTATCCATTTATTAATGTACAAATTTAGGCATCAAAATTATACATTTTCAAACGCTAACAGGCATTTAATCAATCAAATTTTACTTATTCAGCACAATATGTATAATTCAGAAATCCTTTGGAGAGCTACCATATTTTGCGCACTGTTAGGTGCTGGATTATAAGACGCACTGTCATTAAATGGTCTATTTTTTTACTTTTTTCACAAATAAACCGCCTGGGACCTTAAAGGAAACCCAACATTGTGATGGGTGAGTGGTTTTGTTTGTTTGTTCGTTCACGGTGACTCTGGGCTTTGTTCAGTTGTGGTGTGTAGGGAGGGTGCTGTCTGGGACCAACGGATTGTCGGCGTGTTCGCAGTGACTCAGTTGTTCAGTTGTGTCTAGAAGTGGCACATTGCACTCACTTTTTCGGTTCATTCCTCCGTTCCTCGTCGGCGTGGAGTGATGAGTGTGTCTGTGGGTGTGTTTCGCTGTGCGGTCGCTGTCTACTCCGTGTGTGTTTGCGTGTTCTGTGGGTGGTGCGGCTTTGTAGTTTTACTGAAGTCGTGCTGGGACACCCGAGTGGATTTGTGTATAGGGTGCTCTGGATTGCGCAGTCGCTTTTTGATGGAGTTAGAGGCTTAAGAGTGCGTCTAATATCCTGGAAAATACGGTACTTGGAATGGGGTGGAGAGCTATCAGTAGCTCCCGAGTTACAGGTTGAAGACCCCTGTTCTAGAGAAAGAGACTGGAGGTGACTGCTGACACTGTCTGTTCGTTTGTTTGTTTGTTGCATTGTGCACTGTGTAATTTTTTGGTTGAGGGTCCGTCACCTGTTTGTTCCTATGGAGATGTCATTGGTCTGTCTGGAATGTTCCACAGTATGACATTAAACAGTTATACCTTACATTTATTCAATTACAGGTGCTTTTATAGCTCAAAAATAACCAGATAAACAGACATTCTGACTGTGAGATGACCCCGCCTCTCCACAGATCTGACCTGTAACTTGTTCTTGATCTTGTTCTGCATGAAGACAGAAAGGCTTAATACCATACTGTGAAACATTCCAGACAAAGCAATAACATCTCCATGGAGAAAAGCATTTGACGGAGCCTCCACCAGAAAAGTTACGCAATGCACCTTTAAACAATGCATCAGGAATGTGCTAAAATGTCCCTAAAAATGTCTCGGTTAAAGATCAAGTCTACTATAAATGAACTAAAATATCAGAGATTACACTTAGACATTTCTATTCAATTTGTTTTTCCTCAGTTCTTTTTATTATAGAATATAGTTGGAATTTTAATACTCAATATTATAATTTTGCATTTCTCCAAAACAACAATTGTGATATATTTTTTCTATGTATTTTCCTCTCTCCTTTCTCTAGATTAAATTATTGGTATTTCATATTTATTACAACTTGATCTTAAATGTATGAAAAATCATTCAAGCCTTTTTTTCTGTCCTTACAAACGTCAATGTTGCCAGCAGAGGGCGCACTGATGTCTGATGATGTGTGTTTCCAGATGTGGTGTATGACCCAGTCGTCGTGGAAACGCTGGTGCGACTTCTCTCTCGGATCGTCGCGAGTTCGAGTCCTGACATTTTCATCTGCTCCACCGTCAGAAACCCCGACACGTACAGAGACTTCACGCAGAGGCTGGGTGAGCGGCATCATGGGAAATATAGTTACTAATAAACAAACCAAATGCGTGTGGGGCAGTTGATATGGACTGCCCAAAAATGTTTTAAAATAGTCTGAAAGTCAAGAAAAAAATACTAAATGGATTTAAAGAGCACAATTCGAGCGTTCACGGTCTTATGGTTCATGTTTATTTGAGAGGGACTTGTTTACCAGCACAAATCAGCTCACCTGTTGTAGTTCCAGCGAAGTCTGTTCTTTATGGTCAGACTGTATTAAAATAAAGATTAAAGTAAGTTGTGTAAGAGAGCAGACAGACAGAGCAGTGCTTACAGTTAGCCTCACACCTCCGGGCAATGTTGATGACATCAGCTGCACAGTATTCATCATCGTATAGTAAATGGGTCCGGTCAAGTGGTAACGGAGGGAAACGGGGGCAGATTTTTGACATTCAAGTAGCTCTTATTCAGAAACTAGAGGGACTATTGAAATAAGTAAAGTATCAGAATATAGGAAAGAGTGAACACTCCAACAGGGTAAAGTTAAACCTGTGATATTCTTTCAAGTTGTTGACAAAAAATTTTAAAACTCATGTCGGTAACGGAGGGAATGAAATATGCAGCACTTTTTGGGCAATAAATCCAAACAGTGATAACTAGCGGTTCTCACTTACATATCCTTAACAAACTGGTTTGAATATTTGCTTCATATAGTTTTCTACCATATGGTACAAGATTAGGTTGAAAAACCTCTTACTTTTTGAGTCATGAGATTTTTTATTAAGAAAAGTCATGGTAACGGAGGGAAAAGTAATGGAGGGAAAATTGTACAAGCAAGTAGAAGTTGCATGATTTTACATCATTTGTCGCTTTTTTCTTCCGAATACTTTAATATTACTTCAAAATGAAAGGAAACTATTTCTATAAAATGTCAGTCCTTCCAAGCAAATTTTTATCATTTTAAATACTTTTTTTTTTTGAAAAATCATGTACGTTCATCAACAGTTCAAAGATGGAAAAACAGAAGATATGATGAAATACATCCATTTATTTACATGATTTGCAGGTCTTTGAAATTTGGGAAATAATTTTTGTTCCATGTTTCATACATGGTCTGTTAAAATGTATGGAACTTTAGAACCAAAAATGGTACAGAAAAAAGGTCAACAGTTTCATAAACTAGAGTACATATGTATCTGTTCAATACATTTTTATATCAGATGCATTAACTTGAATTTTTGGCCTTGCTGTTTACTTCTGCTTGACCGGGCCCAAATATAAACTTGGGTAATTAGACCTAAAATACAGGCAATGAATATGTTTGCAAAAAACTATGGGGCAAAGACAAAATTTTGAAAAATGACGAGGATTGAAAAATGAGATACTAACTGATACTAAAACTAGTATTGAAACTTGGTACTCAATTTTTGCAGGTATTAATACTAAAAAAAAGTCCCATTGACAGGACAGAAATGATCCTTTTCTGAATGATGTTTCTCTGTATCAGAACAAGTGTCAGAGCACATAGACTAGTATACACACATGGACCAACATGAACCTACTGCACCACTGACCATTACACACATAGAACACATATGGGAATAGAAAATAAAATTCTAGGATTTAATGTGGAAAATCACATTTTATAGTCTAAAGAGTCTATTTCTTAGACTATTTTAGTATCAAAACTAATTAATAATGTGGTCATACTGGTTTGTCAAAGCCTGATCTCATCACATGTCAGAAGCTCAGCAGGTCAGGGTCTGGTTAGTACTTGGATGGAGACCACTAGGGAAAATCAGGAGCCACAGGGGGGCGCCAGTCACACAAACTTGTCACCAATGTGTCCTCAGACAAGACCTCCATTGTCTAGTATGTAAGTGGTGTGTGTGTGAGTGATGATGGTGGGAGGGGCCGATGGTGCAGATTGGCAGCCTCGCTTCTGTCAGTCTGTCCCAGGGCAGCTGTGGCTACAACAGTAGCTTCCACCACTGGGTTTGGAGTGAATGAATAAAGATCTGTAAAGCGTCTGAGTGTCCAGAAAAGCTTGATATAAAATGTATACATTATTATTATAATTAAAAATGCTTTTCTTTTTTCAGAAAATGCAGGAATCCTTCACGAGGTTTTGTCTGGACCAGTCAGAAGAATATTTCCCTACAACAGAGTCTCTCAAATAGAAATTATCAAATTGTACAAAAAAACATAACATTAAAGATTTTATTTTACACATTTGCTTCTGTATCAAAGTCATTAAAAAATACTTAGAATCTTATAACCATTATTATTTTACACCAGTATCTTTGGTCATATTTTAGCTCTTTACAAAGTAACATTGACATAAAAATACATTTATATTTAGATACAAAATATGAGGCCTTCAGGTTCTCAAAATCCTTTTAACAGTTGTTTAAAGGTGCACTTTGTAACTTGAAATGTCCCACAGTGTGACATTAAACAGCTCTACCTTACATTTATTCAATTACAGGTGGTTTTATAGCTCAGAAAAACTGAGTGGGTTCGTCTCTCCACAGATCTGACCTGTAACTTGGTCTGGTTTGGTCTCCATGAGGATAGAAAGGTTTAATGCAATACTGTGGAACATTCCAGACAAAGCAATAACTCTCCATAGAGAAAAGCATTTGATGAACTCTTCACCATTATCATGAATGAGAGTGACAGAGGGGGTGCAGTGGGATAGGCACTTGCAGGACAACCAGGAAGTCAGTGGTTCAAACCTCATACTGTGGTTTGTCCTTGGGCAAGACACTTCCACAGTTCATTGCACTCTCCATTCACAGTGCAGTACCACTCTGGGCTTAGCAGCTTGTTGTTTCTTCTGTTGAACATTTGTATTGAACAAATACATTTTCACTGTGCACACTATGCAGCTTTTCTGGTGGAGGGTTTGTCTCCATGGAGATTTGTTTTGCCAAGACTGTTCAGCAGTTTGGCAGAGCAAAGGATTATGGTCTATTTAGTTCTTGGTAGAAGATAAGCCAGATTTTCAGCCCTTTGTCTTAAATTCCAGTGTTTTTTTTAATGATTTGAGTGGAGATTGGTCAGTGTGGTTTTTGGATCAGAGGCAGCACATTCTGATCCCAGTTGAGGTCCCAGCTCTGGCCTCGGTTCAGTCTGAGGTTTGTTCTGAACGAGGCCAGTTTTCCCTCCAGCGCTGAGGGGAAGTCCGACAGCAGAGTCTGGAAATAAACAGAACAGAGGAGATGAGAGCTGATGCACACGATAACAGAACATGTTCTAATATTTGATCATGACATTTCAGATGAGGTCTGGGGGCTGTAGAAATCTATGGGAAATTCACAGTTTTTGATAAAAATCTCCAAACTTATGATCCACAAGTGTTGACACCTGGTTTGGTTTAAAGTCCTGAACAATGATCACGTCTTAAATACTGGTACCACTTTCTGAAGCTATTGTAAAAAAATATTCAACTTTTGTTTATTTATACCAGGGGTCACCTGACTGATGGGGGCCAGGGTCAGGCGGCCGTATAACAAAATTGTTTGACCTTGACAATGAAGATTATATTCTTTGAAAACTGCCACACTTTCTTTACAAATCAGACAAACTCCACGGTCCTCATACTGAACAAAAAAACATTTTGCTGTCTTAACTGCCCTACAGTACTCTGCCCTACAGTACTCTGCCCTACAGTACTCTGCCCTACAGTACTCTGCCCTACAGTACTCTGCACTACAGTACTCTGCACTACAGTACTCTGCCCTACAGTACTCTGCCCTACAGTACTCTGCCCTACAGTACTCTGCGCGTGCGTTAACTGTCACAGTTTAATCTCGAGTTTGTCAGGTGATGAAAATTCGGTGGCAAATGTAAATACGTCATAGAATTATTTAAATATAAATACTTCATATAAATATACTTTTTTATTGAAAAAAGCAACAGAATACAAGATGCAGACGTGTTATTATTTGCCAAAAAGTTATTAAAAAAAACAAAAAACAGGCCGTGACTTTTGAGGCCAGTCCAGGTGGTGGGGGCAGAGGGGCTGGGGGCCGGTCAAAGGAGATGGAGGTCTGGAGTCGTTAGTTTGATGACCCCTGATTTATACTGACAAAAAAAACATTAAACTTCATGACAGTTTTTATTCCATGTGGAAAGGCCCAGGAATTACAGAGATATGAACAGTGCAAGAGCAAACTCCACCTGAGAATCCTGACCTGTCTCCAGCTCAGCTTCAACTTTACAGATCGTCCAGGTTTGTGCCCAGTTTAATTCTGATTTAAACATGTCCATTACTTATTTAGTTATTAAGGTGAATCTCTGAGACACTGAAAGTGAAATAAAGGTTAAATTTTACCTGCAGCTGTTGAGCGAGTTCATGCGAGTCTTTAAAAATCAGGCCGTTCTCGTCGTGTTTGACCAGCTCGTGCAGACTGTGGAGACACGAGGGGGAGTGACGGAGGTGACGGTGATATTACACGAGGATTAACGCACGTTTATGTCACATGGTTTTACACTGACCAGTTAAAGTGAATGGCACAGACGGGTAAAGAGCAGCCGAACATGTCCACCACCTTCATGGGCAGATCCAGACCAGAGGAAGAGAGGTGCAGACACACACCCAGGTCTGCACAACCTGACGAGAGGAAGAGACGAGAGGAGGAGGAGAAGAGACAAGAGAGGGGAGAGGAGAGGAGAGGAGGAGGAGGAGAGGACAGGAGGAAAAGAGGAGGAGACAAGAGAGGGGAGAGGAGAGGAGGAGGAGGAAGAGGAGGAGACAAGAGAGGGAGAGGAGAGGAGGAGACAAGAGGAGAGGAGGAGAAGAGGAGAGAGGAGAGGAGAAGAGGAGGAGACAAGAGAGGGGAGAGGAGAGGAGGAGGAGGAGAGGAGAAGAGGAGGAGACAAGAGAGGGGAGAGGAGAGGAGGAGGAGGAGAGGAGACGAGAGGAGGAGACGAGAGGAGAGGAGAGGAGAGGAGGAGAGGAGGAGAAGAAGAGAGAGGAGGAGAGGAGAGAGAGAGGAGGAGACGAGAGGAGAGGAGAGGAAGAGGAGGAGGAGAGGAGGAGAAGAAGAGAGAGGAGGAGAGGAGAGACACAGGTTAGAGGAGAGAGTAGAGAGTAAAGAGAAAAAGATAGTGAGAGTAAAGGGAGAGAGAAAAGAGACAGAGAGTAGAGAGAGTGAGAGAGAAAGAGTAAAGAAAGAGAAAAGAGAGACAAAGAGTAAAGAGAGAGAGAGAATAACGACAGAGAGAGAAGAGAGAGAGAGAGCGAGAAAAGAGAGAGAGAATAAAGAGAGAGAAATGAGAGAGAGAGAGAGACAAAGAGTAAAGAGAATGAAGACAGAAAGTGACAGAGTGTAACAAGAGAGTGTGCGAGTAACAAGACAGAAACCGTAAAGAGAGAGAAAAGAGACAGAGAGTAAAAAGACAGAGAAGAGAGAGAATAAAGAGAAACAAAGAGTAAAGACAGGGACAGAGAGAATAAAAACAGAGTGACAGAGCGTAAAGAGAGTAAAGTGAGAGAAAAACAGAGAGTAAAAGGAGAGAGAAAGGAGAGACAGACAGAGAGTAAAGAGACAGAGAATAAAGAGAGAGAGAGAGAGACAGAGAGAATAAAGACAGAGAGTGACAGAGCATAAAGAAACAGAGAAAGTAAAGAAAGAAAGACAGTGAGTAAGGAGTGAGAGAGAGAGAATAAATGAATCTGTCCTTTGTAATCCAACAGAATAATGACATGCTGTGTGTTGAAGATGTTTGTACCCAGTAGGACGGGGTAGTCCTCCGCCTCGAGCCAGGGCGTGCACATCTGAACATGCTGCAGACACAGAGACTCCATGAGGGAGACGTAAAACTGCTTCTGAGGGCCTTTACCTGAGCACACGGAAAGAAATGTGTTGGAATGTGCATCGTGTCACTTTTCTGGTGCAGGGTGCATCAAATGCTTTTCTTTATGGAGATGTTATTGCTTCATCTGGAAAGTTTCACAGTCTGGCATTAAAGCTTTCTTTCTTCATGTGGAGAGGCGACCTCGCTCACACTCACAATGTCTGTTTGTTGAGGTATTTCTGAGCTGTAAGACCATAAATGTAAAGTAGATCTGTTTAATGTCATGTTGAGTGTGTCTGCATGCACATGAGTAACCCGGTTATGACCAGGCTTCTGGAGTATCCCGGTTTCTTCATGGTGCATGTAGACACACTACTACCTTGCTATATCGCAGTTCACCTTTCGCAGTCTTGCTGTTTTTTTCCTTTTTTTTCAGTGTATGAACGTGAATTGCGTATTATGGGTGGGTAGTAATTACACACGGGTTTGTCAGGACTAAACCAGGTCCAAACCAGGACTAATCTTGGACTTAAGAGAGAAAACGCAGAGCAGACAAACACTTTCCAGTCTTTTCACCACAACAGTAATGACATAAATAAAGTGACCAACATAAATAAAGTGACCATACATGAATGAAATGACTAAAATAAAGACCTGCACTAAACCTGCACACGTACAATCTGCACATGTACGACCTGCACATGTGTGATCCCTGAAAAGCTAAACATGAACTATCTCCTACGATATACGCACAAAACGCACTTACAATCATTAGCACCTCTTCTGTCACAAAAAGAACACACACTTTCCACTGAGTTGTGTCCTTTAGTCTGACAGAAGCTGAACCGCATCAGTGCACAAGGAAAGAGCTGTTTTTATCAGCACTAATAGTTTATGCAAATGAGTCATGTGGTATTAAGTTTCATTTCTGTAAAACGTAAACAAATCTGATCAAAGCTGAATTATCTGATCAAACGGGCTGATGTGGCTCTACAGTGGTTATGGTTTATATGTTGTAAAGTTGAGTTTATTTATGCAGAAGATTTTAATGAAGAATCTGTTGGGTTTGATGTGTGCAGTAGATTGTGGGATGCCTCATAGCTCTTCACCGCTGGTTGAACCTCCCGAGCTTCCTCTGCTAAAGGAGCTCACAGTTGTATTTTTCCTGGTTTATTCATTTAAATTAAGTATATTTTTGCGCTTGTGCATTTGTAAGATTATGTCAAGAAAACGGGATACTCCATTTGATCATGTATACACAGTTTCCTGAATACTGCCAGATAAAAACCAGGATACTGATATGCATGTATACGCACTCACTGTGGAACATTCCAAGCAGAGCAATGACCATCTCCATAGAAACAACCAGGTGACAGAACCCTGACCAAAAAGTTCCACAGTGCACCTTTAAGTCTCTATCAAACACAAATCTGACGTTCTTCTCGTGGTTTCTGTGCCTTACCTGTGATGACACAAACTAAAGGCGGTAAAGACGCTCCTCCTTCGACCAGAGCCTCGTATTCTGTTCACACATCACAGCAGAGTTACATCCAGACCATTGTGTTTTCAATATTTAGATTCACTGAGAGACGGATACCTTCAAGAGCCTTCAAAAGAATGGAGAAGTCCTCGTCCTCTGTGGGGAAAAATAATGACACAAAGTACATCACAACACAAGTACACAAGGCCCAGCATCAACTACACGTGACAGAAGACAGAGAAGGTCATGTGTTATGTGTGAAAAGGAATATTAAATGAAAGGCACACTATGTCACTTTTTTATTCTACTTGTCTCCATGGTACGGAAGCCGAGAGGGGTCACAACAAACGTCGCAACAAACACAAATGCAGCAACACAAAAAAAAAGCCACAACAAACCAAAAAAAGCCACAACACACCAAAAAAAGCCACGCCACAACACACCAAAAAAAAGCCACAACGGAAATGATCGCGGGACTTTTAATGCAAACGTCGCAACAAATACAAAGGCCACAATACAAACGCAAAAAGCCACAACACATTAAAAAGCCGCAACATCTTGAAAAGCTACAATGGAAGTGACCGCGGGACTCTATTTTAATGCAAACGCCGCAACAAATACAAACGTCACAACACAAACGCAAATGCTGCAACACAATAAAAAGTCACAACGGAAGTGACCGGGGGACTATATTTTCCGAAGGACCGATCAAGTGGCAAATGAAGAAGAACTACAACGTGAAAAGTAAAGGAACGGAGAAGTTGGAAATGTAAGTAAAAGTAATTTATTGTTTTATCATTATTCGTTTCACGTTGTAGTTCTTCTTCACTTGCCGCTTGATCGGTCCGTCGGAAAACAGAGTCCCGCGGTCACTTCCAGTGTGGCTTTTTGATGTGTCATGGCTTTTTGATGTGTTGTGACTTTTTAATGTGTTGTGGCGTTTGCGTTTGTGTTGTGGCATTTGCGTTTGTGTTGTCACATTTGTATTTGTTGCGGCGTTTGCATTAAAATAGAGTCCCTCGGTCACTTCCGTTGTGGCTTTTTAATGTGTTGCGGCTTTTTAATGTGTTGTGGCATTTGCGTTAGTGTTGTGGCTTTTGCGTTTGCGTTTGTGTTGTGGCATTTGTATTTGTTGCGGCGTTTGCATTAAAATAGAGTCCCTTGGTCACTTCTGTTGTGGCTTTTTAATGTGTTGCGGCTTTTTAATGTGTTGTGGCTTTTTAATGTGTTGTGTTGTGCTTTTTAATGTGTTGTGGCTTTTTAATGTGTTGTGGCTTTTGCGTTTGTGTTGTGACGTTTCTATTTGTTGCGGCGTTTGCATTAAAATAGAGTCCCTCGGTCACTTCCGTTATGGCTTTTTAATGTGTTGCGGCTTTTTAATGTGTTGCGGCTTTTTAATGTGTTGCGGCTTTTTAATGTGTTGTGGATTTTTAATGTGTTGCGGCTTTTGCGTTGGTGTTGTGGCATTTGTATTTCTTGCTGCGTTTGCATTAAAATAGAGTCCCGTGGTAACTTCCGTTGTGGCTTTTTAATGTGTTGTGGCATTTGCGTTTGTTGTGACCCCTCTCGGCTTCCGTACCATGGAGATGCCTGTAATGCCTTTGCCTGTAATGTTCCAGTGTGGCATTAAATTGCATGTCTTAATGGAGACAAGCAAGTGAAGATGAAGTCATTGTTTAAAAACAGAAATGCTTGTAGTTGAATAAATGCAAGATAGAAAAGTTTAAAGCCACAATGGAACATTACAGACAATGCATTAATATCTCCATAGAGACAAGCAGGTACCCAGACTCTCAACCAGAAAAGTTACATAACGTACCTTTAACCAAATAACCACTAACTTAACCAATAACCAGTATAATTTGTTTTCTGGTAACAGCTCATGTAGATGAGTCATGGTGAGTCTGACCTGTCCAGCTGGTGCTGCTGATGAGGAGAGCCGGTCTCTTCTCTTTTAAATCCACCGTTTCTTTATTTAAATTGTGAACTGTGAATGCCGTCTGCTCCACGTCTTTGCTCTCATCTCCAGACCTGAGCACAGACACGGAGTTAGAGACACCAGCCAATACTGTCACAGCTCAGAGCATGTCCTGCCTTGTGCCCCTCCCTGCCACTCTCCTCTCTCCCTCTCCAGGTGTGTGTCCTCCCTGTCGCTCTTTCTCTCCAGGTGTGTGTCCTCCTGTCCTCCCTGTCGCTCTCCTCTCTCCCTCTCCAGGTGTGTGTCCTCCCTGTCGCTCTTTCTCTCCAGGTGTGTGTCCTCCTGTCCTCCCTGTCGCTCTCCTCTCTCCCTCTCCAGGTGTGTGTCCTCCCTGTCGCTCTCCCTCTCCAGGTGTGTGTCCTCCTGTCCTCCCTGTTGCTCTCCTCTCTCCCTCTCCAGGTGTGTGTCCTCCTGCCCTCCCTGTCGCTCTCCCCTCTCCCTCTCCAGGTGTGTGTCCTCCTGCCCTCCCTGTCGCTCTCCCTCTCCCTCTCCAGGTGTGTGTCCTCCTGTCCTCCCTGTCGCTCTCCTCTCTCCCTCTCCAGGTGTGTGTCCTCCCTGTCGCTCTCCCTCTCCAGGTGTGTGTCCTCCTGCCCTCCCTGTCGCTCTCCTCTCTCTCTCTCCAGGTGTGTGTCCTCCCTGTTGCTCTCCTCTCTCTCTCTCCAGGTGTGTGTCCTCCCTGTCGCTCTCCTCTCTCCCTCTCCAGGTGTGTGTCCTCCTGCCCTCCCTGTCGCTCTCCCTCTCCCTCTCCAGGTGTGTGTCCTCCTGCCCTCCCTGTCGCTCTCCTCTCTCCCTCTCCAGGTGTGTGTCCTCCCTGTCGCTCTCCCTCTCCAGGTGTGTGTCCTCCCTGTCGCTCTCCCTCTCCAGGTGTGTGTCCTCCTGCCCCACCTTTTCACATTATCAGAATGGATGAACATTGTAAGTGACATACATGTAATGGAACAGTTACCATCTCCACCTTGTGTCAGAAAACATGTGTTTTTTAAATGGCCAATATGATGCTGTTTTCTGATCTACTGTATGTCATCATGTTTCCTCATCAATAATACATCTGGACTTGTGTTTTGTTTCATCCACATGTTTAACAGACTAACCCTGCCCATTTAGACTTAGTTTTTCTCTCAAACTAAAAACACTCTGTTCCACCTTGTGATGTCATGCGGTAAGACAGGAAGTGCTCCACTGTGTTTTTAAACTCTATATATTTATGGATTCTTCTAGTGAGTCATTGACACTAAACAAAATACGCTTTGTTAATAATAAAAATAGATCAGTTTTATAAAGGGCTGAGACAAAGACAGTACAGTTCATTATTCACTCACTCCACTCAGTAATAGTGAGATATTACTGTAGCCACAGCTGCCCTGGGACAGACTGGCTGAAGCAAGACTGCCAATCTGCACCATCGGCCCCTCCCACCACCACCGATCTCTCTCACACACACACACACACACACACACACACACACACACACACACACACACACACACACACACACACACACACACACACACACACACACACACACACCGCTTTGATACGTTTTTCTGTAAAAATTGGGCTGATCATTAAGTAAGGAGTCGAAAGTCTTTATTTTTTACTGAACCGTATCAAATAGATTTGAAACAAATTGTGTTGAATATCGAGTTGATATTTTTGGGCTGATATGGAGCTCAACAGGGACCTCCTGCTCTGGTTCCAGAAGTACATTTTTGTTGTAGACCCTGACCATAGAGTTTTAGCCTGGGATTTCAGCAATTTTCCATTCATTTTTCCCATAGACTTCAGGGAGGTATCCAGCTACGTGCTGACTAACCAACTAACTATCCTTAATGAAAAAGTTTTAAGACCACATTTAAAATAGCAAAATGTTTTAATAACGTGGCAGTTTATAACGTTTCAGAAACAGATTTTAAATACAAGTATAGGTCTTGTGGTCTGATCAGCCCTGAGCTTTCAAAAAAAAAAAAAAAAAAAGTGAAATTAGAATTGTACACAGCGCGTATCCATAATGCAAAAGAAAAAAACTATTCAATTCTGGAACCAAACAATATCTGATCTTAAAACCTCCTTGTTATGAGGTATATATTAGACCATTGAGCGGCTAAATAATATTATTGTTTGAAGTTTGTCTAAATTTAATGTGGTGGATATAGATGAGCACTAATCTTTCATGTATTTAATTTTGTCCTGGACCTGTTATGTTGGTTTGTGTATTGTTTATTTGTTATATTAAAAACCAATAAAAATTTGGTAACAAAAAAAAAAAAAACTGTGAAATGTTCAAGTGTAGCTTCTCACCGTGAGTGTCTGAAGACTGTGTACGTCTCACTGAGTTTCATAAAGAGCTGGTGTTTTTGTCTCACTGGAGTTTCTCTGAACACTGAGGCCGGGCGGTCGTACAGCGTCACGGCTCTGCGGGAAATACGAATACACACATTTATACACTTTATACAACTATACCACGAAACACACAACAGCACGAGATCTACAGAGAGACGAGAGACACGTTTGAAACCATGTTCTGACCTGATGCCCCAGTTCTTGAGCAGATCTTCCTTCATGGCATTCGTCACACAGAGATTATGAGATGCCAAAGGTCCAAACATATGTTCATACCTGAAACACAGCACTGGGTTAAAGAAGGGGAGGGCATCTGAGTAAACTGAGGAATTACCCACAGCTAAAACTTTAAGATCCACCAGATTTTGGATTTTTGTCCAGATAGCTGTAGATTATTTTATAAAACAAGTTTGTGAAAATGTATATATGGTCATATTTATTTTGCATGCCCACTGCATTAGATTTCTACCAAAATAAATCAGTTATTTAATATTTAACTGTTGTTTTTTATTGCACTAAAAACCTTGAAAAAACACACACTTGCGTTGAGGGGACTTGTCTCGCCACAAACCTGACTTGTACCTTTTCTGGAGAATGGTTTGTCACTTGCTTGTCTCCACAGAGATGCTCTTAAAGGTCCCATATTACACAAAATGTCTCTTGTGAGCTCTACGCCATTTTACAATGTTGTAATCCAGGCATGTCCAAACTACGGTCCGTGGGCCAATTGCGGCCCTCAGACAAATTTTTCTTGGCCCTCAGACTTCCAGGTGAATTGGCTCAAATTACCTTACATCATTTAAATATTAACTTCTTACTGCAAGTATTTGGAAAATTTACCTTGATAAAGTGAATATTTAATATTTAGTGTGTGGTTTAAAGGATCTTAGCATGAGCCATCAGTGTTTATTCATGCTATTGGTGTTAAACATGCACATATTTCAATTATTCACTGTACTGAGCATCAGTCTGTGGCCCTCGATCAGCCCTCTGCTTCATCTGTGTTTAGAAATGTGGCTCTTGATGAAAAAAGTCTGGACACCCCTGTTGTAATCTCTTCATATACAGTTGTTTCATTCACACGTTTGAGTAACTCTTTCTTATTAGTCTGTCTAAATCTCGAAAGCTCAAAATGCTCTGTTCCACCTTGTGAAGTGGTAATTTTCAAATGGACACCTCCTTTTTCCTTTAGTTCAGTAAAGATTGGCAGCTCCAGATCTGAAATAATGCAAACGATTCTAGTGAAGGTGTGTGGAGTTTACACAGTGGAGCACTTCCTGTATTACAAGATGACATCACAAGGTGGAACAGAGTGTTTTCTGTTTGCGAGAAGAACACGGCTAAATTTCAGTGTGTTAAACATGAGTGAATGAAACAAAACACAAGTCCAGGTCTGTTTGTGACGAGAAAACGACATTAGAACATAGATCAGAAAATAGCGTCATATGAGCCCTTTAATTGGCCTCAAACCAAGAGTGACATAGAACTGATCATCACAAGGAATGTTACGTAATGCTGCTTTAATGACTGATAAATATCTTGACTATAGAGTACGGACCACTTTGCCAGTCGTACGATGGGGTGCCTCTCTCCGTGGGTCAGGGCCATGATGCTGTAGCCGTAGTTGTGCCAGTCGATGATGAACCGGGAACCGCGAATCAAACCAACGAACCAGGCCACTGCGATGCCCGGCAGCCCAGGAGGATTCTGGGAAACACACGCAGCATAGAATTATTACAACAGAGTATTTAGTGACTGTCCTCTTTGAGAACTAAATGTCCCTGTGTCTCCAAGGGCTCTGTGTAAAAACTGCTGAGCCTGTCTGTAATGTGTGTCAGATGCCCTCCCTGTGTGTGTCAAATGCCCTCTCTGTGTGTCAGGTGTCATCCCCCTGTGTGTCAGGTGTCGTCCCCATGTGTGTCAGGTGTCGTCCCCCTGTGTGTCAGGTGTCGTCCCTGTGTGAGTCAGATGCCCTCCCTGTGTGTCAGATGTCCTCCCCTTGTGTGTCAGATGCCCTCCCTGTGTGTGTCAAATGCCCTCCCTGTGTGTCAGGTGTCGTCCCCCTGTGTGTCAGGTGTCGTCCCCATGTGTGTCAGGTGTCGTCCCCCTGTGTGTCAGATGCCCTCCCTGTGTGTCAGGTGTCATCCCCCTGTGTGTCAGGTGTCGTCCCCATGTGTGTCAGGTGTCGTCCCCATGTGTGTCAGGTGTCGTCCCCCTGTGTCAGGTGTCGTCCCTGTGTGAGTCAGATGCCCTCCCTGTGTGTCAGATGTCCTCCCCTTGTGTGTCAGATGCCCTCCCTGTGTGTGTCAAATGCCCTCCCTGTGTGTCAGGTGTCGTCCCCTGTGTGTCAGGTGTCGTCCCCATGTGTGTCAGGTGTCGTCCCCATGTGTGTCAGTGTGTCATGTGTCAGTGTCGTCCCCCTGTGTCAGGTGTCGTCCCCCTGTGTGTCAGATGCCCTCCCTGTGTGTCAGATGCCCTCCTGTGTGTCAGATGCCCTCCCTGTGTGTCAGATGCCCTCCCTGTGTGTGTGTCAGATGCCCTTCCCGTGTGTGTGTCAGATGCCCTTCCTGTGTGTCAGATGCCCTCCCCTGTGTGCCAGGCGCCCTCCCTGTGTGCCAGGCGCCCTTTCTGTGTGTTAGATGCCCTCCCCGTGTGTCAGATGCCCATTTCTGTGTGTCAGATGCCCTCCCTGTGTGTCAGATGCCCTCCCCTGTGTGTCAGATGGCCTCCCCTGTGTGTCAGATGCCCTCCCCTGTGTGTCAGATGCCCTCCCCTGTGTGTCAGGCGCCCTTTCTGTGTGTTAGATGCCCTCCCCGTGTGTCAGATGCCCATTTCTGTGTGTCAGATGCCCTCCCTGTGTGTCAGATGCCCATTTCTGTGTGCCAGGTGCCCTTTCGTGTGTCAGGTGCCCTCCCCATGTGTCAGATGCCCATTTCGTGTGTCAGATGCCCTTTCGTGTGTCAGGTGCCCTCCCCGTGTGTCAGGTGCCCTCCCCCCCTCCTTGTGTGTCAGGTGCCCTCCTTGTGTGTCAGGTGCCCTCCTTGTGTGTCAGAGGTCCTCCCTGTGTCTCCATTGGGTCTTATTCTGTGTAAAAGATGCTAATCCTGTCTGTAATTTAACAGGAAACATATTCTAGGATTAGTCTTTCAGTTGAGATCTCAGTCTTCTCTCAAATGTGTGTGCTCCGTGACATGTTTAAAATGCAACTAGGCATTAGACTAGAATTCTAATCACAAAACTGAAAAACAGAAAGTATGGACATTTCATTTTTTATCAGTCGAAATAAAAACGTGATGACACAAATATACACGAGTCCAAACCTGCATCAGAATAAAAGCCTGCAGGTCCATGGAGAGTAGAACGAACAGCAGCTGAAAGCTCTGAGCCATCACTTTGGTCACGTATGCCAACAGTCTGGGTCCAACTGTCAAACACAAACAAAAAATGATATTAAACCAACACAATTTATTTAAAAGGGCCATACATATTTTTGATCTATGTTTTAATGTTGTTTCCTCATCACAAACATTCCTGGACTTGTGTTTTGTTTCATTCACACATATATAGAGTTCTTCTTTCAAATAGAAAACAGTAAGTTCCACCTTGTGATGTCGTGTGGTAATATGAAAAGTACTCCACTGTGTTTTGAAAATCCACACACCTTCACTAGTATCATTTGGGCGATTTAAGGTCTGGAAGAGGAGCTGTTAACCTGGAAACTACCACTACATGACATCACAAGGTGGAACAGAGGCAAGGCAAGTTTATTTGTACAACACAAAGTAAATCAAAGTGCTTTACTGAATAAGAAATACATTAAAATCACAATACAAACTAATCAAAACATAAATAATCATCATAAAAAGAGCATTTGGAGCTTTGGAGATGTAGACAGACAAACATGTGAATGAAACAAAACACAGCTCCAGCTCTGTTTTTGAGAAGAAACAACATTAGAACGTGGTTTAAATGTCACAGGACTCAGTTTTGTGTAATATAAGACCTTTAAAGTGCATATGACAGAACAGACTACTCATTTTTAGTAGTTAACATAAATAATAATAATAATAATAATTTAAGTGTCTTCTAAAAGTCTTGCCTGACCTTTTCTAGTTTTGTAATTCTGGTGAAGTTTTATAATTTTACTTGTGGTTGGACACGGGCAGCAGACATGACATACGTACAGGTAATGCCAGAACTTTTAGATAAAATTAAAAAAACTGTCACCTCTGATTCCTCTGACTTCAGAAATGGCCCTGATCCGAATCTTTTCCTCTCGGAGCACGTCAGGATGAGGTTTAGAATCTGAAAGAAAAAAAAACATGTTTTGTGGTTTAGAATTTATAATACTGTAGTAATATAATAAGAGCTGTCAGGAATGAACCAGGACTAAAACCAGGACTAAACCAGGACTGAACAAGAGCTAAAACAGGACTAAAACAGGACTGAACAAGGACTGAACCAGAACTGAACCAGAACTAAACCAGGGCTAAACCAAGACTAAACCAAGACTGAACCAAGACTGAACAAGAGCTAAACCAGGACTAAAACAGGATGGAACAAGGGCTAAATCAGGACTAAACCAGGACTGAACCAGTACTAAACCAGGACTGAACCAGAACTGACCCAGGACTGACCCAGGACTGACCCAGGACTGACCCAGGACTGAACCAGGACTGAGCCAGGACTGAGCCAGGACTGACCCAGAACTAAACCAGGGCTAAACCAAGACTAAACCAGGACTGAACCACGACTGAACAAGAGTTAAACCAGGACTAAAACAGGATGGAACAAGAGCTAAACCAGGACTAAAACAGGATGGAACAAGGGCTAAATCAGGACTAAACCAGGACTGAACCAGGACTGAGCCAGGACTGAACCAGAACTAAACCAGGGCTAAACCAAGACTAAACCAGGACTGAACCACGACTGAACAAGAGCTAAACCAGGACTAAAACAGGATGGAACAAGGGCTAAATCAGGACTAAACCAGGACTGAACCAGTACTGAACCAGGACTGAACCAGGACTGAACCAGGACTGAACCAGGTCTATCAGTTGATTTTCTTTCACATCATCCAAGAAGTGTAGTTAAAAAACAGCCTAGTTTAGGGTGCCAACGTTACTTCTCTGCTTGTCCACCGCCTGTTTGTCTCCATGGAGATGTTCTGTTTTACTTAGAATATTCCAACGTATAGCATTAAATGTTTATCTTGCATTTGCTTTGAAAACATGCATTCTTCCTATGAGCGGGTCCGCCTCTCCACTGATCAGACCTGTAACTTGGTCTGCTGGTCCAGTCTCCTTGGTGATAGATAAGTTTAATAATATATTGTATTAAGAAAGTTACATACTGCATCTTTAAATAAACCTGCAAATCTGATATAGCAGCCAATGGAAACGATCTCCTGTCACGCACATCCTTTTATTTCATTTCCAAGATGTTTTATACACATTTTCTGCACTGACTGAATGAATGAACCTCCTGAGAGAGTTTAAAAAGTAAAAAATTACCCAAAAATCCAACAAAAGTCACGTTAAAGCCGTGTTTGCTGAGGGACAGAGCGTGGTACTGCATCCGAGGACTGCGCCCGATGTCCCCCAGCACCAGCACGCAGGCTCGGCGCGGGGTGCTGCTGTCTCCACGCCGCAGACAGAGCACCGAGACCCCGCACACAGCCACCGCACAGCCCGCAGTCCAGGTCAGAGCCGCTGGAAGTGGAGCAAACGAGAGGAAAACGGCGAAAACGAGCACGAAAGCGGAGCAAACCGCGGCGGAGGAGCAGCGCGGCGCCATGTTTGTTTGGGTTTGTAATGACGTGGCTCAGGGAGGGGGCGGGGCTTAGCTTTAAAGACACACTGCGGGTTGTTTTGATTGACATGCTCTCCAAATTATAATGGATAATTTATATTAAACCTGGATTGTCCTCCTGATATGAGGAAAAATTTCTTCTCCAGGTTGGTTTCGTCTGTCACCTGCCTGTTTATTGCTTTGCCTGGAATCCACAATATGGAATTAAACTTATCTATCTTGCATTTATTCAAGTGTCACTATTACTGCTAAAAAAAAATCCATAAAAACAGCATTCTTGCAGTGAGCTGGGTCACCTCTCCACAGATCTGATCTGTAACCTGGCCTGGTGAAGTCTCACCCACTGGGCAACAGATCCATGGTGTCACGCACCTGAAAAGTGACATAGTGCAAAGTACAGGTTTTGTAAAAGCCCTTGGGCTGAACTTAACTCTGCTGCATTCTTCATTCTACACAGCAAAACGTGTTCAAATTGACTCTCACAAAATCAGTTTGAACATTTTCTCAGGGTTTATATGAGTTCAGTCTGTTCTAGAGTTAATTTAACATTTTTGGAAATGTTAATAAACTGGACACTGGTCCAAGGTTCCTGTTTAACCGCAAAATCATCAAATAATGTTTTGAGAGTAAACAGATCACACTTTGTAGAGTTATCCTGATTTAGCTAAACAACACCCAGAGGTGTTTTATTTTTACACTTTTTTAAATTCATTTAAGATGAAATTATGAACAAAACTGGTTCAAACTGGTCTTTTCCCACAGGAGTTTGAAATGGTGAGTGGGAGGAGCCAAATTAACACTAAGGGAAGTTGAATTAATCATAGCAACCATATTAACTCTGGCAAATAACCCCAACTCCAACCCACATTTAACTTTCAAATAGTTAAATACAAGACTTTTGTGTTAAAACAACTCAACAATATTCATTATATTATATTACTATTGTGGATATATTATGTTTATTTTGTTCTGTTATTCTGTTATTCTTTTATTTTTATATTTTTTTCCCTTGTGTGTCAATGAAGTTTGTCCAAGTTTAAGTCTAAATACTAGAAACATCTGTACGGCCACAGTATTAGAACAAATCAAGTTTTGAAAAGATGAAATCAAGTGTGTGTTAAACGTCTTTGAATGGATGATTATAAAGTGTGTTCTGTTGTAGTGTGTAAGACACAGGAGAGCAGGAGGAGTGTGTTTTCTTGGGCCTATGCACATTCCTCTACAAACATGTTTACATCTGGAGGCCACGCCCCTGCACCACCACGTGCCCCCCTCCCTCGCGCTCCTCACTGCGGCGCTCTGCAGATCTGCACACGCGCACGCACACACACACACACACACACACACACACACACACACACACACACACACACACACACACACACACACACACACACACACACACACACACACACACACACACACACACACACACACACACACACACACAGACCGTCCCGGAGCCCAGAGGAGCGCTGTCCCGGAGCAGAGGTGTCCGCTGTCCCGGAGCAGAGGTGTCCGCTGTCCCGGAGCAGAGGTGTCCGCTGTCCCGGAGCAGAGCGGCAGGATGCGGGCCTCGTGGCTGCGTCTGGCCGCTGTCCTCGCGCTGTTTACGGTGTCGCGCTCGGAGGTGATCGATGACGTCCTGAACAGCCTGGCGCGTGGAGCGGACTTCTTGGAGCGGCAGCACGACCACATCAACCTGGACGGGGTGGTGGGGTACCTCATGCTGCAGGGTGAGTACCTGCTCCACCGGACCGGACCGTGTGTTGGGTCGATACCCGCACGTCTCCGGGCTCGAGCTCTGTCTGTAAACTTGTGAAATGCGGCCTAATGTTTCACTTATGTAAAGATTAGGGCGCCGTCAGTTTGACGTGTTATGGGACTCTGCAGCACGTGTTCATCCTGATGTTTTAAACTCATATATCACTTCAAATGTGATCCTGTCAGCTTTACTCTGTGTTACAATGTCGTTACCTTCTCAAAAACATACCCTTTACACTACATTTCCAAAGCTCCAAACGCTCTGTTCCACCTTGTGATGTCATGAAGTGCTAGTTTTCACGTGAACAGCTCCTTTTACCTTTAGTTCAGGAGAGACTTACAATTCCATGATCTACATTTCAAGTGAAGGTGTGTGGAGTTTAAAAACACAGTGGAGTGTGTCTGAGTGTTTTCTGTTTGAGAGAAGAACTCAGTCTAAATGTGCAGAGTTTGTGTGTGAAACAAACAGACATTATGGTGCATTTATCTTCCTTTTATTTAAGATGAATTAACTCAGCTAAGTGTGCTTTGTTTAGCATCTGGATCTGACTAGAAGAACAAATAAAACTGTTTAAAGGCTCATTACAACTGTTCAATCATGTGATAATAAAAGTCACTGTTAAAGGTGCACTGTGTAACTTTTCTGATGGAGGGTCTGCCACCTGCTTGTTTCTATGGCGATATCATTGCTCTGCTTGAAATGTTCCACAGTGGGACATTAAACAGCTCGACCTTATTCAATTACAGGTGGTTTTATAACTCAAAAATACCTAGAAAAACAGACATTGTGACTGTGAGCGGGGTCGCCTCTCCACAGATCTGACCTGTAACTTGGTCTGGTTTGGTCTCCATGAAGATAGAAAGGTTTAATGTCATACTGTGAAACATTCCAGACAAAGCAATAACATCTCCATGGAGAAAAGCATTTGACGAACCCTCCACCAGAAAAGTGACACAATGCAGCTTTAAACCACGACCTAAAAAGTCATTCTGAAACAAAACACTTTCAGAAAACAGGGGACATGTCCAGTTTGTTGCGTAAAACTGTTTGCCTTCCTCCAAACAAGGAACAAGATCACTCTTTGTTCAGAAATAATTTTGTTAAATACACAAAAATACTCTTGGAAATATCGATACAGCAGCTCATGATATCAGTCCTGTATCGTCCAATTAAATTATACGATATATCGATATTTAGATTTAGAGTAAATCTCAGAAAAGTCACTCAGATCTGGAAACATTTTATTTGGTTCCACAGCTGCACAAACAAACCCAGAGCCCAGAGCGTCAGGAGCCAGACTCTCTTATATAACAACATCTGAGCTGGGAAAGTATCCCACTTACTTACTGTGTACACTTTTCACTCTTTCTCTTCTTCCATTTACCTTTTTTGCCTCCCTCTCTCCCTCTCTCCCCCTCTCCTCTCCTCCTCTCGTCTGTCCCGTAGCTGAGCTGAAGCAGGCCGTGCAGTCGTGGCCTCACTCAGACCCTGTGAGCTGGGCCCAGAGGAGCAGAGCCGTGGTTCTGATCCGGAGACTGGAGCAGAGTTTGGAGCGAGCCGTGAACGCCGTGAAACAGAATGACCCCAACTACTACAGAGGCAAGACTACAACTCCCAGCATGCACCTGCTGCCCATCACACACAGGAGCTTTTTTCATTTATTATATATCTAAAAAAAAAAACAACAACAACAAAAAACATCACAGATTTCTTTAGAATCAGTGAGTGAAGCTCTAAACTCTGTTCATCTGAGGGGAGAGAAGTGTGATTTTGTTCAAAATGATGGTGACAAATGAACTTCTTCATTTCACATGCATCACTTTAATAAACAAATCTGATTGGATGAGCAGGTTTGGTTCTGGCATAAGACCATGTGACCATACCAGCTTGTCAAAGCCTGATCCCAGATCTCAGAAGCTCAGCAGGCTGGGCCTGGGTAGTACTTGGATGGGAGACCGCTAGGAATTCCAGGTGTCACAGTGGGGCACCAGTGCCAAAAAACTGTCATTGTGTCCTTAGGCAAGACACTTCACCCACATTGCCTAGTATGAAAGTGGTGTGTGTGTGAGTGATGGTGGTGGTCGGAGGGGCCGATGGAGCAGATTGGCAGCCTTGCTTCTGTCAGTCTGCTCCAGGGCAGCTGTGGCTACAGTAGTAGTTTACCACCACTGAGTGTGGAGTGACTGAATAATGAACTGTAAAGCGCTATATAAATGCAATCAATCAAAATCAAATCAAGACGTGACGGAGAGTTTGGAGGCACCAGTCTGGATTTGCCAAATAAATGCAAATAATTGTATAAATCAAAGCCCTGTACCCAATTTTTTTGCAGATATGAGCTCTTGATGTCAAAATAAGTCTGCTGTGTACTGCCTGAATTGAATTATAAAGTGTTTTATTGTCCAAGAAACAGGAAGAGCCCGTTAGCATGCCTGTTGTTGTTAGTAAAACTCCACTCTGGTCTCTGGAAAGTTGTAAAAAGTGCTTATAAACTCATTGCAAAAGTTAAATGAGGACAAACTTGCTAAAGCTTTAAATGAACAAGTTTTATTTTTCACCATTTTAAAACAGTAAGAATCAGGTGCAGCACATTTAATATTAGCCTGGAAAAGTGTACTATGTCCTCTTTCAGCTTGTTGTTCACAGTAGTCCCCCCCCTCCCTCTCTCTCTCTCTGGAGCAGAGTTTGAGCCTCTGCTTACCTGGTCCTTCTGGCTGGTCCCTGTGTCCTGGAGCTCCACTGACCCCAGCCTCGTCTACTCGTCCACGCTGAGCTCCGAGTGCTACGACGAGCAGCTGAGCGACAAGTGCCTAACCCTGCTGCTCGGGACATGGTGAGTGGACTGTTTATGCTCATGTCTTTGTTGTTTATGGTTAATATCTCTCTTTAATTATTGGACCTATCCACAAAGTTCATCATCTTCTCTGTCAGTATAAATAAACAAACATTTTATTATTTTTTCACAACAGCTTCAGCCCCAACACTGTGATTGTGTTCAGTTGAAAGGAACATTAATATGGACAGTGTCTAGAGCCAGTCACAAACAAATAATGTAAAATCCAACCTTAAAGCAGCACTGTGTAGATTCCTGGTGAAGGCACACGAGCCGCACGTTTCCATGGAGACAGAATAAATCCGTTTTATGCGAGTCTGTGGAATATTTGAGGCGGGTTAGAACATCCAGGCTGTAGACCCCAGAGGTTGTGACTTAGACTCGAGTCAGGCTTGAATCACTATTTTTAGGACTCGAGACTTGACTTGATAAAACAGACTAAGACTTGGACTTGAAGCTCAGTGACTTGGGACTTGACTTGGACTTTAAGTGTGTGACTTGATAAGACTTGATTCTTCTCTGGAAAAATATGTTTTTCGAAAATATTTGAAAAATTTTGTCTTTACAGTTGATAAATGCAGAGCTGAAGTTTACTGGAACAAACTGGAACATGTCCCTCTGACTTCGGTTTGGTACTTTGGATGAAACTGAAGTACTGTGATACTCAAATGTCCTACAGTAATACACAGTACAATAGAGTAACACAAAGGGAACTACATACAGAACATAATGTGTCCATTTCAGTGCAGACGACATGAGAAAATAACTGCATTTTAAATCAGATCAGAATGATTCACACTCAGATCTTGTCAAGACTTTTAAAAGGAAAAAAACATATAAATACTCACATATAAATATACCATGATGTTTTAAGTACAATTTAGTTTAAAAATCATATTAACTGCAAAAATCTAAACTATATTTGATACTTTGGTTTAAAGACTTGAACTGACTTGAAGTTCAAAGCAGATGACTTGGACTTGACTTGGACTTGAGGTCAAAGACTTGAGACTTACTTCAGACTTGCAAAACAACGACTTGGTCCCACCTCTGGTAAACCCTAAAGGTCCTAAAAGTCAGGTCTGCGGAGAGGCAAGCCTATTTTTTTCAGTGTTCTTAATGCAATAAAAACATCTGTAATGAAACACAGCAACCATGCTTCTGTAATTAAATAATGCCATGAGTTTTTTAAGAGTTTGTCAGTTCATTTGTGCGGACAGAGAAGACTTTGAACTTGGTGCCAGTTTGCAGCGTCCTAAGTGAGGACAGTTGTTTTTTCTCTCTATGATTTGATTTAAACAGAACGTCGGCTGGAGTGGACACAATAATTACAGAAATCTGAACCATAAACCAGGTCAACAAATCTATAATCTGATAGTTACACAGAACCTCCACCTGACAGTTCTGATCTGTTCTCCATTAATCCAAGATGCTTTTTACAGAATTCCACCTGTTGTCCACAGGAAGCAGAATGGGACCCCGTGTATCGTGACCAAACAGTGCCGAGACATGATGACGCGCTTCGGCTGCCCTTTTTACTCGCTCTCCCACCAGCTGCTCTACTTCATGATCGGACACATGGTCAGTACCCACTGCCTGGTTTCCTCAGTTACAAGCACAGACTGTGCAAACAAGTGGACTGAGTGAGCGGGACGTCTCCCAGAGTGTTTGGCTCCAGCTCACAGTGCTCACGGTTACAGGAGCCAGTTTGAAGTCATGCTCTATATCATTATGGTAATAGGCTTTTTTAAATGGACAAAATAGTGAGAAAAACTCAACAGGATCATGTGTCGCAGGTTAATACGAACATTTTAAGACCAAAATGCCGAGGCTGACAGCAGCAGGTTCACAGAGGGGTTTAGTTTCTTGGTTGTGGAACATGGTGACACTTTAATCTCTTATGTTTTTATGATCCAGCAGCATTTTTCTGTTCTAGGGCAGTAGAGCTGCTAGAACATTTGTCCACTGATCCCAGGGCTAGTGGTTCAGATCCCATTCTCAACATAAAACATGATTGGCTGAGTGTTCAAATCCACTGGTCCACAGGTGCTGCCGTTGTGTCCTTGGACAAGACACTTAAACCACCTTAAACACCGTGTGTGTGTGAGTGGGTGTGTGATGTAAATTTAAACAGACTAAAGTGCCTTGTATAAAAATGAGTCCATTTACCAAAGAACACACAGAGCCAAACACCAGATTGAGTGTGAACGGGGCAGACCTGGTGTTCTGGAACAGGTGCATGTGTGAACAGGGTCCCTGCTGAGTGTTCTGGGACAGGTGCATGTGTGAACAGGGTCCCTGCTGAGTGTTGCTGTGGAACAGTGGGACAGGTGCATGTGTGAACAGGGTCCCTGCTGAGTGTTCGGGGACAGGTGCATGTGTGAACAGGGTCCCTGCTGAGTGTTCGGGGACAGGTGCATGTGTGAACAGGGTCCCTGCTGAGTGTTCTGGGACAGGTGCATGTGTGAACAGGGTCCCTGCTGAGTGTTCGGGGACAGGTGCATGTGTGAACAGGGTCCCTGCTGAGTGTTCGGGGACAGGTGCATGTGTGAACAGGGTCCCTGCTGAGTGTTCTGGTCCCGTCGTTTTCCTGGGCCCTGTGTGTGACTGTGTGTTTTGTCTCCTCCCTCAGAAAGGCTGCAGTGACCTCCTGAAAGGCGACACTCGTCCTTCTCGTCTGAACATGACGGAGCAGAGCTACCAGAGGATCTTCTGCTCCAACATGATGAAGACCAACCAGGACCTGCTCACAGACGGACTGGGGGCCCTCAACGCAGACATCTTCCTCGAGAACAGTGCGCTTCATATTCTCTCATGTGCTTGTTTGTGTTTGGGGCGAGGAGTCACAGGGTTCCTCACAACATGAAGCAGCTGGAGGGTTTCATATTCTAGAGTGTGATGACGTCAGACTCTCCGATGGAGCAAGACAGAGTTTTCTCTACTGATCACGCTGTACTTTACCATGAAATCTCCAAAAGATGAATGCACATATGTGTTCAACATCTGTGCATTCATTAATCATTTCTGTTAGTGACTAGAGCCAAGAACTTGCTGTATTATAACACAAATCTACAACTGAGCCACATTCATCTGAGCTGCCCCCATCTGTGTTAAATATTATTGGCCTATAGAATGTTGTGATGTCGTCTGAAACCCAGCAGCACACACGAGGTCTCACATACAGGAAGATTTAACATTTTTAAACTCCAAAAACACCTGAGATATGAGATATTGATTTTCTTCTTGTTTCAGTCCTGGTTCTGTTCTGTTCTTTGTTTCAGTCCTGGTTGTGTTCTTTGTTTCAGTCCTGGTTTGTGGATTGGCCGGTTTCTCAGATTTCTACAAAGTTGATTGGCTGCAGCACATCCTTCGCCTTCAGGATGTAGAAATGGGCTGCTTCGGTCGAGACAGTACGACACTCACAACTGTTATTATTATTATGAACCCTGATTTAAACTTGACTTACATTTTAGCATGTTGTTTTTGTTGATTTGTTATTTTCAGGGAACGTGGTGTCTGAGCGCATCGGGGAGGAGCTTCTGGAGCAGCTTCAGCCTCATCACAGAGTCAAGAGGAGAGAGAAAGTTCTGCTCGGTGAGAAACATGCTTTAAAACACCTGAACGCAGTCTCCTCTGTAGTCCTCCAGACCCCGCCCCTCCTCCCTCACTCTCCCCTTTAAACCAGGTCTAAACCAGGACAATACCAGGACTAAACCAGGACTAAACCAGGTCTAAACCATGACTAAACCAGGACTAAACCAGGTCTAAACCAGGACTAAACCAGGACTAAACCAGGTAAACAGGACTAAACCAGGTCTAAACCAGGACTAAAACCAGGACTAAACCAGGACTAAGCAAGGTCTAAAACTAAACCAGGACTAAACCAGGTCTAAACCAGGTCTAAACCAGGTCTAAACCAGGTCTAAACAGAACTCTAACCTCCTTGTGTGTCCTGTGCAGACGGCTGTTCGAGTCACATGACCGGGGTGGCTGTGGGGGCTCTGGGAGGATACCTGAACTATTACCTCACCGAGCAAGACATCACCAAGAGACCGCTGTCCTGAACCAGGCCCGGGACTGGGACTAAAACGGGACTAAAACAGGTCCAAATCAGGACTAATGAAGACTAAACCAGACTAAAGCAAGCCTGAAAATGGGATTAACCAGGACTACACCAGGTCCAAACCAGGACTAAACCAGGTCTAAATGTAAATCTGTAATATTGCAGACTAAACCAGCCCTGAAACCAGGATTAAAACAGGGCTAAACTAGGATTTAACTTGGAGTAAACAAGGCCATAAACTAGGACTAAACCAACTCTGCACCGGAACTAAACCAGGTCCAAACCAGGATTAAACCAGGTCTAAACCCAAACTACAGAAGAATCAATTGGGCGCGTCACCAGGATTAAACCAGGTCTAAAGCGAGGACTAGAGCTATAAGGTTATAGCCCAGGACTAGTTTAAGGAGCCTTGAATTCAGAATGTTTTTATTTGAGTAGTTTTGCCCTCTGCTCCTCTGAGTCAAATATCACAATAAATTCAAAACACTTTTATTTTACATGAAAATTTTATCACAAAAATTATGCAAATGTCATAAAGGTGGATTTGTGGATCCTTATATGAACATACACAGCTGCCTTTTTCTGAAACCGCACTCCTCCTTTAGAAATATATTCATAAAAATCGTCCAAGCTCTACAAATTCAAACTTGTACAGGAGAATTCTATAAGTTTGATACACTGCCCTCAGAAAAGATGTAGGTTTATATGACAATTTTCCTTTAGTCCACCAAAGAAAGGATTTGTCTTTCCGAGTTCCACCTGATCTAAACCAGGTCTAGAACTGGACTAAACCAGATCTGCTCTAGGGCTGAACCAGGTCTAAAAGTGGGCCACATGTTTTCCACTGTAGTTCTAAAATATTCTGAAATATGGTTTTAATTTTGTATTTCCATAGAATTGTATAGGTAACTGGCCACCTCCAGAAGTGACGTACTGTACCTTTAAAAGTCCCATTTTCTTCTTTGCTGATATGATATTAGTTTGATTTAGTTGAGGGCAAAGTATCAATCTCCGGGTCTTTTGAGCATCTTCATTCATGTTTCAGTCGGTTTTCCGCTTCAGTCATTGGTCCATTCACTTGTTCCACCCGGTGACATCGTAAAAAAGCGCCTTTAAAACTCGCGCCTCGTACGTGACGGTGTTTTTACCGATGTGAACGTGCGTCTCGTCCAGCGGGGCCTCGATGATCGCCGGCACCTCTTTACCGTAAACTACAAAAAAAAAAAAACATGAACTGAAATCAGGCACAGACTCCATCCTCAAAACACATTCTGATACAGTGATCATAAAAAATACTTTATTTAGACAATAGCAGCAGCACAAAACCACGTTACAAGTCAGATCTGTGAACAGGTGAGTTCAGAATCCGTATTATTCAAGGTATTTTTGAGCAATAATAATGAAATAAATGCTAGACACTATTCACCTGGAGTTACATAGTGCGCCTTTAGATGTCCCCCAGCTGTGTCTAGGCTGTGTACACTGTTGCTATGGAAACACACAGGCTGTAGTTTTGGTGAGAGTAGTGAGAGGTAGTACTCGAGTTGATTATTAGAGTAAATGTTGTAATATAGGTCATGCTCATAAAAGTATTATTCAGTAATTGTGAAACAGACGCTTGTTTTTAGAATCCACGTATTAGAGATGTCATTATAAATGTATTTAAGGTGAAGGGGATGGTGAGACGGTTGTATTGTTGACAGTTCACTGGTGGAATGTATTTATTTAATGCACTGATCTCATTAATAAAACAGATTTGAAATAAAACTGAGTTTTGTGCTATTCACCTCTAAATATGAACCAGGACTGAACCAGGACTAAACCAGGACTAAACCAGAACTGAACTGAGACTAGACCAGGACTAGACCAGGTCTAAACCAGGACTGAACCAGGAATAAACCGAGACTAAATCTGGACTGAACCAGGACTGACCAAGACTAGACCAGAACTAAACCAAGACTGAACCAGGACTAACGCAGGACTGAACCAAGACTAAACCAGGACTGAACCAGGATCGAACCAGGACTGAATCAGAACTGAACCAGGACTGAACCAAGACTAAACCAGGACTAAACCAGGACTGACCCAGGACTAAACCAAGACTAAACAAGAACAGAACCAGGACTGAACCAGAACTAAACCAAGATTGAACCAGGACTAAACCAGGACTGAACCAGGACTAAACCAGGACTAAATTCACCCATGGCTAAACCAACTTGACCAGGACTGAATGAGGTCTAAACCATGACAAGACCAAAACTAAACAAGGGCTAAACCAGAACTGAACCCAGACTAAACCAAGACAAGACCAGCACTAGATCAGGACTGAATTAGGACTAAACCAGGGCTTAAAAAAGCACTGAACCAAGACTGAACCAGGTCTAAACTAGGTCTAAACCAGGTCTAAACCAGAACTGAATCAAGACAAGAAAAGGCCTAAACTAGAACTGAATTAAAACTAAACCAGGATTAAACAAGAACTAAACCAGGACTAAACCAGGTCTAAAGCAGATGTTAGTCTTACCTTCACAGTGCTGGAGGAACTGCACACACTCCTGGACCACGGCGTCTCGGAGCATGACCATGTGTTTGGACATGTTCTCCAGCAGAGACAGGAAACAGCGCTTCGCATAGAACCACGTGTCTGTGCCCAGCTACACAACACACACACACAACACACACACACACACACTGTCAGATGGACACAACAGGACAGTTTAGACGCTACAACTTCCTAACCTCACACTTTAAGAAGAAGAAACAGGTGTGTATAACTCTACGGGAGATTCACTGTTTCTCCTTCTCATTATTTGTTTGGGATGTTTTTGGCTCCAGAAACTTGTCATGTTAATCTTATGTAGGGTGATCAGATTTTCAAAATAAAAAAAACGGGACATCTCTGGTTTGTGGTGGTTGATAATAATAAAACTGTGAAATGAGTGTGTAATTAAGGAAAACTGTTCTGCACTTTGCATTAATGTGAGTCAGTAAATCTGTGGATCATTCATTCATTTGTTTTTCAATATAAAACAAAAAATAAAACAAAAAAAACCAACTATTTCCTTCATTATTTCTCTCCAAAACCAAAATGAAAAAACGGATAACGATGTGTTTTTTCAGTTTTTGATTTTGTGTTTCAATGAAGAATGGAAAAAACAGACAACAGCCATTTCCCGTTTTCCGTAAAACGACTGAATCAGGACTAAACCAGAACTAAACCAGGACTGAACCAGGACTAAACCAGGACTAAACCAGGATAAACCAGAACTAAACCAGGACTGACTAAACCAGGACTCAGGACTAAACCAGGACTGAACCAGAACTAACCAGGACTGAACCAGGACTGAACCAGAACTGAACCAGGACTGAACCAGACTGAACCTAAACCAGGACTGAACAGGACTGAACCAGGACTGAAAAACCAGGACTGAACCAGGACTAAACCAGGAACCAGGACTGAACTACCAGGACTAAACAGGTTTAAACCAACCAGGACTGAACCAGGACTGAACCAGGAACAGAACTAAACCAGGACTGAACCAGGAGGATTAAACCAGGACTGAACCAGAACTAAACCAGAACTGAACTAGGATTAAACCGACTGAACAGGATTAAACCAGGACTGAACAGAACTAAACCTGAACCAGGACTGAACCAGGACTGAACCACTGGACTGAACCAGAACTAATAAACCAGGACTGAAAACCAGGACTGACTAACCAGGACTGAACCAGGACTGAACCAGACTAACCAACTGAACTAGGATGAACCAGGAAACCAAACCAGGACTGAACCGACTAAACCAGGACTGAACCAGACTGATTAAACCAGGACTGAACAGGATTACCAACTGAACCAGGACTGAACCAGGACTGAACCAGGACTGAACCAGAACTGAACCAGGGACTAAACCAGGACTGAACCAGACTGAACCAGAACTAAACCAGGACTAAACCAGAAACCAGGACTGAACCAGGACTGAACCAGGACTAAACCAGGACTGAACAGGACTGAACCAGACTAAACCAGGACTAAACCAGGACAGGACTGAACCAGGACTAAACCAACTGAACAGGATGAACCAGAACTAAACCACTGAACCAGGACTAAACCAGGACTGACTAAACCAGGACTGAACAGGACTGAACCAGGACTAAACCAGGACTGAACCAGACTAAACCAGGACTAAACCAGGACTAAACCAGGACTGAACCAGGACTGAACCAGAACTAAACCAGGACTGAACCAGGACTGAACCAGACTAAACTAGGACTAAACCAGGACTGAACTAGGACTGAACCAGGACTAAACCAGACTAAACCAGGACTGAACCAGAACTAAACCAGGACTGAACCAGGACTAAACCAGGACTAAACCAGGACTGAACCAGGATTAAACCAGGACTGAACCAGGACTGAACCAGGACTGAACCAGAACTGAACCAGGACTGAACCAGACTGAACTAGGATTAAAACCAGGACTGAACCAGAACTGAAACCAGAACTAAACCAGGACTAAACCAGGTCTAAACCAGGACTGAACCAGGACTGAACCAGGACTAAACCAGGACTGAACTAGGACTGAACCAGACTAAACCAGGACTGAACCAGGACTAAACCAGGACTGAACCAGGACTAAACCAGGACTGAACCAGGACTGAACCAACCAGGACTAAACCAGGACTAAACCAGGACTGAACCAGGAACCAGGACTAAACCAGGACTGAACTAGGATTGAACCAGAACTAAACCAGGACTGAACCAGGACTAAACCAGGACTGAACCAGGACTAAACCAGGACTAAACCAGGACTGAACCAGGACTGAACCAGGATTAAACCAGGACTGAACCAGGATTAAACCAGGACTGAACCAGGACTGAACCAGGATTAAACCAGGACTGAACCAGGACTGAACCAGGATTAAACCAGGACTGAAACAGGATTAAACCAGGACTGAACAGGACTGAACCAGGACTGAACCAGGACTAAAACCAGGGGTGAGTGTCGGGACAGGCCCGGAGGTGCGCCGGCGTAGACTGTCAGTTGATCAGGACTGAGACCAGGACCAGACTGGGACCAGACCGGGACTAAACTGGGAGTGAGACCAGGACTGAGACCAGGACCAGACCGGCACTGAGACTGCAACTGAGACCGGGACCAGACCAGAACTGAGACCAGGACTGAGACCAGACCAGGATCAGACTGGGACCAGACCGGGACTGAGACTGGGCCCAGACCAGAACTGAGACCTGGACCAGTCCTGGTCTAGTCCTAGAATCATTATCCGTTTTTTTCATTTTGGTTTTGGAGACAAATAATGAAGAAAATAGTTGTTTTTTAAAAATTTTCTTATTGTTGGTTTTATTTTGAAAAACGAATGAACGAATGATACACGGATTTCAGTATAGTCACTTTTTTGTTGTGTTTTTGTCATTTTTAAGCAGCTTTTCTGTATTTTCCCTAAACAAATGTCAGTTTATGTCTCTCTTTACTGTTGTCAGGGATCAGATTGGTCAAAAATAGAGACACCTGGGACATTTCTTGTATAAAACTGAGACAAATCACTGGTTTTGGACATATCTGCTGGGACAGAGGACACAGCACTCAACACTGGGACTGTCCCGGGTAAACAGGGACATTTGGTCAACCTATGAGAGTGACTAAGTGAAAAACTGTTGGTTAATGCGAGCTCGCTTGTGACTTTAATTTTATGTGAGAGACTTGATTTTTCCCAGCACAAATCAGCTCACCTGTTCCAGCTAAATCAAACTGTGTTAAAACAAAACTCAGATTAAAGTCTGACTTGTTTAACAGAGCTTCAGACAGAGCAGCAGGACTAACCCAGGACTAACCCAGGACTAACCCAGGACTAACCCAGGACTAACCCAGGACTAACCAGGACTAACCCAGGACTAACCAGGACTAACCAGGACCAGGACCCAGGACTAAACCCAGGACTAACCCAGGACTAACCCCCAGGACTAACCCAGGACTGACTACTAACCAGGACTAACCCAGGACTAACCCAGGACTAAACCAGGACTAAACCAGGACTAACCCAGGACTAACCCAGGGACCCAGGACTAACCCAGGACTAACCCAGGACTAAACCAGGACTAACCCAGGACTAACCCCAGGACTAACCCAGGACTAACCCAGGACTAACCCAGGACTAACCCAGGACTAACCAGGACTGACCAGGACTGACCAGGACCCAGGACTACCCAGGACTAAACAGACTAACCCAGGACTAACCCAGGACTGACCCAGGACTGACCCAGGACTAACCAAGGACTAAACCAGGACTAACCGAGGACTGACCAAGGACTAACCCAGGACTTAACCCAGGACTAACCCAGGACTAACCAGGACTGAACCCAGGACTGACCCAGGACTAACCCAGGACTGACCCAGGACTGACCAGGACTAACCAGGACTAAACCAGGACTAACCGAGGACTGACCAGGACTAACCGAGGACTGACCCAGGACTAACCGAGGACTGACCCAGGACTAACCAAGGACTAAACCAGGACTAACCGAGGACTGACCAGGACTAACCCAGGACTGACCCAGGACTAACCCAGACTGACCCAGGACTAACCAAGGACTAAACCAGGACTAGGACTGACCCAGGACTAACCCAGGACTGACCCAGGACTAACCCAGGACTAACCCGGACTGACCCAGACTGACCCAGGACTGACCCAGGACTAAACCAGGACCCAGGACTAAAACCAGGACTAACCGAGGACTGACCCAGGACTGACCCAGGACTAACCCAGGACTGACCCAGGACTGACCCAGGACTAACCAAGGACTAAACCAGGACTAACCAGGACTGACCAGGACTAACCCAGGACTGACCAGGACTAACCAGGACTAACCCAGGACTAACCCAGGACTGACCCAGGAACCAGGACTAAACCAGGACTAACCGAGGACTGACCCAGGACTGACCAGGACTGACCAGGACTGACCAGACTGACCAGGACTAACCGAGGACTAACCAAGGACTGACCAGGACTAACCCAGACTGACCAAGGACTGACCGAGGACTGACCCAGGACTAAACCAGGACTAACTGGGACTGACCCAAGGACTGACCCAGGACTAACCCCAGGACTAACCCAGGACTAAACCCAGGACTGACCCAGGACTGACCCAGACTGACCCAGGACTAACCCAGGACCCCGGACTAACCCAGGACTAACCCAGGACTGACCCAGGACTGAATGAGGTCTAAATGATGACAAGACGAAAAACTAAACCAGGACTAACCCAGGACTGAACCAGGACTGAACCAGGACTGAACTGAACCAGGACTGAACCAGGACTAACCAGGACTAACCCAGGACTAACCCAGGACTAACTTGGGACTGAACCAGGACTGAACCAAGACTGAACTCAACCAAGGCTAAACCAGAACTAGACCAGGAATTGACCAGGACTGAATGAGGTCTAAACCATCACAAAACCAGAACTGAACCAGGACTGAACCAGGACTAAGCCAGGACTGAACCAGGACTAACTCAGGACTACCTCAGGACTAATCCCATGACTGAACTCAACCAGGGCTAAACTAGGAGTAGACCGGAACTCGACCAGGACTAAACGAGGTCTAAATGACGACAAGATGAAAACTAGACCAGGACTAAACCAGAACTGAACCCAGGACTAACCAAGGACTAAACCAGAGCAGTGCGTACAGTTAACTTCACACCTCCAGAGAACATTGATGGCGTCGGCTGCAGAGTCTGAGCTACACTAAAAATACAGTCACGTTGTTTAACCGGAGTAGAGTTTGTCTCCGTTTCCTCGTCTGTGCGGTGTGATTCTCGGTGAAAGTCTTTGTGTGTTTATTGATATTGTGGTCTGTTTTTGCAGCTGGAGCCCAGAGAGAGGCCAGACACCTGCAACCACTGTTTAGGTTCACTGCTCTGAAAATACACAGCACATTTATTTCCACAGGACCAATGGAAATCAATAGAATCCCCGAGCTTCATTAGTGTAACAGACGACTGCACGAGGCTCAACCGAGCATCTGTCTCACACTATTGACTTGTCTGTGTATCAACACTTTATCTATAACACGTTTATTATGGCTGGGGGGTGAATCAATGTTATCACCATACTAACGGTTCAATACTCATGAATACTCGATACTCAATACTGATTCTGATACTAGAATCATAATAAAAACACTTAGAGAGTAGAATGTGATTTTCAACATTAAATGGTTAGTACTTTCCTTTACATTCCCATGAGGTATTACATGTGTGTAATCCCTCTGTTTTCCAGGGAGGTTCCACAGTGGTCCAGGGTCTAAACCAGGTCTAAACCAGGTCTAAACCAGGTCTAAACCAGGTCTAAACCAGGTCCATGTGTGTATACTAGTCTATGTGCTCTTATATTTGTTCTGATACAGCTCAAGATCGTTCTAAAACTATTCAGGAAAGGTTCATTTGTGTCCTGTCACTGGCACTTTTTAGTATTTTTAGTAAATCAGGACTAACCCAGGACTGAACCAGGACTGACCCAGGACTGACCCAGGACTGACCCAGGACTGACCCAGGACTGAACCAGGACTGAAACCAGGACTGAACCAGGACTAACCAGAACTGAAAACGACCAGGACTACCCAACTGAACCAGGACTGAACCAGGACTGAACCAGGACTGAACCAGGACTGAACCAGGACTGAACTAGGACTGAACCAGGATTAAACCAGGTCTAAACCAGGTCTAAACCAGGACTGAACCAGGACTGAAACTAGGATTAAACCAGGACTGAACTAGGACTGAACCAGAACTAAACCAGGACTGAACCAGGACTGAACTAGGACCAACCCAGGACTAAACCAGGACTAAAGCAGGACTAAAGCAGGGCTAAACCATAACTGAATTCGAACTCAACCAGGGTTAAAAAAAAAAAACTGAACTCAGCCTGAACCAGGACTAAACCAGGTCTAACCCATTGTTACGGGCCCGGCCCTTTGATATTTGTTTAGTGTGCTCCCGTTCTTCTCTATTTGCTTTTGTGTGTGATGCGCTCGGCCCGTGAGCCCTGGACCTGGATGCGCGGGAGCACCAGACGCTGGACGGAGGCTGGCGTCGCAGCGTGTTGAGGATTGGCCGGTCACCCTCCTGCCCCCACCGGATGCCACCTGTGGGAGCAGGGGTTTGAAAAGGACAGTCTTCCGCCTGCTTGGGGCGGCTGGATCCCTGCAGCCAGCTCACCTTTTTGTTTGATTTTTTTGGTTGTCTCATTTTGTCTTTTGTTATATGGCCAGCTGTTGCCTCCGTTCGTTGAGATACCTTTGGTTCACAGTACAACTTTAGTTAGATTTTGTTATATTTTTCTTAGTTAGGGCTCCTAGGTTTAGTAGATTATTTTGTTTAAATCCTATTTATTTTTTCCTCAAATGCCTGTTTTTTTGTTCTTTTCCTACACTGTAAATAATAAATGCACAATTTTTAGTTAAACCTTAAACATCCTGGTTTTATTGTTACTTCCCTTTCTCCCCTAGCAAAAGGGACGTAACACCCATGCAGGTCTAAAGCAGAACTAAACCAGATCTTCTCGATACCTGCTCAAATGACTATCTAGTTTCAATAGTAGTTTTTGTGTCGATTAGTACTTGATTTTCAGTCCTTTAGTCAGCCCTAGTCTGAAGTGTGTATGGGTGACTGACCTTCTTGTTGTAGGGCTCCAGACTCTTAATGACTCGGGAGATGCCAAAGTCGTAGTTTCCTTTTGCACAGTACAGCGTCCTGGAAAAAAATCTCAAAGTTAGTCTATGCGTTAATTTTATGATGACTATTTATGTTTTGATTTGTTTGTATTGTGATTTTAATTTCTTTGGGTATGAATTGGGCTGTACACTTGCCTTGCCTACATCGCATCAAGATAGTTTTTGTTTCATTTATATGAGCAACACTGTATGTAGTTCTGTCCTTTTACAAATGTTGAAACACTGATGAACTGTTTTCCATAATGTCACTGTTATTAAAGTTTGAGCCCCTATACTTGGATTTCAGATAGATTCTATAGGCCAGGAATATTTAATAAAGTTGGGGGCAGCTCAAATGAATATGTTGTTCAAATGCAGGTTTCTGTTGGAATACAGTGAGTTCTTGGGTTTGGTCATTAATAAAAATGATCAGGTTCCTTTAAGATATTTCATGGTACAATGTGATCGATAGGAAAGTCTGTCTCTTGCCCCCATCGGGGAGTATAACATCATCGCATCGTCAAATCTGAAAACCACACATATGTAGGACCCGGAGACTAGATTATAAAACAATAACTAAGTATCGAGCGGTGGGCGGGGATAGGGGGTAGGTGAAATCTCCTGAGCACTCAAGCCTCAAATGAAGCTTTACTGAGGATTACTCAAACATGCATGAGTCATTCAAAACACAACTCAGTAAGTTAAAAATGAGGGAACACTCTTATGACATGGTTAAGAGCTCATAGAAGTACATTTGACACATGTTGTCCCTTTGAGGCCTCATTTTGTGTTCGTTCTGATCGTGTTAGCAGAAGTGTCTCTTTCTAGTGTCTCTTCAGTCTCACCCGATCACCAGGTTGACGATGCACAGGTGGAACACTTTCTTATCTGGGTCGTCATATGAAATCTGCTCCTCCTCTTTCTCGATCTTCCTCATCAGCTCCTCCGCCTCAAACAGAGACATTTAAAGTTAGCTACAAATGTAATCAAGAAGCATATGCACAAACCTAAACCCCGGGGCGGGTCAGTGTTTCCTAAACAACAATAGAACAATGTGAAAAGTCAAACGTTGATAAACAGAAGAGGAGCTGGAGGTACCTCTTCGTTCTGGCTGGTCATGATGTAGGACACACACAGGTTTGCCAGCACCACAGCGCTCACGTTCAGGATCTGACACAAAAACACATGGATCAGTGAATACACTAGGACATATGTGACTACGTTACACACTGTTTTTATCATTGTTGGGAGAGAAACACTGATTAGGAAACATGGGTCTGTGGAGCAGCATGCAACTCTGTGAAGATCAAGAGAAAGGACATTTTATTTGATACATTTTAGGAGGAAAAAATCAGAGGAATCCTACTCAATGTGATTAAATCATTTGATGAAATCTTCTCTTTTTAAAATGTGTAGCAAGCAAACAAGCTCCACCAGGCCAGGTCCTGAGGTGCACCTAAACTGCACTATTTATTCAACTTATAGATGCAAAATTCAATTCAGTGATTCAACAGTAGTAGTAATGCCATTACTACTAGATCAGTTAAATAGGAATATAATAATAACATGCTGATGAAATGGCTCAGAGCAGAAATTTCTGTTTGTCACCACAAGGTGTCGCCAGAGATGTGGATTGTTTCTGTTAAATGTAAAACCATGCATCTGATTGAGAATAGAATCAGTTCAAACCAAAAGCACCCCAAACACACACACACACACACACTCAGAGCACTGCAGGAGGATCCAGGCAGCATCGGCACACAGTTTTACCGAGGGTTTGCATTTACACGGACACTCCTGAATGTTGCACTGCTCCATCTGAAACAACAGCCCCAGGTCAACACACTACACACGTTATCAAGAAGTCTATGGACAACACAAACACAACGAGACACACAGAAGCCTGACAACCAAGGATGCACTCAAGGGGCACAACCTGAACCAGTCTCAGGTACTCAAACTGTCATAGTGCTTCTTAATGATGGGCTCTTCCTCCTCTGTACCCTATATTCTCTCTCACTCCTCTTGTACTCTGATACTCACGCTGTCATAGTGTTTCTTGACGATGGGCTCGTAGAAGCCTATGGCCTCCTTGTATTTGTTCTGCATAAACAGCACGTGAGCCACGTTCAGTTTCCACGTGTCGTCTTCATTGCAGACCTCCACAGACTTATGGAAGATCTTCTCCACCATCTGGAAGTTCTCTCGGTTCCAGTAGATTTTAGCCTGAGCCATGAGCACCACGATGTACCTGCAGGACACAGAGACAAACCAAATCAACCAAGGATGTTAATATTCAGTGCAGGTACTCCACTTCAATATCAGTGTTGTTACTGTATTTTTTATTGCTTTGTGTAGGACCTTTTTATATCTTTAATGCATTTTGGAAAAAGCTTTGGTTCAGTGGTGACTGTTGTAAAGTACTATGCAAAGACTTATTATTCAATATCTATCAAGTTAGTAGTCAAAGTCGTAATAGTGATAGTAGTAGTAGTAGTAGTAGTAGTAGTAGTAGTAGGAGTTGTACAGTAATAGTTAGGGATATAACAATAACCGAAATATCACAATATTGTATCGTCAAAGTTCACACAATAATATCGTAGACCATCACAATATATCGAATTACAAGTCTCTTTGCTTAAATGAAGAGTTATGGTGCAGCAATAGCTAAAAAATGACAGAGGGAACTACATAGACCATGATCCTTTGCTCCATTTCAGTGTAAATTACATAACGAAATAACTGTTCTAAAACAATCCGTGTATCATTCATTCATTTGTTTTTCAATATAAAACCAAAAATAAGAAAATGAAAAAATATCTGTTTTCTTCATTATTTGTTCTCCAAAACCAAAATGAAAAAACAGATAACGACTCGTTTTTTCAGTTTTCGATTTTGTGTTTAAATGAAAAATGGAAAAATCGGATAACGGTTTCCCGTTTACATGACTTCCATGACTGCGATGCCGAACTTTTGCTCTGCATATGGACTGAACCAGGACTGATCCAGGTCCAGGACCAGACCGGGACCAGACCGAGACCAGAACTGAGACCGAGACCAGAGCGGGACCAGACTGGGACCAGAGCGGACTATGAGCTTTGACTCCGAGCCTCAGCTTCCAGCTCCGGCCCTGCTGTGGGCTCTAAGCCTCCGGTCTAGTCCTGGTCCTGGTCTGGTCCTGGTCTGGTCCTGGTCTGGTCCTGGTCTGGTCTCGGTCTCAGTCCCGCTCTGGTCCCGGTCTGGTCCGTGTCTCAGTCCCGCTCTGGTCCCGGACCTGGATCAGTCCTGGTTCAGTCCATATGCAGCGCAAAAGTCCGACATCGCAGTCACAGAAGTCACGTAAACGGGAAAAAGCCATTATCCGTTTTTTCCATTTTTCATTTAAACACAAAATCGAAAACTGAAAAAACGAGTCGTTATCCGGTTTTTCTTAGTTCTTTGGATTACATCTTGTCAAGGCTGTATCGTGAGACTTGCATTTTGTTACACCCCTAGTAATAGTAGTAGAAGTAGTAGCAGTAGTACAGTAGTTGTAACAGTAGTAATAGTAGAAAGTTAGTTCTCACTTCTCCAGCATCTGGTCGTACTCTTGCAGCGCCCTCTTCTGGCCTTCATCGTCTCGAGCCAAACGAGCCTCCTGGAGCTTTAAACCACAAAACCAAGTCAGACTCAAGGAGCTCCAACTAAAGCCCTGTTGTATTTCTCTATTCCTATTCCATTACACCACGATTACAGTGATGTTTCAAACTCTAGGATCAGTAAAACATTTCAAAGACATTTCAAACGGAGAGAGCTACAGATGAAACTCACCTGTTTGGCCACTTTACGAAGCTGCTCCGTCAGTTTTCCGTTCATTTCATCAAACTTCCTGAAAGCCTGAACGCCACACACAAAACAAACACCATTATGGAAGAAAGTGCTCTATGTTGAGGGACACAGACATTTGTGAGGAAACAAATCCATTAACTACTGTGCAACTATTAGGGCTGTTAAAATGATAGAAAATAAAGTATAGTAAATCAGATACTAATCAATACTAAACCTAGTACAACTCGCCACTTTAAAAAGTTGTGTGTATGTGTTTATGTACCTCTTCTGGTGCTGTCTGGCAGGTCAGGAGTGCATCCAAAAACTCATACATGTACTGCGGGAACACAAAGATTCAGCAACAAAACATACATCTGTGAAGCAAAATGACATTCTTATATTTTACTCACTGGAGAGAGAAATTTGTAGGTGAGATGAGCGTTTTCTGCCAGGACGTCTGCAGCCAGGTCAAAATACTGAAGGACAGAGAGGAGAGAGAAACGGAAAACAGACAGACAGAGAGAGAGAGAGAAAACAGACAGAGAGAGAGAGAAAAGAGACAGAGAGAGAGAGAGAGAAAACAGACAGAGAGAGAGAGGAGAGAGAAAACAGACAGAGAGAAGAGAAGGAGAGAGAGATGGAAAGAGAGAGATGGAGAGAGAGAGAGAGAGAGAGAGAAAAACAGACAGAGAGAGAGAGAGAGAGAGAGAAAACAGACAGAGAGAGAGAGGAGAGAGAAAACAGACAGAGAGAGAGAGAGGAGAGAGAGAGAAGAGAGAGAGATGGAGAGGAGAGAGAGAAAAAGAGACAGAGAGAGAAGAGAGAGAGAAGAACAGACAGAGAGAGAGAGAGGAGAGAGAGATGGAGAGAGAGAGATGGAGAGGAGAAAGAGAGAGAGAGAAGACAGAGAGAGAGAGAGAGAGAGGAGAGAACAGAGTGAGAGAGAGAGAGAGAGAGAGAGAGAGAGAGGGGGAGAGAGAGAGATGGAGAGAGAGAGGAGAGAGAGGGCGAGAGGAGAGAGACAGAGATGGAGAAAGACAGAGAGGGAGAGAAGAGAGAGAGAGAGAGAGAGATGAGAGAGAGGAGAGAGAGAGACAGAGGGAGTGTGTGTGAGAGAGGGAGAGAACAGAGAGAGAGAACAGAGAGAGAGAAGAGAGAGGAGAAAGACAGAGAGGGAGAGAGAGAGGGAGAATGGACAGAGGGAAAGAGGGAAAAGAGGGAGAATAAGAGAAAGAGAGAGTGAAGAGAAAAAGGAGGAGAGCAGTGAGAGAGCATGGAAAGGGTCAGATAGAGAGAAAGAAAGAGGGGGAGAAAGAGAAAGACAGAGAGATGGAAGATGGATAGGGGAGGACGAGAGGAGCACAGGGGACATTATTTAACACATGGTTTAATTAAACACAGTCGGGTCCCGGGGAGTTTCCAGTGAGACTCAAACCACAGGAAGTACAAACACTGACACTTCCTGCTGCTTCACAAGATGGTGGAAAACACTGACCTCCAAAACCAGTACAAGGCTAAACTATAAGTATATATATATACATTCATCTATGGAGACAGGACATTTAGTGAAGGAGTTTTGAAGGATTGTTGAAAGACTTTTATGAAGCAAAAATACCCAACTCTTATTCACCAAACAGTGTACGGAAGACTGAGGTGACTGTGGTGGTCAGAGGGGTTGATTGGCAGTGTATCTTCGGTTAGTGTGCCCCAGGGCAGCTGTGGCTACAATAAAAGCTTACCACCAACAACTGCGTGAATAAAACACTGTAAAGCACTTTGAAATGCAGTGCTTAATTTAATAGTTAAGTAGTGCTGGCTTCTGCCCAAACCACAATGCTGCTCTGTGATTAGTCAGTCTATGACTTTAAGATTAGGCCCTGTCTTTCATTTGAGGCTCGGAAGAGGCTTGTAGTAGCCACATTTACATCTGTGTTGGACTATGGTGATGTGGTGTATATGAACGCTTCTGCTCACAGTATGTGAGCTCTGGACACAGCTTACCACGAAGCCCTGAGGTTTATTACTGGTCTCAGTGCTCACACACCATTGTGTACTGTCTGCACGTGTGGGCTGGACTTCCCTAGCCACACGGAGGCTCAAACATTTTTACCTGTTGGTCTATAAATGTATTCTTGGTTTGCTCCCGTCTTATTTGCGTAAGTATGTAGTTCAGAAAAGTTCTGGGGCCTACAGCTTGCGATCACAGGATTTGTTTTTATTGTCAGTTCCCAGAGTAAAGTCTGAGTTTGGCAAGAAGGCTTTTCAATTTTATGCTCCTTCGGCATGGAACTTTGATCTGAAGTTAAAGGAGCTGGTCTCCTTGGACTCTTTTAAACAGATTTTAAAAAACAGAGATCTGGAATCCTCTGGGTGTAATTGTTTTTAACTATTTTTGAATTTGTGTTGATTGTTCTGTTTTACTGAATGTATTGTATGTGTGTTTTTATATGTTTTGAAACTGTTTTGTGGCCTCTTGGCCAAGACGCTCTTGAAAAAGATATTTTTAATCTCAATGAGACTTTTTCCTGGTTAAATAAAGGTTAAATAAAATAAAAAATTACAAGTCTGGGTTTGAACTCATCTTGCCGGCTCAGTTTCACCTCCAGCTCTGTGCCTAGTGTCTCTGTACTTCGTGTATCTGTACTTGGCATCTGTGTACCTCGTGTTTGCAGTAGAGCAGCAGCAGGTTTCCAAAGGTGACCGGGGGGAAGGAGGGCTGCTGCAGGAGGAAGGCCAGCTTCTCAAAGCCCTCGCTGGGCTTAGAGTCCATGTGCAGCAGGGCCTGGTTATGGAGGGTCACCGGGTCCAGCTCCTACACAAACACACAGACAGACAAGAGAAAAATATTTCTTTATTATATCTAATTTGTATTTGAATACTGAAAAAATATTGCTTTGGAAATAAACAAAATTAGAATATTAATATACGCAGTGTTTTCTCTTTCAGGTGCGCCTCGATGTCACAAGCAACTATTGTTTTTAACCTAATTTCTGCTGACAACCGTGGGGTTTTGTATTCTCAGAAATCAGTTTGTTTACAATATTATTTTCAGTTTATGTTGTGAAGTTAAAAACCTAAAATATCAATTCCAAAAGCTTGAAAAAACGCATTTGAGTTGTATATAGCAGTAAAACTACAGCGGATTGTCCACTAGGGGGCAGTATTTGTTCTGACATAGTATTATAGATAAAAAGATGAATAGTGTTTTTGACCTCCGAGTGACAGCGACACAACAAGCCTGACATTTATTATAACGAAGGACCTTGTGTGGATCAATAAAGCATCTCTGGGTCTCTCAGCGCCTCTCTCCTGGTTTTGCTGTATCTGCGGCTCTGTCAGGGTTAGACGGGGTTATATCTGGACATCTGAAGGTTGGTGCTACATTAAATTAGGCTTTCTTTTATGGAACAGTGATGAAAACGAAAAGTGGTTACCTCCTCACATCTGGGGGGCATGTCCGTCAGAGCCTCCTGAGCTCCTTTCACTGCAGACAGACAGGAAAATAAACACAAGTTATGATTAAAAACATTGAGTCTGGTCAGCAAATAATGTTGTCATGTTGCTAAAATTTCAGACTCAGTTTTTGATACTCAGGAATAGGCCTGATACTGATTCTGATACCAAGGTGATAAAACAAAACACTATTTCTTTAGACAGTAGAATGTGATTTTCAACATTAAATTATAGTACTTTCTCAAATGTTCCCATGTGTCCTTATATGTGAGTAATCCCTCAGTGGTGCAGGTAGGTTTCATACTAGTCTATGTGCTCTTATAGACATTCTGGTTCTGTTCTGTCATGTCAATGGGACTTTTTAGTATCAATATGTGTGGAAAAGTGAGTATTTTGAGTAGTTTCAATACTAGTTTAAGTATTGATTAGTATCTGATTTTCGTTTTTCCCCGGACATGTCTGTATTCCACGTCCTGTCCTGGGCGTCTGGGTTTTTTTAATTTATAAAGTGATGCAAATGTTTTCATGATCTTTCACTGGGCCATTAAACAGCATCTCTCGTAGCTTTCTCTGCATCAGACGGAGCGAGCAGACACAAACAGTCGGTCAGTCTGCAACATGCCGAAGCACAAATGCACATTTAACAATGACTTGTACAAGAAATTCCCCTCTTTCCGTCCTGGTCGAGACAAATGGGAGGTCATGTGCACAGTGTACAAAGCAGGCAAATATGTTTCTGTGTCCAGTGAGGGTGTCAGGGACCTCAAAGCACCAGGACACTGAAAAACATGAAAAAGCTTTGCCAGGTGAGAGTCGCTCAATGTTGATGAGGAGGCCTCACCTCCCACCCCCCGTACAGTGTCCTGGTTTTGACAAACGCAAATATGGTCACTAGGGGTGTGCAAAAATATCAAAATATCGATATATCGTATCGTTTAATGTGCTGATACAGTATTGATATTGTGGGCTGCTGTATCGATATATCGTAAAGAGTATTTTAGGTAAATTTTCACTAAATTAGTTTGTGTAAGAGCTACAGTTGTGTTGACATTTTCACTGTTTTGAGTAAAATGGATATTTTTCACATTCACTTTTCACAAACTTAGTGGACTTTTAGTATTAGAGCCAACATTTAGCCTTTTTTACACCGTACCATATCGAATCGATGTGAAATATATTGTATGGAATCGTACTGAATCCAAAGCTCACTGTATAGAAAAGCGTATCGTATCATGGCCTATGTATCGAGATATGTATCGTATCGGTAACTTCTTAACGATACCCAGCCCTATTGGTCACCCTAATTAAACTGTTTCCAATGAACAAGCAGGAGACGCTGCCAGGTCAAGTTACAGGTCAGATGTTATGTTAAGTATGATTCTTAGCAATAAAAACATCTGTATGTGAATAAGTACATGATAGATATGTACAATGCCATACTGTGGAACATTACAGAGGTAGCAGTAACATCTCCATGGTAACAAGCTGGTAGTTACATAGTGCACCTTTTAAAAGTCTACTATGTGACCTGTTGTAGGGCCCACATTTCTTTAGATGACTGCTTGTTTTTTTGTGATTTTAAGCCTTGAGGTGATGCTCCAGTCTGTTGTCTCTGGTCGGCTGGAGCCGCTCTCTCGTCTTGATCCTGGTTCTTTAAAGCTTTAGTGGAACAAAGATAAAAGAGCTCCACTCATTTCCATCTGATTCAACTCAGACTCACCATCAAGACACTGCGCTTTCATCCACTGTGGTACAACCCTGGGAACTAACTATTATTTTAGAAGTAGAACAATCAGCAATAGTGTTTTATACTAAAGAAACATCTATTGTGATTTTGAGATATTTATTACAAACTTAATCAGAATAAAGGTAAATGTCTAAGGCTTATAAAAATATTCCAGTGAAATTTGGACTTTATAGCAGTGCAATTCTTAACAGAACTCTTTTATCATTATTGTTTTTACATTAGTCATACATCTTTTCAGTCATTTCCAGTGTTGGGGAGTAACAGATTACATGTAATCAGAGTTACGTAATCAGAGTACAAATTATGAGTAACTGTATTCAGTTACAGTTACTGTTTCAGTGAGTGGTAATTGGATTACAGTTACTTTGTTGAAATAAATGGATTACATGGTGGTATTTTCCTGTTTTCACATTTTGGGCTATAACCCTTTTTTAATTAATTTTTTTTTTTGGTAATTCCACTCATTGCCGGACACTAAATCAGGACTGAACCTGGACTGAACCCAGGTCTAAACCAGGACTAAAACCAGGTCTAAATTAGATCTAAAGCAGGTTTAAACCAGGGCTAAAACTAGGTGTAAACCGGGTCTAAACCACTACTAAACTAGGACTAAACCAAGACTAAAACCAGGTCTAAACCAGGGCTAAAACCAAGGCTAAACCAGGACTAAACCAGAACTAAACCAAGACTAAAACCAGGTCTAAACCAGGTCTAAACCAGGACTAAACCAGGACTAAACCAGAACTAAACCAAGACTAAAACCTGGTCTAAACCAGGTCTAAACCAGGTCTAAACCAGGTCTAAACCAGGACTAAACCAGGACTAAACCAGGACTAAACCAGGTCTAAACTAGATCTAAAACAGGACAAAAACAGGCTTTAACAGGACAAAACTATGCCGCGTGGACCTCTTCCTTCTCTTCTATCAATAATATTTTTAATTTGGTTCAGTAAAGTCTGGGCTTTTTATTTTCTTTTATCAGACAAAACATCTTATGTGAAGATTTCCTCGTCTTTGCTTCTCTACAGCAAATCAAGTAATCCAAAGTATTCAGATTACATTACTCACATTAAGTAATTTAATGGATTCCGTTACAAACTACATTTTGGGATATGTAATCTGTAATCTGTAGGGGAATACATTTTAAAAGTCACCTTCCCAACACTGGTCATTTCTGAGTTCGACTGCTTTTATTTCCTCCCCGCTGACCGTGTTGAAAGTATGAAAGTATGATCAGAATCCTTCAGCGCTGTTAACACCGCCTCCATCGATCAGGAAGAATTCATAGAACTGTAGTTACAATGATAACCTTCATTGTGGTTGTACTGACGTGTCAGTGTAGATTAGAGGACAGATAAAAGTCTGTCACAGTTTTTGAGGTGGTATTTGATGGTCGCCCTTTTGCTGTGGAGGTGTTAGTCTGTAATATGTGTTCTGTGTATGGACTGATACACAGCAGAGTCTAACATGGTTCTTGAGCTGGTACGGGATGGTTCAGGTTTGTGTCAGGTGTAAGTGACAGGTCATTAATATAAGAGTTATGCAATGTTGGGAAGTAACTGAATGGGTCTGGTCAAGTGGTAACGGAGGGAAACAGGGGCAGATTTTTGACATTCAAGTAGCTCTTATTCAGAAACTAGAGGGACTATTGAAATAAGTAAAGTATCAGAATGTAGGAAAGAGTTACACTCCAACAGGGTAAAGTTAAACCTGTGATATTCTTTCAAGTTGTTGACAAAAAATGTAAAAACTCATGTTGGTAGCGGAGGGAATGAAATATGCAGCACTTTTTGGGCAATAAATCCAAACAGTGATAACTAGCGGTTCTCACTTACATATCCTTAACAAACTGGTTTGAATATTTGCTTCATATAGTTTTCTACTATATGGTTCAAGATTAGATTGAAAAACCTCTTACTTTTTGACTAATGAGATTTTTTATTAAGAAAGGTCATGGTAACGGAGGGAAAAGTAACATTTGTTCAAGCAAGTAGAAGGTGCATGATTTTACATAATTTGTCGCTTTTTTCTTCTGAATACTTTAATATTACTTCAAAATGAAAGGAAACTATTTCTATGAAATATGTCAGTCCTTCCAAGCAAATTTTTATCATTTTAAATACATAAAAAAAAAAAATCATGTACCTTCATCAACAGTTCAAAGATGGAATAACACAAGATATGATGAAATACATCCATTTATTTACATGATTTGCAGGTCTTTGAAATTTGGGAATTAATTTTTGTTCCATGTTTCATACATGGTCTGTTTAAAATGTATGGAACTTTAGAACCAAAAATGGTACAGAAAAAAGGTCAACAGTTTCATAAACTAGAGTACATATGTATCTGTTGAATACATTTTTATATCAGATGCATTAACTTGAATTTTTGGCCTTGCTGTTTACTTCTGCTTGACCGGGCCTGAATACATGTACTGAGAATAAGTATTCTGATTACTAATTTTGAGTACAGTTACTTTTTCATTTCGTGGTATTCAGAATACAGTTACTTTGGAAAAATACAGATACTTGATCACTCAACACACTCACACTTCAGCTTCAGAGAAAGAAAAATATAAACACTGCTCCTGTGATGCGGCAAGTGTGATTTTTTTCTTCACTGGTCTGAGATAAATAAACTCAGAACAAATGTGAAACAAATGTGAAGCTGTTTTCAATCCTGTGCTGCATATTTAATGCAACTGCATATTCTGAATACAGATCTCTGACTGGACCATGTACTGGAATATGTTACAAAATACATTTTAAGGCAGGATTATGTAACTAAATACATTTTCTTTCATTTTAAGTATTTAGTATTAGTGTTAAGTATGTTAAGCATTTTAAGTATTCTTCCCATCACTGGTGTTATGTGTACAGACAGATAGTACAGCGTTATAGTACTAACAGTTTCTGAGCTGGAACTTGATGGCTGCTGTTAGGTCTGTGTAAAGTGTGTACAGACAAATAGTACACATATAGACGAGTTTCATCTGACGTCATTGTTATTAAAAGCCCGTGTTGCATGCTGGGAAATATTTTGGTCGGAGGCAAGAAACATGATAGCGGTCAAACACAGTGCGTAACCTCGCGTATTTCTCCCCGATAATGGTAAATTCCTGCTGCATTATCGGATGCACAAATAGAAGCACGGAAGACGGAAAACGTCTTTTTCGTATTCTGAGTGAAAAGAAAGGCTAACGGTGAATTAAACGGCTTTCAAACATTCGCAGAGCAAAAGTAGAAGATCCTAACAAACCGTGGACTCCAACAAGTTCAACAACACATTGAGACTCTTGGAGGTTTTCCTCTTTTCCACTGTGAATGGCCCAGAGTTTCCACCAAGTCATTGTGGATATCGCCAAAGTGAATATTTGTCCAGGTAGTTGGTGATTCTGACCAGAAATTTGGTTTGGTCCACCTTTTGTCGGGGTTGAAAAGGGTGATTTGGCGTCCATCGATGCTTATGACCAATTTCTGGTCAAATGGTCTTGGGTCCTCTGCCGTTAGAGTGGATAAATAACCGGGATCAATACCCTTTACGTGCTTTCTCGCTCCGTTCCGTCATGTTGAATTAGTGTTTCTTGCTGCCGACCAAAATAATTCCCAGCATGCAACGCGCGCTTTTGTCAACAATGAAACTCGCCTATAGTAGAGGGATGTAGTACTCACAGTTCTTGAGCTGGTACTCGATGGCTGCCTTCAGGTTAAAGGCCTCAATCAGAGCCGTCTGATGCAGCACCAGAGTGTTGCCCACACTGTGGTAGTCTATGCCCTCTGTGGTCATGCCCACACTCAGCTCTGAAACACAAACACACGCACACACGTTACAGACATCACAACATTCTATAGGCCGACATTATTTAATACAGATGGGGGCAGCTAAAATATAGTTAAAATGCAGGTTTATGTTGTAATACAAAGAGTTCTTGGGTCTAGTCACTAAAAGAAATGATCAGATCAATCAAATCAAAATCCTCTCCAAAGAATAAAATATCCTGTGATTTTATAGAAAAACTCTACAAACATGCCCTCAAATGCATTCTTGGATTAGTTCAGCAGTTCAGATTTTTTCTCTCAAAATGTTAATGCTCCTGGGCAAGTGAAATGTGAACAGATTGTGCTTCTTAAACATAAGTCTCAAATAGTCTTCATCATGTCATAATCACAATAGCACTACAGTCTTGTTCCATATTGTGAAGCCCTAATCCAGATGACTGTGCCTTAAACGTTTCTATTGTCCTGTTCTGTCCTGTCCTGTCAGGTGCTGTGTACCTGGTAGCACGGTACAATATTCAAATCTAGTGTCATGATTATTATGGTCAATTATTAAAATAGCTGACAGTTTAAAAATGGACAGTTTTGAAAAATTTACAGTTGCTGACAGTTTAAAATGATATGTATATAATTTACATTACGGATAGGTTCCATATTTAAACACCTGGTATAGAGTTGTATGTTGTCATAAGTGAAAACAGCAATCATCTAGAAGGAAACAACAAGGATAAGGAGATGTTTTCAGCACATTCTGCTGATAAAATGGAGATTATCTTTGTTGGCGATTCTCGCGATTCTCTTAAAGGTTGTATAGAGGATTTTCCAAGGAACGAGAAATCCAGCGACTGTTTGTCCTTTTTCAAATGTTGCGCATGCGTGAAACCACCCCCCCTCCCTACAGCTCCTACGTAGAAACGCCTTCTCCCGCCTCCTCACTACGCCAGAAACAGGTTTGTTTACAGCCGGTGAGCTGCACATGATTGTAAACAACTAACTACAGTGTTGGTTAGGCAAGGCGGAGAAGTGAGGAGCGGGGGGCGGGTGTGCGGACATTTCGTTCGCGGACGAGAAGAGCGGAGCAGGGAGAGAGGAGAGAGGAGAGAGGAGAGGGGAGCGGTGCGCGGAGATTCCGTGCCCGTAGAAGTGAGGAGAAGGGGGAAGAGCGGAACGGGCAGCGGGACAGGAGTAGGAAAGGGGAGCAGAGAAGGTTGCGCGGAGATTCAGTGCGAATGAACTAGCTACAACACGCAGCAGCAAGCGGACTCTTTCTTTGCCTTGAAAATTACGTTTTCAGACATAGGATATCGCTTTCGTGTCCTGAAAAACGTTTGACTAGCTCTTGGAAATAAAGTACGTTTTCATAATAAGCAGAAGTTACCTGTCCAGGAGTAATTTGGCGACCAATGCGTCAGTCTTTAGACCCTGCGTCTGCTTCAGTCGCGCCATCGCTGAAATGAATCTACAAGAATCACCTTAGTTTGGCTTCGCTGCTTTTCCCCTTGTCTTCTTCTTTCAGCGACCTCAAAAACGGACTTTCTTTTTGCGGCTAACTGCTCCTGGATTCTTGTCTGCCATTGCAACAAACTTTGTGCTAACTGCGAGGAAGATATAGGTCAAAAAAAGCCGCTAAGAACTGTTGCGTTGGTGGAGTAAACAGCGTCTGTGCGTCTTGCGTCTGTGGACTGCGTGACAGGCGTACGTAAACCACGTACCGGCGGCGCGCAGGCAGGTCAGTTACGCTAGAAACGTAGGGAGTTTGATTGATAGCCTGTCAGCTAACAGATAACGAGGCAATGTCGTTATCTATTGGCAAATGTTTAGCTGGCCCCACCACGTCCAGAGTTGATGAATTTTTATTCTCTTTTTTTTGGTCATCATAATTACAAGGCTACTGCACCTCTATAATGCTATCATTGACAACTTGAAACAAAAAAAACAAAAAAAAAATCCTCCATACAACCTTTAATGTCCCATGAACCATTATTGTTTATTCATACGATACTCTCTACAACTGTACAACAACTCACCCTTATGTAATACATAATACTCCCTACAACTGTACAACAACTCACCCTTATGTAATACATAATACTCCCTACAACTGTACAACAACTCACCCTTATGTAATACATAATACTCCCTACAACTGTACAACAACTCACCCTTATGTAATACATAATACTCCCTACAACTGTACAACAACTCACCTTTATGTAACACATAATACTCCCTACAACTGTACAACAACTCACCCTTATGGAACAGATAATACTCCCTACAACTGTACAACAACTCACCCTTATGGAACAGATAATACTCCCTACAACTGTACAACAACTCACCCTTATGGAACACATAATACTCCCTACAACTGTACAACAACTCACCTTTATGTAACACATAATACTCCCTACAACTGTACAGCAACTCACACCAATGTAACAGACAATACTCCCTACAACTTGCTACATAATTATAATTTTTTGTTACTATAGTTTTTACTCAGTGTTATTGTATTATATTGTGATGTGTGAGCTTCTGTGTCCAAATCATTTCCCCTGTGGATCAATAAAGTTTGTCTAAGTCTGAGTCTATTGGCCCATTCCGAGTATCAGGCTGCCAAGAGGCGAGTTTCCATCTTTAGTCCTTTCATAATGTTAAATCTGAACAGAATATACCAGAAATGTGATCAGAATAGTACTTGAGTTTTGTTCCATATTGTGAAGCCTGTTTCCCAGTGCTCTGTTGTGTGTTGTGTACCTGGGTGTTCTCTGACGCCCCTCTCGATAATCTCATTGATGTACTTCATAGCCTGGGTGTAGTTCTTCAGGCTGTAGTAGCACAGGGCGATGTTGTACGACAGAGCTGAGAAAAATAAAACGCCTGGTTTTAGTTTAAAGATGAACCGTCACTTTCTTGTTTCTATGGATATGTCATTGCTCTGCTAAGAATGTTCCACAGTATCACAGATCTGATCCTCTCCACAGATCTGACCTGTAACTTGCATGGTTTAGTCTCCATGAAGACCGTACTGTCAGTGATGGGAAGGTGACTTTTAAAATGTATTCCCCTACAGATTACAAATTACATATCCCAAAATGTAGTTTGTAATGTAATCCTTTAAATTACTTAAATGAGTAATGTAATCTGAATACTCTGGATTACCTGATGTTCTGTAGAGTAGCAAAGACTCAGATATTGTAACATAAGATGTTTTGTCTGCTAAAAGACAATAAAAAGCCCAGTCTTTCCTTAACCGTATTAAAAATATTATTGAGAGAATAGTTTTGTCCTGTTAAATCCTGTTTAGTCCTGGTTTTAGTCCTGGTTTAGTCCTGGTTTAGATCTAGTTTAGACCTTGTTTTAGTCCTGGTTTTAGACCTGATTTAGTCCTGGTTTTAGACCTGGTTTAAATCCTGGTTTAGTCCTGGTTTAGACCTGGTTTAGTCCTGGTTTAGTCCTGGTTTAGTCCTGGTTTAGACCTGATTTTAATCCTGGTTTAGTCCTGGTTTAGACCTGGTTTAGATCTAGGTTAGACATGGTTTTAGTCCTGGTTTAGACTTGGTTTTAGTTCTGGTTTAGTGTCCAGCAATGAATGGAATTACTAAAAAAAAAAAAGAAAAAAGAAGGGATATAGCCCAAAATGTGAAAACAGGAAAATACTGCCATGTAATCCATTTATTTCAACAAAGTAACTGTAATCCAATTACCGCTCTCTGAAACAGTAACTGTAACTGAATACAGTTACTCAAAATTTGTACTCTGATTACGTAACTCCGGTACATGTAATCTGTTACTCCCCAACACTGTGTACTGTGAGACATTCCAGACAAAGCAATAACATCTCCATGAAGAAAAGCATTTGACGCACCAATGCACCTTTAAACTTTAGACACTGAACATTTTTAACATTGAACTAGAATGTTCCGGTCCCTCAGAACACCATGGACTCACCGGGCACGTATCCCAGGACCTGCATGGCCGAGGTGAACTTCTTACAGGCCTCTTCGTATTTTCCGTCGTTATAAAGTAAACAGCCGCTGTTAAAGATGTAGTCTGGGTCGTCCGGAGGCAACTGCTCCAACAAAGACTGTACAAAGAGAATGAAAACATGGGCTCAAAGGGGAGCAAAATGATGTTGTAATACAGTGAGCTCTTGAGTTTAGTTGATAATTGAACATACCAGGTTCAATATTTGTGAATTTACCTTTTGGATATTTCATAGTAAAGTACAGTGCAATCAATATGGATCAATCTAACCAGAATCTGAAACCTACCAGTCATGTATATCTTAGATTTGGATGTAACGAGACTACTGACAGACTTGATTTTGACCTAGAACTGCTCATAATGTTTGAACATTTATCTATACAAAGCTGTTCAATAGTCATGTGAAAGATAAATATCACCGCAACTAGGGTATAATATAGATCAGGGGTGTCAAATATACGGCCCGGGGGCTGTATCCGGCCCTCCAAGACCTTTAATCTGGCCCTCTGCTGATTTTCTACTAAAATATTTGAATTACATTTTCTATTAAAATATTGGTAATTTTCTGTGGTGTTTATCACAGCAGCGTCTCCAGCGTCTCTGTACGTGGCCCCTCCCACCAGAGCAGCACAAATGAAGACTTGTCTCTTTCCAAACGCTCTTAAAGGACGATCATTTTGACTGTTGACCGTGACACCCTCATCAGAAAAATGTCCAACATGAGAAAAGGTGGAGCCGAGTGCAGTATTTTACAAGAAAAATTGACTATTTACATACAAGTTCATGTTAAAACATTGTGTTGAAATTAAATTTTTCTTAAAGTTTCAGGTTGTTCATAATTAGGGGTGTGCAATAGAGATGCGCGGATAGCAGTTACAGGCTAAACCGCGGGTTGGGCGTATGACGTGACGAAAAATTATATTTCAGTTAAATTCGGGCGGGTGGCGGTTTCACTACTCAAATAAAAATCTCTGAACTCGGAGCAACTGGGAGGAGACCGAGCGGATGGCGGGCGGGTGCAGTTTTGAAAACTGGTCAAAAACTGTGGTTGCAAATGGATAGCGGGATGATGAGTTTTGCGATGCGATTGCGGATGAAAAAGTAGCCTATCCGCGCACCTCTAGTGTGCAAAAATATTGAAATATCAATATATCGTATCGCTTAATGTGATGATACAGTATTGATATCGTGGGCTGCTGTATCGATATATCACCAAGAGTATTTTTTGGTATATTTTATTAAATTATTTTGTTACAGCTACAGTTTTGGTGCTTGTTTAAAGGAAGAAAACTTTTTTTATGCGACACATTTGACCTTTTCATTGTTTTGATGAATAAACTGTTTGTGTTTCATATGAACTTTGCACAAGAGGTGGTTTAACAAAGACTTTTAGTATCACAGACATGATTTAGTCTTTATTTATTGAACTGTATCAAATCGAAGTGAAATATATCGTATTGAATCGAAAGTGCACTGTATCGAGGTATGTATCGTATTGTGGCCTACGTATAGAGGTATGTATCGTATCGGCAACTTCTTAATGATACCCAGCCCTATTCATAATATTATAATATTTTGTAAAAGAAAGAGTTAATCAATTAAAAAAGATTTCTGTAATAGATTTGTTTTTCTCTGCACAAATATTTGAACTTATTGTTATTTTTGGGGTTGGTTTATATGACATGAGTTTTCTGATCCGGCCCCTTTGGACACAGCCCCCGGACCAAAATGAGTTTGACACTCCTGACATAGAGTATTAAAAATCTGATTCTAATCAATCAAATCTAATCAAAAAAGTCACATTCACGGGATAGAAATGAACCTTTCCTGATTGTCTTTAGAATGATTTAGATTATTTTCTAAACAGATATAAGGCCACATAGGAATAGAAAAGAAACTACTATCATTTAATGCTGAAAATCACATTCTTTTGTCTGAATCAAGAGTGTTTTGTATGAGTATTAGCGTGTGAATAGGCCTTTCCACAGATCAGAGTCTTTTCCAGGTCATTGTGTGTGTGTGTTGTTGTGTTTGGCAGCCTGTAAAACACCTCTCATTTGAAACAGTGGTGGTGTTATTATCATAATCAGCCGTATCTGATGTGAGCGTGCTGTGGTTTGTACCTTGGCTGCAGAATAGTCCTCTTCACAGTATTTAATGCACGCCTGCAACTTCACCATCTGTGCCAAAAAGAACAGCAACATAAACTTTCAAATGAGCGTGAGCTGGGGACAAGCCAACGCCATAAAGTACTCCAGTTATTTTTGAAAGCATCTGTAATTTACTTAAAGCTGCGTTGTGTAACTTTTCTCGTAAGAGGGTCAAATGCTTTTCTCCATGGAGATGTTATTGTTTTGTGTGGAATGTTTCGCAGTATGGCATTAAACCTTTCTGTCTTCATGGAAACCAAACCAGACCAAGTTACAGGTCAGATCTGTGGAGAATGTCTGTTTTTATAGGTATTTTTGAGCTATAAACCCATTTGTCATAAATGCATGGTAGAGATGTTTAATGTCGTACTGTGGAACATTCCAGACAGAGCAATGACACATCGATAGAAACAAGCAGGTGAGGAACCCTCAACCAAAAAAGTTACACACTGCACTTTTAAGTACATTTTTACAGCTAATACTTTTTACTTTTACTTCAATACATTATACATTATACATTTACATTAACTGGACTGAAAAGTAAAATGTATTGTTCATTATTGTTTGAGACCTGCTGAAAAGGCTTTTAACATGTTCATAGTCTGAGCAAACACAAATAAACAAATAAAAACAGCAAGAAAAAAACGACTGATTCAATAGTTTCTGCTGATGAAAATTCAGCAAAAATATGTATTACTTTTGAGGCCTTATAAAACCTCAAAATCTGTGCTAAGTACTTTTACTTTTAAATCTTTAAAGTGTGTATGCGACAGGTTTTGATGATTCTCTAATTCTGACTTAATTTGGTGAGATAACATTTGTTGTAAATGTAAATTACAGTTTTACACCAATCAAGAATGAAATTGTGAAGAAAATTTATGGGAAGCAGAGAGTTCTATTTTAGAGAGTCCCATATTGATGACATCACACTGGGAAAATTTTGTCAATATATATATATATATTTTTTGTAGAAACACCATTTCTACAAGATAAAGATATTTTCTTATATTTGTATTTGTTAAATAATAATGTCTGTGTACATTAGATGAGCTTTGCCCCTGTGTACAACATGATTGCTAGGTAACAGTTACTGAATTCCCTATTGCGATGTCATGATTTT